TCAAGATGTTTTTCTTCTTTTCTTTATAGTTCTTTTAGTTTCAAGATTCACATCATATAGTATGCCGAGTGATTGTAAGAATACATTACCTAAAGAAAAAGGAACATTTTGACCTGAAAAAAAAAGGTACCAGAGTAGGAATCTCGTCCAGAAGTAGATACATCCTTGTGATAATAGTAGCTATACTCATATTATATACTTACGGGACTGAAGTGAAAAAAACCATTCACGTGATTGACTTACTTGTTAGTCCAATGGTACCTACTTTTACTATATTTTTACTCTTGGGAAATAGCACTAAAATTACGTAAGCTCAACGACCTGGTAATATACAATTCAATTTGACAAGTACACTTGGGTATTTTATCAATTAGCTTTGATATAATATAATGTATATAACTAAGAGAAACACATCAGTCGGAATTTAAAATAGTATATTCAGTTTTTCCCTTTCTTATATTCGTAAATTCTGATTTTAAGAGTATATGGGATTTATTTTCAGTCCAAGTCATGACATAAAATGAACTTGCTCTTCCATTTATGACCATACCAAATGTGACGAGAATAGAAAAAAATAAAAAAGAGAGTATACATAATATGTATATACATCAAAAAGTGTTTACCTATTCGCATCGTTCAGAAACGTGGTGTATATAGAATGGATGAAAGTTCAAACAGAAAGGTTTCAAGACATTGTTATTTTATTACGCTATAGCTATAAGATTCTCTAAATTGATATTGAGTTTTATATATTGATGTGGTGGCAGAAACTACTCCATCATCAAAATTACAGAAGACAATAAAATGAGTGCACCCTAAAAAAATGCATAATACTAGCTACCTAATTGAATAGATTTGATTCTTCATGATGGAATCATCTATCGAAGTGCAATCTATCTGCTAATCATGTACCTTTTTTGCAGTTTTGCTGGTAAATTATTTTGCGCATTCGCCAAATATCATAAAATTCAAATTTATTTATATTTATCTATCCGGTGATTTGAAAAATAATCAGTAGTCTCAGGCCTGATTCTCTACTCATATGACTAGTGCCAACTATAGTAACATATTACACAGCATCTTTTTTCCGGCGATACAACAATCGTCTTTTTCAAATTGCAAATCCAGAAGGATATTGAAGCAGAAAAACAAATGCAAGGCGATTCGATCGCATCAAAATGAAAACGAAACGTCACCCGCGCTGTTACCTTGGCTATGTCTATGGCGAGGCAGTCTAGCCCGAACTTCAAAGCACAGAGGATCACGAATTGTGTTGTGTATTCCATGACGTCCCAGTTGCAGTTCTAACGAGTTTTTCATTAGATTGATGAATGTAAGTAGGCTTGGAATGGAATATTCGTTAATTGATCCATCTGAATGTTTCGACGTAGCGTTTGTTTAGAAACGCCCACTTGCCTTCCAGGTTTTACGTTTTGCCATTGTGTGGTCACGTCACCGAACGAAAACAATGCAATTATTTTTGAAATAACGCAATTATCCATGGGCACACATGATTTTTTTGTTGACAAATAGTAGGTAGAGAACGATTGGATGTTCGAGCATCATTTGATGTATTGTGTTGAATTCATGATAGGAGAATTCGAAGGTGATTTACATATCAATAAGACAAATTTATGGCTTTTTCGTAGTTGAAATATAATTATCTGGATACAATGGGAATGGGTATTGGGTATGTATCAATATTTAATATAACATTGAAAGTATGCAGTCATAACTTATTGTTACGGAGTTCCATATAAGCTCTCTATAGACATAAATTGAATAATACCTAAATGGAATTAAGATCAATTTGTGGCTGGCAATTATCTTGTCCTAGGTACTTGCTATTTCCTTTGTACTATTTTAGGTCAGAATGTATCGCTGATAAATTATCTTTTGGCACGAAAACAACTTCTATTAAAAAATATACATTCATGAAAATACCTGAAACTATAGCGGTCTACCTCTGCATGCGGTATCAATTAAGGCAATGTAGGTATATAATTTACTTGGCATATTATTTCATTTTGTGGATAATATGAATGTGAAGAGCTTGTAGGAAAATTGAAGAATCCCACGCATGAAAGCCATCAAATGAGTGTATTTTTTCAAAGGAAATCGACTAAAATCATAATTTTCGAGACAGTTTGGCGCATTAGTTGAAATCGGTAAAATTTTGATTGTCAAACAATTTATTTATACAAATTGAATACGTGAATGATAGGGTGATTTACAAATTGGACACGAGAACAAAACAAGACTATCCTAACTTTAGTATCCTAAACAGAACGTTCGAAATATTCAAGACTTCAGGAGACAATCCATTGGAGGCGTATTCACCAAAATCTCCATTTGGATTAGTGTGCATAAACGTAAATAAAATTAGACAGTCCTAAGAAAACTTTCGATGGAGATGCATAATATACATACATTCACTCGAACTCGAACACGTTATTAGTAGAACATCGCAGTCCATCATTACTCTACGATAGAACAATCGAAATAACTATTTCGGAGAAGTATAATCCAATCATTGAGCGCGTTCGCCAAATCCTACAAAATTTGGATTATTATAACTAATTTTCACAACACCGGCGGTAACGTAAATAGAACAAGATAATTCTAATAGTGATCAGAAAAGCGTTCCAAAACACTATTATACCGGAGTTATCAATCTCACGAGCATGAATAGAAAAAGTAGAATAGGAAAAAACTTCCTTATGCGCATTCGCCAAAACTTACAAAATATGAATGATTTTCCCTATATTGGGTCAATTTCATATTTTGGCGAAAGTTCATTTTAATTTCTAAGATATGAGAACTCTCGCCAAAAACAAAATTAACTGTTATCTGTTATTTTGGGCAATACGCTTTCAAAGATTTCAATGCACTTATGCCGATCATTTCACTGATTTCAAAAAACTTGTCCTTACTTAATTGATTGGAATACTTTTGTTGATAATCTAAAACATTATGTTTTCGTTTTTTGTATTTTGCTTCCTCATTGGTAGTTTGATGCGAAATGAAACAAAATGACTTACCAATAGCAGCGATGTCATGAATGTACAGGAATACGTAAGACGTAAGTAACACTTAACACTGGATTTTTAACCATGCACAACCGTGATAGGATCCACTATTAATTTATTTCGAGAAATTTTACACCAATTATGTATAATTATTATTAACTGGTATTTATAATCAACCTAAACTCATAAGTGCACCGCTAACCATAATATAATTTCTAAATTTGGCACGCCATTTTGGGAATCCTAAAATAAGTATGAGGATAAAGAAAGATACCTTCACCAGATTATTTTTTGAGGCGTTAAGATTTATCTATAAGTACAGGGTGTTCCGAAATTCGACCGACAACGATTGACAGGTTATCGCCTTCGTGATTTCATAATTCCTTAGAAAGGGATATACGGTCTACAAGTGCTCAATTCTCGAGATACAGGGTGTTGAAGTTAATGAATAAAAATGTTTTTTTGCAAAAACCCAAGATGATTGTATATTTTGCATTTAAATTCGGTAAATGGTTCCATCTTTGAATGGGTCATTTTTTTACAAGGAAGTGATTCCATAAATGTTATCCAGTGGTAGCTACGGTCAGGGCCGGATTGAGATCACTTGGCGTCCGGGGCGCAAACAAAAATTTATTCTAGCCGAAACTAGAACATTTACCTCAAAATATTAAAATCGACCAATGATTTAGGTCAAAAAATACAATATCGTAATATACAGAAGTTAACACGACAAAGCAGTCAGAAATATACAGGTACATGAAAAATTCAGATTAAGCAAAGAATATATTGCATCAGTTTGGACATAATTCAACGAGTATTTTCAAAATATGATGGACACATGATGTAAGAAAAATGTTCAAAGTTATTTAATTCTCATTACTATAGAGGTGATTTATTACAGATATCTATTCGCTGGTAAAGGTATAGAGAAGTCTGATTTATATCTTGTGTCATGAGCATGAAATATCAGTATTTCGTAAATAATAGTTTTTATTTCTATGAACTAATGTGATTAAATCCAATACATAAATACCATAAACAGTTGAAATTCTTAAGTTGATGAAACAGGTCGATATATAGGAGTCTACAAATCTTTTCTGTGACATAAAAGCATTTTTAGAATGAGCAGAACTCCCCCAAATACAAATTCCAGAACTAATCCTAGACATTTCATTATAATAAAGTGAACGCATTCGATTTATATTAGGTGTTTTCCTTACATTTCTTATTTGAAAACATTTGGAGTTTAACCTAAGTTTGTTCATGAAGTTAAAAAAAACTAAGAGTAATACAGAATGAGGAATAAATATGGCTGAAAACATGAAGAAGTTGGTCCAAATAAAAGTGTTTCGAACGCTGATACTATCCCGAAGTTAGTAGTTAAAGAGTTCACGATAATAAATATACAACCCGCGTCAGCGTGCTAAGGGTGGGATTTAGAGGGCTTGGTCAAGACTTCAAGCCTTCTTCAAGTCGGATAATATTTCCTCGCAAAATGGACTGGATGGCAGACGAAACAATGCAAAATTGATTTCGCCAGATATCCGATATCCGGTTGGTTCGGTTCGTTCGTAGGTTCGTATAAATTGAGTTGTGCAACTTTTCCAGGCATACCTACTCGATGTGATATGGAATTCTGAATACATAACCCAGCGAACACAAACATTCCTGATGGGATGTTTTGGGATGTTTTGAAAATGTTGGCATGAATATGTTTTTTGGGACGTAATATGCACTTACCAAAGAGGTCTTCAAAGGATATTGAAAGTATTGTTTTCGTTTTTCTGTCGTGTCATTTCTTTATTTGCCTACTGAGAAAGTATCCATGGGATGTTTTACGATGTTTCAAGAATGTTGGCAAGAGAATGATTTTTTGAGACGTAATATTCGAAGAGTATTTGAGTTTTTCATCTCCTGAAAATGCTTTTTACTGAGAAAACTGTTTTGTTTCAGGGGGGCACGGTGTGATGGATGTCGTCGCCGCCGTGGTCTTGGGGGATGGATAATGAACAACCCCACCAGGAGTTGGTTAAGTGTGTGGTGGTCGGCGACACTGCCGTTGGCAAAACGAGGCTAATATGCGCACGCGCTTGCAACAAACAGGTAGGCACATTGGTATTGGAATTAGTAGGTGTGGATGGTGACAGATGCGATGTGACATGTGACCTGATTAGATCTATTGTGTCCCATGTTCTTCTGCTATCTCAAGGTTTGCTTGTTCTCAGCAGCCCCTCGAGCTTCATTCTTTTTGGAATTCGAGGCATTTGTTTTAAACTTTCCAGTTCGATCTTCATCATGAGACAACTCAGAGGAGTGATTAATATAGAAGTTCTTCTAACTATGTATTATTCATTATTTCATTCTTATTTATCGTGTGGAATAATATTATGGGGAAAGCTTTCAAACTACAGAAGAGAATAGTAAGAGTTATTGATGATCTTTTTTATGCCAGAATGGCTGCTTGTTTATTTTCCTCCACTCCAATGTGCCCTGGCACCCACAAAAGGAACACCTTGTTGTTTCTGCCCGTTGAGTTTGTCAAGCTATTTCCAAACCATCTTAGAGTTAATGTTAGAAGAACTCAACGCTTTGATGGGTTTTCCTTTGATTCCAGTATTCTTCAACCTGAAATGTGCTCCCCAACCTTTTCATAGCCTACTTCGTTTTTGAATACATGGTTGACCCCAGTCATATCTTTCAACTTATATAAAAAGTGTTTCTTACATTTTTTTTACGTAAAATCAAGTGTCGTAAGTAGATTTTTGGAAATGATATAATATATTATTATATATGTCATTATCTAGTATAAACATCAGAAGTTATGTTTTTTTAAATTGAACATTGTATATTTTTCAATATGTGGAACATAAATGCACAAATATTCTTGTTTTGAATATCATATAATATACAGTGTTCTATAGAAAAAACCTTGGGGCTTTATCCAAATAATTAGAGTTTATATCAGAAATATGACTTTTCCATTGGATTCAACGTAAAAAATGTAAGAGAGGCAGTTTTTACTTTTTCTTTAAGTTGATGAGATACAGGCGGGTCCCATTTTTTTGTGACGTGAGTTTCACAAAATAGTAGGCAAAGTTCGTGGAAGCCGCAAATCTTTATCATTGAAAATAATTGAGATATCCCTGTACATTTGCAAATTGTTTCAGCGACTATCAAGCACTGACTCGATGAACAATCCTTCAGTAAACATCGCATGTAGAAAGTTGCTCATGATAAAAAGTTATAAAATGCGAACAGCCATCTTCTGATATAAACAGCGTTTCTTTCTCATTCCATTCATGATAGTGAAAATATTCAAAAATTTCTACACGCTCTGCCAACAAATGTTGAATCTGCGAAGGTATCATATAGGCCCAACTACTGGCCATCCAGGTGACCACCGTGTGAGTTATGAAGTGGGAACAGTCATATTCTGAGATATGCAGCATTTCCGTCTCATTTCATCAGATACAGTGGAAATATTTGAAATTCCACACATGCTTTGCCATAAATTGTTGTATCTTCGAAGGTATCATTGGCCCAACTGCTGGCCACCCACGTTCCCACCGTGTGAGTCAAAAAATAAAATGGAGACAGTCATCTTCCGAGATGAACAGTTTGAGATAGAGGAAATATTCGAATTTACTTTCTATATCTTTGAAGATATCATTGGCCAAAGTCAAAACTACTATTAGTCACCCCCGGGCCCATCATGTGATTTCTAATAAGTGGAACAGTCATCTTCTGAGATATGCAGCATTTCCGTCTCATTTCATCAGATACAGTGGAAATATTTGAAATTCCACACATGCTTTGCCATGAATTGTTGTATCTTCGAAGGTATCATTGGCCCAACTGCTGGCCACCCAACGTTCTCACCGTGTGAGTCAAAAAATAAAATGGAGACAGTCATCTTCCGAGATGAACAGTTTGAGATAGAGGAAATATTCGAATTTACTTTCTATATCTTTGAAGATATCATTGGCCAAAGTCAAAACTACTATTAGTCACCCCCGGGCCCATCATGTGATTTCTAATAAGTGAGAACAGTCATCTTCTGAGATATACAGCATTTCCGTCTCATTTCATCAGAGAGAGATAGTGGAAATATTTGAAAGTCCACACATGCTTTGCCATAAACTGTTGTGTCTTCGAAGGTATCATTGGCCCAACTGCTGGCCACCCACGTGCCCACCGTGTGGGCCATCGACCAGTACCGCATCTACAAGGACGTGTTGGAGAGGTCTTGGGAGGTGGTGGACGGCGTCAACGTCAGCCTGCGTCTATGGGACACTTTCGGCGACCACGAGAAAGACAGGAGGTTCGCCTACGGAAGGTCGGACGTGGTGAGTTGCATCTAGAATCTAGATATTTGACATATATACGGACACACATATTGGAAGTGTTGAGGAGGTACTGTGTGGTGACTCGGGGACTCGACCAAGGCTATCACGAATGACTTGTAGGAAGTAGAAGGTCTCTTCAAATTAGGACAGTGAACATTTAGGTATATGAACACGAAAAATCTTCTTCAAGTGCTTACGAGGCATATCGATTCATTTTAGGAATCTAATGACTGTATAGCGGAGTTACAGACGGTAAAATTAATTTTTTTCCTATTAATTGGAATATCTCGCTCACTTCTGAATATATTTGAAATTTGATGTAAATAATACTTTCTAATCATAGTTTTGAGCATTTTGGAGGTTTTTGAAATCTACAGGGTGATACGTTTTTAGGCGAAGCTTCTTTATCCCCCTCAAACTTTTTTGTGGTTCGCCTCTGACATCTCTGAGACCCCAAATAGGATGGATCGTTCAATTTGAAGGCTTTTTTGATCCCCGTTTTTTTCCGAGAAATAAACCGTTTTCGAGATAAATTCTTCTTTCTAATACATGTGAATTTCATCTTTTTTTTTCTATTGAATTTTATTCTTGGACAAAATTTTAACAATATTAATAATGATGAATAGTACAAAATATATGTATTAGCGACTGATAAGCCCATATTTACCAGAGGTTATGGTGGTAATTTACCATAATTCACAAGTCGCTGAAATTTCAATCTTCCCCACATGTTGGAATGCTTTCGTATTTTTCAATTCCTTCAATGATGAAGAATATATCAGATACAACTGGATGGGGCTTAGCCAGTGGTTTAATACGAATTCGCGTCGATGTATTGGTCGGTTAAAAGCAATTACTAGTAGTGTTGCATACCAATAAATTTTTTCTGCCTAGGCAGAGAAAGTACGCTTTTGCTGCCTGTTATTAATGTCATAGAAAGCCACTTTCTATGCCGTTGGAGAAAAAAATATGTATTCGCCTAGTTGAGATGTTTAGAAAAAAATATTTCAGTTCAATGAGGATCAGAATATTTTCAACGTCGTATTTTCATGTATTTTCCAATTCCCGCATTGCAGCTTTTGTTAAAAGGGGCGTCTAACAATACACGCAACTTACACAATACACCAAAGGAACTTTATTATTATGTCATTTATGAAAATCACATGAGTTCAGGAATGGTTCAGGTTTATTATTAGTGTTCCTTTGAAATGCCCCAAGCTGGTCTGAAGTTTTCGATACAAATCATGATGAGTGATAGTGAATAGTCATATTTTTGAATTCTATCTGATTATCCAACTCCAATTGACTTATTCGTTGACTTAATTACCAAATGAATGACCAACAAGAGTCGAAATTCTGAAATGATTTGAGAGAGCGTCAAGGTAGGTGATACACCAAGAAAAGTCAATATTCCATTTAGAGTACACGATATTCCCATCGATATCGATGATGCTTAGATTTTTATAATACAAAGCCATCCGATTTCCTTGGTGAATCTCGTAATATGGAATTTTGAATATCTTTTTTGAAATAAATTGAAATATTTATATTCATTTAGGCGTTCAGTATTTTTATAGAAAGCGAATTGTTTCATTTTAATTCGAATTTAAGCACGAAGTGAAAAATACGATAATATTCATAATTATTAAACGTCAGAAAACACCATTCTGAAAAACCACAGCTTCAAACAATAGTCAGTCTACTTCTGCCATTTCAGTGTTAGACAATGTTGATTTTCCACAAAGGAATATAAGTAATTAACACTTATTATTAAGTTCTCCAACAGAATACCTTCAGTCCAGTCCTGCCATTTCATTGTTATAAAATGTCGATTTTATACAACAAACCACACTAGCAAACTCCACTCACAAATGCTATAGAATCATTAGAATCACTGAACTCAACAATTCAATTTGTCACTTGTGTTTCAGGACTGTACACGCTGAAATAATACAAAAATTCTATTCATCACCCTAATGACTAATTAGTAAGATCACGCATCTAACCGATTAATTCCCAAACAAGGTTTTAATCAAAGACTAAGGACAATATCGAAAGTATTCGGGGGTGGAAAGAAATGTAATTTGATATTTACAAGAGAAAACGATACAGAGTCGTTCAAGACACGCTCCTGTGAGCTTTCAATTCAAGTATTTGTAGAAACAAATAAACTGGTCAACAATTGAAAGGTAACGAAACGTAATATTGTTCTCAAAATGTGAAAGTTACAACTTGCAGCGTTTTTTAGACCTACCTATATACCTTATTTATATTTCGCTAGATGAAATAGCGTATTGAAGGTTGGGTAACAAATAGGCGGTTATAATATAATTTTGTTAGCATTCATGGCCAAAATGCTGATTTTTATAGTTTAAAAATATGGTACCTTTTCGACCCCATGGAACATTCACATGAATAGAGAGTTTTTGCAACTTTTCGAAACAATACGATGGTTTATTGCGGCCATTTTGTGCTACTTTCACATGAACATAAGGCGAGTTTCAACTAACAAGACCGATTGTATGAAACTATATGGCAATGCATATACCTTTAGCTAATGAGTTGATTTCTTGTCAAACCAATAAGCTAACAGAGAGGTTTATGCAACTGTCCCAATAATTTCTGAATTTTTATAATTTATACAAATCATATGAATATCATATTTCATTCTATTTTTTTCAGGTACTACTATGCTTCAGCATCAACAATCCCATTTCACTGCGCAACTGCAGGTTGATGTGGTTTCCGGAAATTCGTCGCTTCTGCCCCAGCACACCCGTCATCCTAGTAGGCTGCAAGAACGACTTACGGTAAGTCTTGAATGGAATAGCAAATCCTTCATTCTTGTTGTTATGACTAGGACGAATGCCATCACTCCATGTTGAATTCGGTGAGATCATTCATCAATTAGTAGCCTCTGATTTATTGAAAATAATTAATGTGTTCAGTGTTGAACCTACTATCGTCCGGAGAAAATTTAAAAGTTTTTGAGGTTTCTAGTAGAAACTTGAAGTCATAGATGCTCAATTTATTCTTGAGCCGTCACGACTAGAATCCTAAACTTCTAGAATAGATTCATGATTGGATAATTTGATATATAAAACCAACTTAGAATACGGGACAAGAGCACATTTCAAAGATTACCACCACTTATCTTTTTTTTCAGTTCACGTTTTTTACTATGCAATCGAGAATAAAGCGTCAATGTGGTGAGGTATTGAGAAGGAATATAACTCTTTCAAAGCTCTGTTTTTAAGTTCGATTATCTTAGCTCAATTGGAATATGATTAAATATCAATTTAGAGAAGAATATTTGTCTGACAAAATGTCTAGAGAACGACTTAATGATAATTTATCACCAACCAACTAATGTTTTCAAAAATGTTCGATAAATATTTCTAAAATCACATTGTGAAATTTTCCGACAAAATTTGATTGTATTTAACCCACAATAAGTGGCAATCAATAATTGCTTAAGGTTTGATTAGAATTGATACTAATCAAAAAGCACTAGCAACTTCTAGGTCTTAAGCATTCAAAATTCTGTTTCAACGATCTTTCAAGAATTAATTTTCGATTTAATCTATATCGTTATTATTAAGGAACCGGGCAATGGCATGAAATAAATTACCATTTATATTAAGCTATGTTCCTCAATATTCGGGACCTCCCCCTATTTAAAATTCATTAAACTTGTAGGTAATTAAAAATATTTTGATCTAGTGAGAGTGAGGTGATAAAGGATATAGCAATCTCCACATCGCAAAGTCTATGAAACTTGATAATTGGATCCCGCGATCTCTTGCATCGAAAATAATATATATTATCTAAAATTATATCAACAACAATATCATTCTTCACCTTTCAAGCATTCGGAATATTCACAGAATAATCGGCGATGATGATGTATATTTTTCATATATAGAAGTCCGATTATACTCAGAATTTGACCACAAAGGAGAATTAATTGATTTATTGAAAGTAATTAATGAATGTTTGGCGTGGTAATATTTCAGATCTGAGAGCACTTTTAACGGTCTTTCATTAATTCATACGGTTTTGGGATATTGAAATAGTTATTTATTATACAATTGAAAAAAGTAGTAGATCTTAGCTCGAGATTGTGAGATAAAATCTAATATTTTTCCCGTTTACTATACCCAATTTTTTCCTGTGACAGGAAAAAGAACGAATCAATATCGAGAAGATATTACATTATATTAAAATCAGAAAATTATCTTCGTGAAATTTGAAGTTTTAAACAGGAATTACATTCTGTGATTTTGTTTTTGAAAATTGCAAACTCAGAGTGGTTGTTTATTAATTTGAGTCACCGTGAAGTGGAAGATTGTGAGTAATGTTTCTTGTTTTCTACAGTGAAACAATGTGGTCCATTCGTTTTTGAGCTTTGTGAGATGATATGGATTATTTCAAAGTATTGAGGACTATTGGAAAGTGACTATTATAGTTGAATCACTTGATTCATCCATTACCAATTACTCACTAGGTAGGATCATAATTTCACCACTAGAGGTAGCGTCTAGAATTTTGGAATCGCGAATAAGCAAAAAGACTACTTTTTCCAAATAATATAACCTAACTCGGCCTAATATACCTACAGATGTAAGGAAAGAAATAGTAATTTTCCTAACAAGTGCGGAAAGTGATTCTTTCCCGCACGTGACTGCCGTTGACACGAACGACGCGAAGCGAAGTTCGGGCAAGCAGTCGAGTGCGGGAAAGAAACTTTCCGCATGAGTTAGGAACAATATTTTTTCTACAAGCGTAGGAAATTGATTGAATCATTCAATTGATTATCCAAGCAAATAGGAACAACTAACAAGAGATATATATTCTCTATCTATTAATTATTAGTAATAGCTATTGTGAACTTACAGTTTGACGCATTATGTTGGTTCATTGCGGAAGCCAGCAGGCCCATTAGGAGTTTGGTCTCTAGGTTCCAGACACTTCTATGAAATGAGCCAAAAATACCTATTCTTCATTCGGTTTTTTCATTTCTTTATTGTTGCACCATTCAATAAAACGCGTGTATAGCTTCTCATACCTTTCTTAAGACTTCGTTGGTGATAACGCATCTGTATCAAATCCCTATAGCTAGAAGTTTTTGATCACATTGTGGCATTTCCACTGAATCGAAAATGACAGTAACGCTGTGTCTGTCACTTCGACAATTTCAAATTTATTTGAGGTTTGATTGGCATGACAAATTGACGTTTCCCGTCAGATCAATCCAAATCTATAGGGGGATTTTTATAATAATCAATTTTTATTTCTCAATATTTCTTCATTTTTACAATAAATAGTGCAATTTGATGGATGATTCTGAACATACATCATACATACTTAATACTGCAACAAACAAACTTAAACTTTTATATTCCATCACCAACCACTTAAATATTACTAGCGATTTTATCATATCTTTGTTTTCCCACACTAGTGCGGGAAAAAATTTCCCGCACTAGTGTGGGAAAATTTTCCCGCACTGTTGCGGGAAAATGACACTTCCCAAACTAAATTGCGTGCGGGTATAGGGTGAATAATCACGCACGCTTGTAGAAAAATGTATTTTCTGTACAAGAGATATGAGACTATATACGTTCTCTAATGAATATTCTTATCATCAGCTTATGAACCTTCTTCCTAGAAAGTTTATTACTTTTTGATTGGTCTACACTCTACAGGAATCGCCTATACGTATGTTTCGGTATTTCTTGCGTTTCATAATAAACTAAGAAACAAGTCTCGAACCCCCTCCTTCTATTTTTTCGCCCCCGTTTCAGGTACATGTACCGCGACGAGGCGTACCTGAGCTACTTCCGCGACCGCAGCCCGTTCGTCCGCGCCACCAGGAAGAGCGACCTGGTGATGCCGGACGAGGCTCGAAACGTGGCCCGCGAGCTCGGCATCGCCTACTACGAGACCTCGGTGCTCACCTACTACGGAGTTAACGAAGCCTTCGAGAACGCCATCAGGGCGGCGCTGATCGCGAGGAGGGCGCAGCGCTTCTGGATGACCAACTTGAAGCGGGTACAGCGGCCGCTGCTGCAGGTGAGAGCACAGTTCAGGGAATATACATATACTATATTAACAATACATAATTGAGAATGTATGAATTATTGAATAAGTAATATTTCTCGAGTTCCCAATCGTACTTCAACATAATGGCAACTGTGCTTTGGTCTGCCCCTTCTGACGAAATCGTGACGTCAGTTTTTATTCGCGGCAAAGGACCCCGCACGAAAACACGGTAAATTGGCTCTCGGTCGAATTGACTGAAAGTTAACTATGTTATTGTGGGATGGCTCATTAGAAAAATATGTGAGTTTGAAAAGTTTTGTATGTTTAGTTTCTGAGATATAAGACTATAAAGTTCGTAAAAACGTCGTATCGGGGTAGGATTTTAGTATAAATAAGACAAAATAAGCTAGAAAATGTATTGATCGGAACTCAAATACATGTCTAGTTATGATCACATGAATTATAGTAAATCAGGGTGTATACGAGGCACGGTCAAAAAATTCATTTTTCGGAAAAAAAATTCGAGTACTATTCCAAAAGCAACAAGTTATATTTTGGTGAGACATTATAGTTTTAGTCTATTGTAGGCTTCGGAAACGTATTTTGATTCTTGAGAACTATCTCTGTTCGAAATATGAATTCTTTGAATTTTGTGTTATACCCTTTTTGAAAACAATTGAAAGCTTGTTTTTGATCACAAAGATACTGTTGATACTGTTGATTGAATGAAAGCTGAGGAAACGTACTAGCGAATTCAGTTGTTCAATATTGCCTTTCATTTAGATACAGGGTGTGTTAGATTTTGTTGAAGATTATATAACATGTTTCAATTGAATATCTCGAAAACAGTTCCTTTAATTTGGATCTCATTTTACACACACTATTTTGAATATGTTGACTATCATATGCAAATAGTTTCTCAATTTTTTATGTTTCATTTCTGAGATATCAATTTTTAATAGTAATAACCCTATAATACTTGTAATACTGTAAACTCAAAAATGCTTATCTCAGAAACGAAACATAAAAAAATTGAAAAACTTTTTGCATATGATAATCAAAATATTCAAAATAGTGTGTGTAAAATGAGATCCAAATTAACGAAACTGTTTTCGAGATATTCAATTGAAACATGTTAAATAATCTTCAACAAAATCTAACACACCCTGTATCTAAATGAAAGGCAATATATTGAACAACTGAATTCGCTAGTAAGTTTCCTCAGCTTTCATTCAATCAACAGTATCAATCAATTCCTTTCTTTGTGATCAAAAACAAGCTTTCAATTGTTTTCAAAAAGGGGTATAACATAAAATTCTAAAAATTCATATTTCGAACAGAGATAGTTATCAAGAATGAAAATACGTTTTCGAAGCCTACAATAGACTGAAACTATAATATTCCACCAAAATATAACTTGTTGGTTTTGAAATAGTGCTCGAATTTCTTTTCCGAAAAATGAATTTTTTGACCGTGCCTCGTATACATCCTGATTTACTATAATTCATGTGATTATAACTAGACATGTTTATGAGTTCCGATCAATATATTTTCTAGCTTATTTTGTTTCATTTATACTGAAAAAACAGTTTTTTTCTTTGTCAATTCTACCCCGATACGACGTTTTTACGAACTTTGTCGGCTTATATCTCAGAAACTAAACATACAAATATTTCTAAACTCACATATATTTCTAATGAGCCATCCCACAACAACATAGTCAAATTTCAGCCAATTCGACCGAGAGCCAATTTCCCGTGTTTTCGTGCGGGGTCCTTTCTATCCGATTGAAAATCACCGTAATTGATGATTTCGAAAGGTATCTGAGTGATCATTCTAAATATTTAAGAATTTTAAAAATATAGTCCACTCGCCTATTGGCGATGAATGACCTATACCTGAATATATACAGGGTGTTCCTTAATGATATGATAATATTCATGGGGCCGATTCTTCGACCCATTTCAAGAACAAAGCTTCATATGATCGTATGTCGTAAACGTCCTAACTTTTGAGATACAGGGGTGTCAATGTTGAAAATATGCATATAGATTATTTTTTTGTCCACCCTGTATAGCTTTTCGTGATGGCAAAATTCAGTCTGCTATGTGCTGAATGGAGTACTCAGACATCAAAATTTGAAGTCAGGTCTCGTTTTTTCGTTTTTTCTCGAAACCGAAGCGTTCTATCGAGTATCAACAAGAGGATCTTTTTTGTATATAATTCAATAGCCTCTTATGACATTGCATTATTGTTTTTTGTACAAAGTATTAGTTTTTTATGACTAAATAAACGGATATATATATATAAAATTTCAAATTTGTTTGTCGTTGCTCACTTCTAATTAAAATATGAACGATAAAATTCCCGTTACGGTGCCACTGGTAGAGAAAATGAAAATGATCGTGCATCAGGAAATGCACCTTATTGATGCATAAAACACGTGTACCAAATTTCATAAAGATGTATTCAATATTGTCTCAGTTAAATTATTATCAAAAAACTGAATATTTTTCAAAACTTCATCACAATGTATCTCAAAAGTTAGAACTTTTAGGACATACGTTCATATGAAGTTTTCTTCTTAAAATGAGTCAAATAACCATCCCCTCGAATATGAGCATGTCTTTAAGGAACACCCTGTATATCATTGTCTTTATTTTAGTCACCATTTAAGCCACCGCCACCCCCGAAACCTGACACCCACATATCGCTAGGATCACACAGCGAGCACATGCGTCATCTCTGGCTGAGCAGGGCCCATACGGACATCGTCTTAGTTGTAGGATCCATGGGATTCCCGGCTCACAGATTCGTCTTGGCTGCAAGCAGCACGGCATTCTACAGGTGATCATCAGTTAAGCCCTATGGTTTCTCTGACCAGATCGGCCCGAAATATTTCGGTGATATAGCACAGAGAGTTCGTTAGCGTTTCCGGTGAAATCAAGCGTATTTGTAGTACGTAATGGCGGTTTGTATAAAAGATCGGACCGAAATTACGGGGAAGTGAATGGATAACAGTTCGTCGGAATCAACCAGTGTTTGATTTGACCGGTTTCAAAATGGCATAGTTATACATCAAACATGTATAAAACTGATAAACTATAAGCAAAATGCGCTTATGATATGCCAGTCATTATTATTGCTGCATGAATCACCATTTTCCCCTTACGACTTCAATCTTGTTACTTAAAACCTACGATTTAAAATTCAAGCTATAAACTGCTGCATAAATCCACCATAATAATTTGAATGTTTGAAATTACATATGCCGCTCTTACTGATTATAGCCTAGCAATAACACCACTATATACGGAAAATATTGCCACGGTGGCAACTCAAGAGCGTATAAAAGCTGTAGTTTGTTTTGCCATAGGCGTGGTGTTCATTGGAGTATACAGTGTGTCCCACTAACCATGCTCACCATGGGTATCTTTTTAACGGTGAGAGATACGAAGTCGGTTAAATGACACCAAATGTTGAGTTTGTCAAGGCCAACTATAATGTGAAAAAATATTTTGATAAAATCTATTCGTTTTATACGCAAAAAACAGATTTTGATCATTTTCATGTCTCCTCCGTAACTTCTTTATTTATGAAAACATTCAAATAGAAATTTCACATCCTCATGGCAGTTTCTCAACGTGATTTCGAAAAAAATATGGAATTTATACCAACTATTCTAGAATTTGAGATATCAACACCAACTTCAGTTTTTCAAATGTAGGTCATAGCTCAATATGACTTAGTTACAAATAACTTTTTTTTCTCTTACAGATGATGTATCGCAGTAATAGTTTTGTGTTGATAACAACGGAGTTATCGTCATTTATACAAATACAAAAAAATATTTGGAAGCCGCCATCTTGAATTCATAAATTTCAACAAAAAAATCATGATCTCCGACCTCAAAAACCCCCACTTACCAATTTTGAATAGAATCGGACCAAATCTTGTCCGCCATCTTGAAGCAGCCATTTTTTTTATTTCAACAAAAATTCCATAATGTATTGTCACCGAAATTATGAACACCAGCCAAATTTCAAGTTAATCGGAGTTATGGAATTTTTGTTGAAATTAAAAAAAATGGCTGCTCCAAGATGGCGGACAAGATTTGGTCCGATTCCATTCAGAATTGGTGAGTGGGGGTTTCTGAGGTCGGAGATCATGATTTTCTTGTCAAAATTTATAAATTCAAGATGGCGGCTTCCAAATAATTTTTTGTTTTTGTATAAATGACGATAACTCCGTTGTTATCAACACAAAACTATTATTGCGACATATCATCTGAAAGAGAAAAAAAAGTTATTTGTAACTAAGTCATAGTGAGCTATGACCTACATTTGAAAAAGTGATGTTGGTGCTGATATCTCAAATTCTAGAAGAGTTGGCATGAGTTTCATATTTTTTTCGAAATCACTTTGAAAAACTGCCATGAGAATGTGAAATTCCTATTTGAATATTTTCATAAATAAAGAAGTTACGGAGGAGACATGAAAATGATCAGAATATGTTTTTTGCGTATAAAACAAAAACGAATAGATTTTATCAAAATATTTTTTCACATTATAGTTGGCCTTGATAAACTCCACATTTGGTGTCATTTAACCGACTTCGTATCTCTCACCGTTAAAAAGATACCCATGGTGAGCATGGTAAGTGGGACACACTGTATAGTGTTTCTTCCTAAAAGACCGGGGTTCGATCTCTACTCCAACTAATCTTTTTTAAATTTTTTTAGAAGTAATTAATCGAAAAAATACTATGGAGGCATTTATTGGTTTGACCGATAGTGATTCGCTATTTCAATTATGTTTCTTCTGAGGATCGGCCTGAAATTTTCAGTTTTTCGCGTTCAACTTCAATTTCGGAATCGGTAAGTTATATTTCGGAAAAAGTAATCTCGATTTCAGAAAACGTCCATTCATTTTCAGCAATGGTAAGTTGTATTTCAGTATTGGTAGGTTCAATTTCAGATAATAAATAGTGGTAGTTCTGGATAATGCACCTGCACATTCAAGAATAGAAGAGAAATGCAAGGAGGAAGAATTTCAAGATGTTATATTTTGCAAATAAGCACCTTATGTTGAACCCGATTGGAGATATATGGGTGCATGACTTCAAGTTAGAAGGGAAGAGCTTTTTGCTGACAAATATAAGGATTTGTTTTCTGAAATTGAACCTACCAATTCTGAAATACAACTTACCATTTCTGAAATTGAATAGACTTTTTCTGAAAATCATCTCACCGATTCTGAAATTGAGTTTACCATTTCTGAAATCGAACCAACCAATTCTGAAATGGAGATTACTTGTTCAGAAATATAACTTACCGATTCCGAAATTGAAGTTGAAAAGGTATAGTGCTCTCACTGTGTCCTCAGGCTCCTCACGGCCGACCTGATGGCGCGCAGCACCAGCGACTCCAGCATGGTGAGCTCGTTGGGCGACTTTGCCGACGACACCGAATGCCTGGTACGCGCCGAGCAAAGGACGAGCCGACGGCGCGCCAGTTGCCAGGCGCTGCCCGCGGCCAGAGACCCCGCCCAGCCGGTGTTCCAGGGCATCAGGACGGCGCAGCCCGAGGGCCAGACGGTGGTGACGCTGAGCAAGCTGGTGACGGCGGGCGCCATGTTGCAGTGTCTGCAGTTCGTTTATACGGGCACCGTGGACCGCAGCGCGCTCAATTTGAGGGTGGGTGATGAATGGACACTATTAAAGAATTGAAGTAATCACTGTACGTATGCCTCCACGTAGACGTTAAAGTACGAAAAATATCGTTTTTCGGTGACCGTCCGAAAAGTGCTCACTTCCCGGACGCTTTTTTCTTTGAGAAAGTAGCATTTTTCCGGCCTAGTCCGGGAAGTACTTACGGGAAGTATCACATCGATCGTTACTGTCACTGTAACTAAATGCAGATGATAATTACCATCGCAGCGGAATATCGGTTGTAATTATCGGAAGCAGCAGCGATAGTGAGTTTGAAAATGTCCATACGAAATTTCCAATGTAACAGTTAGTAGGTGTAGGTATTATCTTCAAATTTCAGAATTTTGATACAAAGAAGAAATTGTATTCTACAATGAAATATAATATGGAAATGTGTCTTGTCATTGATTTGTTATTTACATGGTTGTCGAGAAAATAGTGTACGCAACACGTACAAAAACAGTTTTTTTTGCTCGCAGACTTCCAGGACTCGCCTCTACGGCTCGGCCTAGAATTTTGTCTCCTCGTCCAAAAAAAGAATATTTCCCGGACATGTTACGTAAATTACTATTACGTATTGTCTTTGAATTGAGTTGAAGTCGTCACTTTGGTCGTCATTGTCATCGTAACGTAATAATACTTTTTGATTTCGATCTGTATTGGTCATTTTTGGTTGTTTATTTAGATCTGAACATTCATTCCAGTTAAAATGAGAGGATTCCTTGATCCAGAAGTCCTTGGAGATCTTGAATTCAATAATAAATAACCATACCTTTGAGGACATTCATTTCGATGCTTGGTATTACTCTAAGCAATAACCTTTCTTGGGAAAATCACGTGAGATCGATTGCTAAAAGTGCATCCCAAAAACTTGGTATTCTATTTCGGGCCAGGAGCTATTTATCCACTTCCAGTCAGCTGCTTATGATCTATAAGGCACAGATCCCACCTGTCCTGGAATACTGTTCCCATATTTGGAGTGCAGCACCCAAACTGTTGGATTCTGTCCAAAAAAGGGCTATTCGTCTCGTGGGTGATGCCTCGCTCACAAACTCACTCACTTCTCTGGAACACCGTAGAAATGTTGTCGATCTGGCGTAATTTTTTTAGTTGAAATATATAGCTGAGAGACATCAGGGGGGTCCCAAAATGCAACATTTTCAATTTCGCCCGCCTGTATTTTCAAAAGGTAGCGTGCTGTAAGAAGTTCGTTTGCATTATCGTGAGTTTCACAAAAAAGTAGCTAACGTTCGTGAAAACCGCAAATATCTATCTTTGAAAATATGTGAGAAATGCCGTAAGGACATCGATCATGGGACCGATTCATTTTTTTTCATTTCTCCCACAGGAGACTTGCGAAGCTGCCGAATTCCTCGAACTGCCCCAGCTGCAAGTGCTGCTCACCAAACACCCCTTCGTCGCTCCCGATCCCCCCGACGAGGACTACGAGAACTTCCTCAAGCGGCGCTTCCAGGACGTCTGCCTGGACCAGGGACTCTTCGCTGACGTCATCTTCGAGATGGACGACGGCGTGTGTGCCGCCCACAAGGCCATGCTGGCTGCCCGGTGTGACGTCATGAAGGCCATGTTCAGCGGGGATTTCCGAGAGAGTCAAGCTAAAGTGGTAAGTATACTTCCCATATATAGCACTCGGACGTCCTGAGGACTTCCAGTTTAGGCCCGATTTAGGTCTGAACATCCGCGACTTTTTCAAGACGTACTGAAAACGCCCCCTAGGCAACCAGATGACGTTCCAGTGACGTCTTTTTTACGTCACTTGAATGACCAAGGTGACGTCAGTACCTAGTTGACGTCGCATGACGTGATAATGACGTGAATAAGTCACAGTCCAATGTAACTCACGTCGTATTGACGTCATTCACTCACCAAACTGTGACGTCCGACTGACGTCATAATGACGATTAAATTTGGCAATGTTACCTAAAAAAGATTCCTTTAACATGGTGTGATAAACACCACTGGCCTCTGATGACATTATATAATATTGATTATGCATTGTTGAGTCTGATGCTTGGTGGGCCCCTCCTGTGTCATGTTCATTCAATCGCCTATTCAGCAGCACTATCCTTCAGTACGCATCTCCATCAGAATGCAATCAGTTACTCGTCTTTGTATTAAAAATTATGTAGTTTGCGTCGGCGAGATGTAAGCAAACAAAGAATAGTTTGATAGCAATGGAAAGAATGTTGGCGAATTTGGCTTCACTTTGTTGAATAATGTATATTGATGCATTTTTCGTCACCCAACAAAAATAATCTCAACCAAAATTCTATTTTGGTAGAACTGATGATTAAAATTCACAAAATTACAGTATCGTACTTCCAAATTCAATCTCATTTGATTTGAGGTTATGTTATGAATGTTATGATATCATTATTTCTGGTGCAAGCGGCGTGTAAGCGCCGTTTTCTGTTTCCTGTCATGAAAGAAATCTGTATAAAGTGTCGTCATCTTACGGAAAACTGAGAACTAATATGCCATTATTGTGGAATCTGCGGTCACGCGTTTTGGGAGAAACAATGAAACACTGTCTGCAGAGATTATACACATATTATGCTGTCTGTGATTACTGATTACACCACTATCAGGAAAACGTTCTGCATACGTCGTTGAGAAACTTATTCATGCACTTCCACTTCACCATAAATCAAAAGAGCGTATCAACTATTTAGTTCATTATTCCCATAAATGTGCCATTTCTCAATAATTTTGCTCAGGATAGTGATTGCACAGGTGCCGGTCGATAAAAATAGTAGTATAGTAGTTTTATTCGGATCAAAAGTGATACTTTGTTTGACAATCGAATTTTGCATTTGCGAGGCGGAGCGTCTAGCGAAGCCAAGCGAAAGCAAAATTTGCGAGTCAAACAAAGTCATCATCCAGATCAACATTCAAACTGTACTGAATAGGGCATTCTAATTTCTGTTCTTCTTCAGATCGAGTTTCCTGGTGTAAGGGAATACACCTTCCACAAGCTGCTGTGTTTCTTGTACACCGACGAGATCCCGGCTGTATCAGCGGTGAGGTGCGTCAATTTGCTAGAGCTGGCTAATAGACTGTGCTTGCCTAGATTGGTCAATTTAGTGGAGATGCGGGTGATTGAGGATTTGGAACGGTTACAGCCGTCCGAAGCCATAGAACAGTGTTTGAGACTGCTGGAACCCGTTAAGGTAAAATATTGGTTCCTATAGGTGATTCCTCATTGACCATATGGACGATGGCCACTTCCAGTATAAATGAGTTATTTTCAGTTCAGAATGACGAGTGCATATTATATTGTGCAATGCTCTGATGGATGTATGCATAGTCGCTGATGGAATTTTCATGCATTGATTTTTTTGTTGTCATAAAAATTCCTCCATTTGTTTTGTCCTGTTCTACTTATTTCGAAATAAATCCTAATTTTACTCATATAAAATCGAAAAGAGAACATCCTAAAAATTCTAGTGACTATTCCACCAAAGAATAGTAGGTTCCTCTTTGATTCCACTCTTGAATGTTCACAGTTTCTTCTGTTTTACAGCGATAATTTTTTGTTTACTAAATCTGATCGGACTTGCTCTACCAATACAGAAGCCGAATTGACCCACACGTGACCAAACTTCCTCGTTGTTGAGCGATAAAATTTTGGACGTTTGAAACATCAATTATGTTGGAAGCCAGAATGATGGATGCAATGTACGCAACTCTCGAAAGCCACTCGTTTAATGTCTCAATCATGGAATACTCATACGAATACAACTGCTGATACCATTTTTCCTGGAAATATTCGTCGATTGTGATACTCCAGCTTGCTGCCTTAATTTCGCTCATGACATTGTTCCAAAACTGGTTCGAAAGTTTTGATAAACAATGTCATCAGGTGAAACTATTATAGGCAACAATAGGTGTCGTTACAATCGTCGGATATTTCCGCCAAAATAGTATCACTTGAAACATTCCACTTCCTCGATATAACTAGATACTTATAGTATTTAGTGGTTTTTGAGATGGGTACCTATTACTTATTATAATAAGGTAGGTTTCGATAAAAAATCCTTAATGTCTGAAAATTTCGTGACAATCAAAATTCAACAATTATTTACATAAAAAGAGTGTTGCAAAATTAATTTAGGTCTCTAACGTCACAGTGGAGTAATATTGAATGCCAATAATTCATTATCAGTCCACTCTCCTGTTATTGCCAGATCTACGCCTTCGTAATCTAAAACCTTATCATAGGTACCCTTTATTTTTGGACCATGAAAAGTGGAGGCGAGGAATACTTTTTATTTGCCCACTGAATTTTCCTGCGGTTGCAGCTGCACAACGGCCACCAGCTGGCCGACTGGTGCATGAGCCACTTGTGCGTCAACTACAACAAGCTGTGCAAGATGTCACCGCGCAGCTTGCGCTTGTTGCACCCCGACAACCAGGCGTACCTAGTGGAACACCGATGGCCGCCCGTCTGGTACGTATGAACCAAGGTTATTTCTTCTATTAACCTTGCGTATGAACTAGAGGTCGGAAAATATCGATATATCTATACCAAGACGATCGAGTATCGATACATTTTTATGTGGTATCGATACTGACAGATGACATTATATTTTTGTCGAATGACAACAGTCACCTTCGGTTTGGAGTCTAATCCTTGCATTGAATTTATACTTCAAGATATATCAATATATATGGCCTTTTTGTATTATAATCAGTTTCAGAGCAATAAAATTGCTCCTATGCTACATTCGAATGATGGTCAGTGACACTTTTGACATTACGACAATAATCGATTTATAAAATGCTCTATTTTGTAGTATCGACAGAGTATCGGAGTGTCAATGCCAAGTATCGATATATCAATATTTTGGTGGGTTTTAGTATGGATACTCTCCGACCTCTAGTATGGTATCTTTATCTCTGATTCAGAAAACCCCCAGATGCAAATTGTGAATCGAATCAGACCATAATCAGAAAACTATATAGTCTCATATTGGAGTCGCCATCTCGAATTCTTCAATTTGGACAGAAGTATCATGATTTCCAACCCCGAAAACCCCTGTATACCAATTTTGATCCGAATAGAACCATAATCACAAAAATCATCCGCCATTTTGTTTTTTCCATTCGATAATAATGTCACAACAAATCGTCAACGGAATTATATCATTCACTTGCCAGATTTTAAATCGAGATTGGACGTGAGTCAAATGTAACTTGCAAGTTTTGGTTACAAATAACAGTCACCAGGACATTTTAAAAACTATTAAAAGCTTTATAATGTAATAAATGGAACAAACAGATTAACAGAAGAAATAGATAAGGTCCGATACAACTCTGGTATCGGTATGACCGATTGAGTCTACTGGTTGCCTGGGGTCGTTTTTCATCTTTTTTTTTTGCTTGTCTGGTGAGGAGGTGAAAATCAGCGAAACTTATGTGATTTTTCCGTGATTTGAAAGATAAATTTGAAGGCATGCATGGACCAAAAAGACGTCTTTTTAGAAAATGTACATCTTTAGGACGTTTCTGAGACCTAAAATGTACGTCTTAAATACGTACTTACGTCTTGGGATATAACGTATCAAAGATGTAGGTACTTTGGCTGATTGGGAATCGACCCCAAAATAAATAAAATTCAATATATTCGACCAATATACCTACAGTGCGACTGTCTCACAGGTACCTCAAGGACTTCGACTACTACCAGAAGTGCCTGGCGGAGCGCGACAAGGAACTGAAACCGACGAACGGGGCCGGTTCCGGCTGTCTGTGCTTCTCCAGGAAATCGGAGTCCGACCCTGCGATCTCGTCGAACCAACAACTGTGACGATATGCGCAATATGCGATATGACCACTATGACTGTGACTGACACCGGTTCGTTCAGTCGTATCGTTTTTTCCATCGTCTGCTAAATATGGAGAAAAAATCTAGTGAGCTGTAGTATCTGGTCTGCTCAAACAAGGGAAATCACCTCTGTGGCCGATACAGTAGTGTCACCATACGGTGAAATCGAGGAAACACTCATTTCAATTGTTTTCCTGTCAAACCTACATAACCTTGAAAATCGTAAACGAGTTGAGCAGCTTCCTCAGAGGTGCTCTCAGCACTTTCGGCCTGCCGCGTAGTTTCAGTATCACGATATGTAGTCACGGGTCACGGTCACTCAGTCACTCAAAAATTCAAAAAATCATTCCTTCTCAAAATGGTTGCTACAGACACTACAATAGTCTCCAATTCCAATAATTCCTGTAACACTCAATATTGAATGTATTCACTTATGTCGCAGAAGAATATCACTTGGGAATCTATATGAATGGAGACTGTTTCACACTTTCTGGTAGACACAATTGAGAGACAGAGTTTGTAACAAATAATCAATCAGAATAAACTATGAAACTGGGAGCACAATACAAAACTATATCTATAAATGAAAGGAATATTTGAACAATGAGAATTGATGATTTTTTTCAAGAAAAATACAATACAAGTCACATTGGGACAACGGCTCCTGATACTGATAACTTACATAACCACAAATTTCGAAAATTTTCTAGAAAAAAGGTGAAGATCATTTCGTCCGATACGGTAACATTCTCTGGTGGTCATATACTCAACTGAGCTATAGAGCAGTCCAGTAGTTACAGCTCACTAGATTTTTTCTCCATATTTAGCAGACAATGGTTTTTTCAACGGCTGCTAAATGAAAATATCGGTTGGTTATACAGGGTGTTCCTGAATGATATGCAAATATTCAAGGGGCCGATTCTTCGACCCATTTCAAGAATAAAACTTCATATGAACATATAATATGTCGTACACGTCCTAACTTTTGAGATACAGGGTGTCAATGTTGAAAATATGCATAGATTATTTTTTTGTCTACCCTGTATAACTTTTCGTGATGGTAAAATTCAGTCTGCTATATGACTGAATCGGTACCTATGTATTTCAAAATGTTACATACGGTGGTTATTCAGCAATGGATGTTCTGAATCTGAATCAAAATTTGAAGTCTGGTCCCGTTTTTCCGTTTTTCTCGAAAACGAAACGTTCTATCGAGTATCAACAAGAGAATCTTTTCTTGTACAGGGTGAACAACTAAGAACGGCTTCTATATCTATCATTATTCCAACTTTGATAGTTATTATGTTATTAATATCTTCCGTTGACGAAAAGCTATCATGTCGCGGATTTCGTTGGTATGTTGAGATTTAGTTCCTCTATTACATTGTGTAATGATATGCATACCATTAGATTTATTCTATCTCAAACTTGTATCATTATTCGTTGCTGAGATATGGCCGACAGTCGTTCTTATAGTTGTTCACCTTGTACATAATTAAATAGACTTTCATTGGGATTTTGAGATACCTAATGTTTCATTAATAGTTGGTCATGATCGAATACTTGACAAAAGTATATAAAACAAATTAAACACAACATATTTTGGACTAAAAGAATAGGTAGGTACCTATACCTAAGCATCAGCCCTACTATAAAATAAACTCGCCTGAATGGAAATATAAAATTAGGAACGTTCAAATTTTCGAATTCAGCACCAAAAGTTGAGCAAGAATACAAAAACCATCCTCATGGAGGAACCCCTTCAAGCGAGTATAACTCTTTCAGGAACCTATGCCAACCTATGTTTATATTCATACAGTGTCCCTCCCTTTTTAAACCCTAAAAGCCGCTGGTATAGGGTATTTTACACTTACATAGGAAAACGCGGACTTTATATGGATATGATATAACATGGATATATCCAACTATATTTTCTTTTTGAAAGATAGCCCAGTGACTGTGAACTGAGACTAAAACTGTTTTGGTATTAATGATATCTTATGATATCGTAGAATAAGGTATGTACAGGGTGGACCAGTTAAGCTGTCTATTGAGATTACTCAAGGTCCAAAAAATCAAGTATATGTATAGAGGGAAAGCATCCATTATGATGTGAATTTATTTTATAAGTTTCGCAAAAGTACCAGAGGTAGCCATGAACACTGTAAAACATAGACATTTCTCCTATATCTATATACAAGAACATCAAATTTCTTATTCATTGATGATTTGTTTTGCTGATTTATCATGATATTTGATATTTTCTATTGGAAATCCTGATACACCTCACTTATTGAAATTATTATCCATAGGTACTTCATATTTCACACATAACATGGGTACATGGCAATAATCAATACCTTCTAATATTATCATATTGTTTTATGCATTCAAAGACTTTTTGAGTAATAATTCTTACATAGCTTGAATGGACCAACTGTAGTATGAGCAATGCTCCTCAAATATTTTCTCCAAATTGTACCCATATCAAGTGGTTGAAAATATAATTGTTCAATACCCTTTATAGGTACTTACATACCATCCCATAAGTTTTTTTTCGATTACTCAACATCAAATTCAAATATTATAGGTTTCCCAGAGGTTTGACTCATACCCATCAGTGATGTAGAAGAACATGTTTGATGGACATTCTTGACGGATGACTATTCTCAACTTCTGTGATTCGTCTGGAATCATTTGATTGTCCAATATGTACTTACATTCTCTATAATAGCATTTAATTAGGAATTCACTACTGTATGCTACTGTGCATTAATTTTGGAAAATATATTAATAAACCGGGCAGCAGTAGGTAAATATAATTCCCGTTTCTACTATTTATCACTTTGGTTTTGTTTTCATGATATATATTATTTACCACCAGTACCCAGTCACTGGTTTCAGGAAGCACAATTCGCGGGAATCAATGTCACCAGGTGGCGCTCGGTTTTCATCGTTCCATGTCAAAGCCACGTCAAAACTGGGGGAAAACAAACTCAATCCACACTCAATCCCATTAGTGCCATTATAGCTTGTGTACCGTGTACTGATGAGAGTAATAACACTTTATGTCATTGACAAGTTTGAAAACTACAGCTACAGCAAGATGTATGCAATGTAGTCTATGCACTTTATCCATAGACAATAGTTTGTTTTCCCCCAGTTTGAAGTTCGTATTATGTAACCTAGACGTCGCCCACTTCGTGAATCTCGCGAATATATCTTTTTATAGAATTTTGGGTAAATATTTCGAACGGAATATTCTGAGAATATGTTTTAGTGAATGTTCAAAGAATATTTGTTGCAGAATGAAAATTTTCGACGAACATTCTAGAGGGATGTAATCCGTCCAAACCTCTTTCAATCGATGAATCATGATTTACATTCAATATTCAATGTACAATCAATATTATAAGTTAAAGTAAAAGGGAATCGAATCTATAGCGTCTTGGAATCAGCATAATTCCATTCGATATTTATATGAAGTGTTACAGTGTGATTGGCCAGCTTAAGGACAGAAGTGTTGGGACTAATACGTCATACCAGTCACACCAATAAATTTACACCAAATGGTGCAGGAAGTGTGTGTGCATTTTCTAGTAGTTTTTTGGTATAGAGCTCGTCACGATGATTACATTTCAAAACGTCAGTGGTCTCGCCCCCAACAAATATGTTTTGGATTTTCATATTTCAGTGAATGAAAATAATCTGGAAAACCTACAATTTGATCAGCATATTTTCTTTCTGCCACTTGATACAATATATGCACACTTTAAATGTTAAGCGTCTTGATAAATGACTAGACCGACCTGAATTATCCTCGAGTCAAGGTTTACTCATAGTATGTATGTGCTACTTTGCATGAAAATTATTCATGACGTCAATTTTTCTATGAAACAAAGCTTCTAGATTTATAGAAACATTTTTTGTGAAAATCAAAATTATTTGAGGTTTTTCTACAAGTTTGAAAGCAAGTGATTAGCTGCCCACTTGAAAGTAAAAGGAATTTAGACATATAGAAATCATCTACATGAAGGCATTTTCATGAGTACCCACCTACCTACACCATTGTATATATACACACATTGAATCACGAGACTATTCATTATAACTATACAGCTTGTAATGAATAAAAATTCATGCACAGTTTTGGATAAAACACATGGTATTTTTGAACTCGAGTCACCTCAACATTTTACCAACATTTTGATACTTTTGATCCAGAAGGTCTGTCTAGTTCACTATATATAGTCCATACCTACTCATTTTGTATATTTGTGTATTAATTAGTACTATTATAGTAGAAGTTCAACCTAAGCATTTTATTGATTGAATAATATAAGGACATAGTAGGTACATTTGCTAGGGGTGTTTTTGAACATCACCAATCCCCTTTATTTTCATAAAACTTATTACAGTGGTGAGTAGGACTGTTGAAAATCATTATTCAATCATTCTAATTTTTGTTGAAGCTTTCAAGCATTATAAATTACAAGATAATGGGTGTGAATTATGTGTATCTGGGGTTTCCAAGAAGTGGATTGGTGATCTACATCACCCCTGGAACAGATGTATACCAGTCACTATATTTAATCATCAAAATGTGTCTACTCACTTTGAAGACTCTGATCAGTGTTCCACTGTTTATCATTTATACAATAATTAGGACCAACTTTTTAATGGCATGTAGAGTTATTTACTTTAATTGTTGCTTCTTTGTCATTCATCTTCAGGTAATTTTCCATTTCCTTTAAATTCAATGTTAGTGGTATTTATGTAGACTATTCTCCAAAATTGCGAATTGTAAAAACTAAGGCATATAGAACTATTGGAATATAGTCTACAGGATTATGGTTGGTTCCACATTCCACATGAAGATACACAAATCTCTCAGATTCTAATTATAAAAAGAAATCAACAAGAAATTGATCATCCTTCAGATAAATAATAAATTCCTACTAAAAAATTGAAGATCAATCATTCATAATCATATGAGGTACCTATATATACAGTATTCCTTTCAACTCATACTTAATATTCAACAAAGAACTTAATGCAAACATATCAGCCTCATGATTTTTAAAAGCTCTGTTTCCTAGTCCATTTGAAAGTTTTGTTTTTGTTAAGTTGAATGACAATCGATAATCAGTTGTTTAGTATATAACTTCTGAATACTTGACTCTCTGAGGAAGGTAGATATTTCATATTCCAAATATATTTACCTACTCAACAACCATGTATGTGTGCAATAATTTGCTATTCTCAGAGCTATTCTATAATAAAGGTTTGTAAGAAAAAGTAAGTGTATTCATTCTATGCTACATTCAGAAGTATGAACATCACTAGCAATACCAGTCAGACGAACTCGACAATCCCAGTCAGCACATACCTTCGTCGTCAACCTTGAGATATGTGGAACAAATCTTTACCAAAACTCGTTTGTCTATAGAACTGAAGTTTTGTCAAGAACTTATGATTTCTAAAAGTTGAAAAAAAATCCAATACATACCTCCTCTCCCTAACCTCCCTAGACCTCACAAAGTTCTCTGAACATTAATGGAATTCCCTTTCATGCACCCAAAGAGTTGAAAATAATTAACATTTGTTTTTCTCCAATGGAAAGGAGAAGATATATATTTGCTGCTTATTACTGACAAAATGAAGTAGATGAAGAAACTGGTGAAGAAACAAGTAGCAAAGATTTTTCCAACGACTCATATCCAAAATGAAACTGGCATGATTAAAAAAATATTGAATTAATTCTAAATTCAAGTTCTATTTCTCCTTCAAGAAAATGAGAAGGTAATTTACATCAATTTCATAATTCCTTCATCTTAATATCCCTGTTTTCTTATGAAAATTATCATTACAATGAGATATATTTGAAGTGTAAATGCATAATCAGTATACACAACCTAAATCATAAAGCAATACCTAAAGTATCAATTTCTCCTTTTAGTTCATTGAATGTATCACTGTAGTCATCATGGGATCTTATCAGTACAGTCACACAGCCTCTTTTGACTCCTAATGCTGCTCCCAGGTCTTTTCTACTTGGGACATAAACATAGGGAATTTTGCGCTTCTCACAGACAACAGGTAGGTGACACATTATTTCAATGGGATAAATGTCCCCAGCAAATAACACGATTCCAGTTTCACCTTTTCTTATTCTTCTCTGGACATCTTTCAAACCAACCCTTATAAATGTTTTTTGCTTCACAGCTAAAACATAAATGATAAAAGATTCTAAATGGAAGCATTGTAGATAGACAGAATTTCAACTCTCAAACACATTTTTATCCGCTCAGGACGGCTTGTACAAAGATTTATAAAAATACAACATTGACAAGTGATTCGTTCTGATGCTACGATGCTAATGACTAAACCTGCTTCAATCTTCGATCACACGATGATTACGAATACCGATGAGTCGTCGATGCCGCTTGTGATATGGCATTCTTCCCAATTGCGGGAAAATAACCAGTTTTGAGTATACCCTGGTTCAATATTTTGTTAGCTTTCACGTGCTATACTGTAACACAAGAGTCTCGAGATCATACCCGTGTGTTCACCGAACACGCCCGATCGTTACCTAAGCGGGGAGGAGACGTATACAGGCAGCTTCTCTCGTTATGAATATTAGCGCGTGCCAGAATTATTTTGGAGTCAAATTTGTCAATCTAATGGAAACACTCCTGTATTTTACGTAATTGTTGAGTTATCAGGATTCTAAAATTTACAAGAGCCATAGGTATAGAATATAGATATAGGTACCTACCAAAAATAAACTCTTTGACCAAGTGGGGACATCTTCAGTGATATTATATACACTGCTCATTGATTGTATCTTTCTTGCTGCTGTGAATAGAATACTTACGTAAGATACGGGGGTGCTTTCATGTAAATTGAAACAAAATTTGATTTTTCAGAACTGAACATTTCTCAGGAACAATATGAATAGTCAGTGAATTGGACGTCCTGATTTCGAATCCGAAGTGATTTTCAACCTATCTTGCCTCCTAATATCATTTTCCGGAAATGTTGGTGGGTCCATGACCCGAGCAGTGTATTTCACTGAAGATTACCTCACTTTGGTCATAGTTGATATATATATCTATCGCTCCTGAAAATTGAACAGTTACGTTAGATAATAATATACGGGTTGACTCCACTAGAACTGACATGCACACTGTTTATATTTTTAAATACATCCAGTGGAATTGAATTTTATTTTATGTTGAATATTAGAGTGTGTTTTTTTTAGGTGATATATTTGTTTTGTTTATTTCAAATATATACAGTATGATGCAAATGTATGAAATACCTAAATTCATTTCAAAACAAGACGACTTTCGAAAAAAAAACAAAAACTAGAGTTTAGAACTTTTTTTTCGACGTATTTTTTTAACTAGACGACCCTTCGATGTTCAATTCTCAGTAGCAGACCTCAAGGAATATCAAGGTGTCACATATGACCCCTATTTGTATTTGAAAAAATCGTCCATTACGTCTTTACTCCAACACCGGTGACGTAAAATCTCTCATATGAATATCATGAGATGAGGCTTCAGAAATTAAAACTCACGTGTTTTTGGATTTTTTTTAAATGTCGCCCATTACTGAAATAATGAATTTATTCCATACATTTGCATCATACTGTATATTTTTTTAGTAGGCATACTAGAACTTCTTTTATATAATTCTGAAATCTCTGATCCACCCTGTATTTGTTTCAATTAAATGGCACCAGTAGATAGTAAATAGAATGTTAGGATAGGGACACATGTAAGCCATTTTGACAAATCAATATATAGGTATTGTATAGTTTCGATACAAAAAAATCTCGATTTTTCACATTCTACGTATAATAGGTATACCTTGAGCTTGATCAACGAAATCATAGCTCAATTAGAAGAATCGAAAAATGTAATAAAATATAAGGTGTTCCATTTTGAATAACAAAGCTGCTGCTGCTACTACTATACTACTACTACTAACTACTAATAATAATTTCTAGTGAAGCAGAACATTTTCGAAAATAATTTGAATAAAACGAGCGTCCTCGCCAACAAAACATAAGCATCATATAATATGTACATAAATATAGTTTCATGATTTTGGTTCGCTATTTACATGTAGGACTCGTCGTGACATGCAAATCAAATCATCGCTTTTATTATCTGATAGGTCGCAGTAGATCACTTGATGCCTAACAAATGTTTCTTATTTATTCGAAAAAAAAAAGTTGAAATGTGATCAAGAAAACTGTTGGTGGCCCACCCCGTACTACAAAAACAGAGATAGCATGAGAGAAGCTGCCTGCTTACGTCTCGGCCTCCCCACCGCTTTGGTAACGATCGGGCGTGTTCGGTGAACACACGGGTATGATCTCGAGACTCTAGTTACTGTAACAGCTGAAAGTTTCAGTACTGACCAAGAGATGGTGCTAGTTACTCTATAGAACTGAAGGAAACTTCATTTCCATAGAATTCCATACTGTAATAACTTGATACAAGAATCAAGACTTGTTGCAGTTTTGGACTGTGAAATATTTTCAGTGAGTTGTTACATTGCATAGCTCAAAATAGTCAATTTCAACACTCAAAACAGACTTAACCCTGTTGATTCATGACTTAAAAAACCAGAAAATAAAAAAACAAAAAATGCAAGGAAAAAATTTGAGAAAGTGTCTTCTATTTGATGTTCCAAAAGGGGTAAGGGGGGTATAGATAGTATGTATTACCTGATACTAGGGTGACCACATTTTGGAAATGAAAGAAGGGGAAGAGTATTACAATTAGTATTTAGTATTATAATAAGTGGAAACAGCACCATAAGCAATTTTTTTGAACTATTCAAGGTCAATTGCCTTCAAATTGGATTTTTTTTTGGGTATACTTATGTATTTTTGTCTGAAAAATGCGAATTTGATAGTGAAAATGTGAACAGACCATTATTTATTGAGATATTTCACTATAAAGTTACACATTTCACTTTCTTTTCCGCCTGTCTTTTGGATGGCATTTAGAACAATTTGCCCTTCTTTTTCATCATTGGACATATTATGTATCACAATGTACTTCAATGGCACAATTCTTTCTATATAAGAGTCAACTAGAAGTATGATTTTCTTGTGATTCATCCATATTTACTGAGAATAATGAAGAATATCATCTTGTATATGAAAAACTTGTCATAAAAATTATATTTCATGTTGAATTTTCTATATAAATATGTGTCATTGAAGTATACCATGAGTGTATTAAGTGTCCAATGACAAAATAAGAAAAAGCTGTAAATGGATCCAAGACAGGGGGAAAAGAAAGCAAAATTCTGGACTTTTTCTTGAAATATCTGGATAAATACCCAGTAGTTTGTTCACATTTTCATTATCTAAATTCGCGTTTTTCAGACAAAAATACATAAGAACCAAAAACATTTTAAAAAAAAAAAAACACATGGTAAGTGCAATTTTACCCAAATTCTGACTATAAACAATGAATGGGACTTCAAGAAACAAGGGGAATTTATCTTCCACATGAAAAAATACAGACTTCAAGGACAGCACCTCCGGAGAGTACTTGTACAATAAAAAGAGTATGTATGGACCTGGTATACACAGTGAATTGTTAATAGGATATTATGAGATCAACTGTTGATCTTTTATAACATAAAATTTATAATCACTGTTTCTCATTACCCAAATAACCTTAATTAATTTTGTAGGAACTGTAGGTAGGTACTCAGTCAATAATAACAGTATAATATCCTTTCACAAGAGAAAGGATAATATATACTGTACTGTTATTTCAGTAGTTATCAATTATGAGTAGGTACCTCATTTCTTCTTGGATGATGTTTTTATGGGCACAATGCCTGATGATCACACATAATATAGGATACGCACCTTTTTTAACCAATTTGTAACACTTCTTAGCAAGTTTCTTTGAAGCCATGGGTTTTGCAATTACACTACACAGATCAACTTTATCTTCATAAGCTAATTCAGTACCTGGTTCTACTTTAATTGATACATTTGAAACATCTACTGGTTCTTCTTTGATCTCTCCCATTATTCCTACTCAATATTTATTTTATCGACGAATACTATTGTACTTTATTGAATTAGATGATCTAGAACCCCTTGATAGTATTTCCAAACTTCAACAACAAAGAATAATTTTCAATTTTCCCTAAATCTTCAATTTCAAATAAGAACAAGAACTGCATTACAAAATTTACAAACAAGAAGATGCCAACAGTGGTCAAGGAACACGTGACTCGGAATTTAAGGAAGGTTATATTCTTAAAATTATTTCCTTTTTACTCTTTTTAGTTCTTATTGATTTCATCTTACCATCCACGAATGATACGTTTATCTTAGTTCTCTATACTCTATAGTTGTTATGTCCGATGTCCGAGAAAATAATGAAAAGAAGAATAAGAAAAGACTTAAGCTGACTGACAGACTGACTGTTGACTCGACTCCTACACTGGTGCACTTCGCAACATTTTAACTGTTGGCAATATTGCACTGCAGTGTGAACACTGAGTGCACACCGTGCACACTGCACCTTTGTCATTGTCATTGTCATTGCATTGCTGATGCTGATTGATTGATTGATGTGCTGTGCCGTTGGCTGTCTGTGTTGCTGTTTTGTTTGCTGTTGATTTGAATGATTTGATGGTTTTGTGGTTTTTGGTTGTAGAAAAAAGTGTCTGGGTAGATGTTTGAAAATATTGTGTGATTTACGTTCCTACTTGCTTTTTCATCCATATTTGTGTCAAGATGGACACTATAAAAGCAGAATCACAGTCCCATCGGATCCCCTTCAAAATGGGTGATAAAGGTGATGCAGAAACATTTGATGATGCAGTGGAAGAAAGAGTTATCAACGAGGAGTACAAGATCTGGAAGAAAAACACTCCGTTTTTATATGATCTGGTAATGACCCACGCTCTAGAATGGCCATCTCTGACTGCCCAATGGCTTCCAGATGTGACCAGACCTGAAGGAAAAGATCACTCAATTCACCGGTTGATTCTGGGCACCCACACCTCCGATGAACAAAACCATCTATTAATTGCTAGTGTTCAGTTGCCAAATGAAGATGCTCAGTTTGATGCTTCACATTATGATAATGAAAAAGGAGAGTTTGGAGGATTTGGTTCTGTATCAGGTTAGACTGGGTTTATAATTCATGCTTGAAAGACTTCCTGAAATATTGTATATCATACAATTCAAACTATTGTGAGTCTTATTGCAAAATATAGCAAAAACTATTGGAATAATTGGTAATTGAAGTCAACTAGTCAAACTTAAAATACCTAATTGCTTATAGAACAGATACTATGAAAGTATGGCCAGCTGAAAGCAATCAGAGATAGATTAATTTAAATCTGCTCCTGTATTTTCTGACAGAAACAAGCCAAAATTACAAGAATTGCACTTCTGACACATTAAATTCCTTCCCATACTTTGTATTTTTGATTTTGATAGTTTAATTGCCCATGTGTGACAACACATTAGTGTCCAAAATAATCACAATTGAATCATTAAAAAAACCTATTCCAACTGTCCTGATTTCAGGTAAGATTGAGATTGAAATAAAAATCAATCATGAGGGGGAAGTCAACAGAGCAAGGTACATGCCCCAGAATCCTTGTGTCATTGCCACCAAAACACCTTCCAGTGATGTGCTGGTCTTTGACTACACAAAGCACCCAAGCAAACCAGATCCCAGTGGAGAATGCCATCCAGACCTACGTCTCAGAGGCCACCAGAAGGAAGGATATGGCCTCTCCTGGAACCCCAATTTGAATGGTTATTTGTTATCAGCCAGTGATGATCATACCATTTGTTTGTGGGACATCAATGCCACACCCAAAGAGCACCGTGTGATTGATGCTAAGACAGTATTCACAGGTATTGATGATTTTTTTTTCAGATTTCAGGTAACAACAGGAAATAATATGAATTGATGATGGGCTAAGTTCATTTTGATATTTGTTTCTCTTTCTGACTGGTATGTGTATATGACCTTCACTGAAGATTTCTACTGTCCAAAGGTTGAAGAAAATGGACCATAAAAAACAATATTCTTGAAATACAGCATGTGTCACTTTGAATCCCCCTCCCCTGTATATCTCATGTATCAGTCCTGCAACTCTTTCCAAATTTGGGCTACTATGAATGACCATCAATATGATCAGTTTTTCAGGGATACATATAATTATGGACAGTGCCATGCAATTTTATTGAAATAAAGGTTGATTTTTTATGAAATCATGTTGGGAATTTTTTTGCAGGAAAACTAACTTCATAGTATTATTCTTCATGGTTTCCTATGTAAATTTTCATGAAATTTCTAAAGAGGGTTTCAATAAAACAGGCACATCTAAACAGTACTTTTACAAATGTAAAAGATTATTTACTCCAAAACAGTGAATCAATAAAAAAAAGTATATTCTGTTTTTTCTTCCAAACCACAATTTTCTACCTACAGGAGCTATTGAATCTTACAAAGTTTGCATTTAATTTGAATTCATAATTTTTTCCAGACATGAAGTTAATTTTTCTGCAATAAATTCCTTATATGATGTCATGAAAAATCAACCCCTTTTTATTTCAATAAAAACGTACGGCACTGTCCATAATGATGTCTGTCTATGAAAAACTGATCATATTGATGTTTATTAATTGAAATTTATACATGATGTGAGAAGATTTGAATTCAATCCCTAAACAACACCTGGTCAGGACAATTTGAAAAATATTTGGCATGATTTGATTACTCAGAATTGAAATGTTATAACTTTCTTAATTTCATCTAGTAAAATTTAAATTCCTATAAAACATTGATTCATGCATGACTGATTGTCTTTTTATTGAAAAAAATGTAATTTCCCTTATTAGATTTGCCAGCATTTTTAGATTTGGTAAAGGATTAGGCCATTCTTCTAGTTGATTTCCAATTCTTGAATATTTCCAAATGGAAGATTCACAATAAAACAATTCCCCTATATTGAGAAATCATATGTTGTTGTTTGTTACTCTAATATTGTTCTGACATCTATGTCCTAACTAATTTTCAACTTATAGGATATACAGGTCTGGCAAGACAAGCAACGTTGCCATACGGTTCATATCACAAAATTATTATTGCCAGACGTGTATATCAGAGGATTCATTTTCAGGATTTTTCGACTTATAGGGCATATAGCCGTCGTTGAAGATGTAGCCTGGCATCTGTTGTACGAGATTTCTCTATAGGAAAATTATTTTTGCCAGACGTGTATATCAGAGGATTCATATTCAGGATTTTTCGACTTATAGGACATACAGCCATCGTTGAAGATGTAGCCTGGCATCTGTTGCACGAGATTTCTCTATAGGAAATTTATTCTTGCCAGATGTGTATTTCAGAGGATTCATATTCAGGATTTTTCGACTTATATGACATACAGCCGTCGTTGAAGATGTAGCCCGGCGTCTGTTGCGCGAGATTTCAGTATAGGAAAATAATTCTTGCCAGACGTGTATATCAGAGTATTCATATTCAGGATTTTTCGACTTATAGGACATACAGCCGTCGTTGAAGATGTAGCCTGGCATCTGTTGCACGAGATTTCTCTATAGGAAAATTATTCTTGCCAGACGTGTATATCAGAGGATTCATATTCAGGATTTTTCAACTTATAGGGCATACAGACGTCGTTGAAAATGTAGCCTGGCATCTGTTGCACGAGATTTCTCTATAGGAAAATTATTTTTGCCAGACGTGTATATCAGAGGATTCATATTCAGGATTTTTCGACTTATAGGACATAGAGCCTTGAAGATGTAGCCTGGCATCTGTTGCACGAGATTTCTCTATAGGAAATTTATTCTTGCCAGATGTGTATTTCAGAGGATTCATATTCAGGATTTTTCGACTTATAGGACATACAGCCGTCGTTGAAGATGTAGTCTGGCATCTGTTGCGCCAGATTTCTCTATAGGAAAGTTATTCTTGCCAGATGTGTATTTCAGAGGATTCATACTCAGGATTTTTTGACTTATAGGACATACAGCCGTCGTTGAAGATGTAGCCTGGCGTCTGTTGTACGAGATTTCTCTATCGGAAAATTATTCTTGCCAGACGTGTATATCAGAGGATTCATATTCAGGATTTTTCGACTTATATGACATACAGCCGTCGTTGAAGATGTAGCCCGGCGTCTATTGTACGAGATTTCTCTATCGGAAAATTATTCTTGCCAGACGTGTATATCAGAGGATTCATATTCAGGATTTTGCGACTTATAGGACATACAGCCGTCGTTGAAGATGTAGCCTGGCATCTGTTGCGCGAGATTACTCTATAGGAAAATTATTCTTGCCAGACGTGTATATCAGAGGGTACATATTCAGGATTTTTCGACTTATAGGACATACAGCCGTCGTTGAAGATGTCGCCTGGCATCTGTTGCACGAGATTACTCTATAGGAAAATTATTCTTGCCAGACGTGTATATCAGAGGATTCATATTCAGAATTTTGCGACTTATAGGACATACAGCCGTCGTTGAAGATGTAGCCTGGCATCTGTTGCGCGAGATTACTCTATAGGAAAATTATTCTTGCCAGACGTGTATATCAGAGGGTACATATTCAGGATTTTTCGACTTATAGGACATACAGCCGTCGTTGAAGATGTAGCCTGGCATCTGTTGCACGAGATTTCTCTATAGGAAAATTATTCTTGCCAGACGTGTATATCAGAGGATTCATATTCAGGGTTTTTCGACTTATAGGACATACAGCCGTCGTTGAAGATGTAGCCTGGCATCTGTTGCACGAGAGCCTTTTCGGCTCGGTTGCAGACGACCAAAAACTGATGATTTGGGATACCAGGTGCAACAACATCAGCAAGCCATCGCATACGGTAGACGCGCATACTGCCGAGGTGAATTGCCTCAGCTTCAACCCCTACTCAGAATTCATTCTAGCCTCTGGTAGTGCCGACAAGACGGTAGCACTGTGGGATCTGAGAAACTTGAAGCTGAAGCTCCACAGCTTTGAATCACACAAGGATGAAATCTTCCAGGTACTTTTGGGATGGGGATGATTGAAATATACAATAATTGAAATTTTTTATTTGAAAGTTTCAAAATCAAAATATTTCATTGAGCTGTGCAATTCAAACTTTCGAAAATTTTCAATTCAAATATTTCGAGATTCACAGAAAATGTTTGATATATTTCGGTCAAAACGGCTCACATGTCCCTATCTCAACTTTTGATTCACTATTTACACAGATGTTTGTTTGTTTGTTTGTTTGTTTGTTTGTTTGTTTGTTTGTTTGTTTGTTTGTTTGTTTGTTTGTTTGTTTGTTTGTTTGTTTGTTTGTTTGTTTGTTTGTTTGTTTGTTTGTTTGTTTGTTTGTTTGTTTGTTTGTTTGTTTGTTTGTTTGTTTGTTTGTTTGTTTGTTTGTTTGTTTGTTTGTTTGTTTGTTTGTTTGTTTGTTTGTTTGTTTGTTTGTTTGTTTGTTTGTTTGTTTGTTTGTTTGGTGAGGAGGTAGCTCAGAACCGAGAGAAGGTTATAGGATACTTTTTATCCCGGTACCTTTAGGATATTCAAGATGGCGGATATAATATATCGGACGAGTTTTGTAATAATTATGGTCCGATTCTATTCAAAATTGGTATCTGGGGGTTCTCGGGGTCGGGGATTATAATTCTTTCGTCAAAATTAGTAAATTCAAGATGGCGGAACCAATATGGCGGACGAGTATTATAATTATGATCCGACTCCCGTCAAAATTTGGAAAGGGCGGGATTTGAAAATTCAAGACGGTGGAACCAATATACCGGATGAGTTTTTGTAATTATTTACCGATTCTATTCACTTGTAAGTGGGCGTTTTCGGGATCAAAAATTATAATTCCTTCGTCAAAATTACTTAATTCAAGATGGTAGATCCAATATTGCGGAAGAGTTTTGTAATTATGTTCCGATTCTATATAAAATTTCGATCTGGGGTTTAAGGAGTCGGATATTATGATTCTTTGGTCAAAATTGGGGAATTCAAGTGAACTATAAAGAAGTTGAAATAAATGGTAGTTTGAAAAGGTGAAGAAGCGCGCTTTTATAAATAGCGAAACTATAAAAAGAAGTAGAAAATTAAATGATGATAGCTCGTCGTGAAATATCTTGTATATTGAAATAATACTCATATTTCCATTTTATAGTAACAAGGAGAGAAAATCCCAGATAATCAACTAGAATTTCAATAAATGTCGTAAATATTTCATGAAAATGTCAAGTGAAATGTCATTTCATAACTTGAAGTGAAATTTTCCCGATCCTACTTCCAGGTACAGTGGTCGCCGCACAACGAGACTATTCTGGCGTCGTCTGGAACCGATAGAAGATTGCACGTCTGGGATTTGAGCAAGATTGGGGAGGAGCAGAGCCCCGAAGACGCCGAAGATGGGCCTCCGGAGTTGCTCTTCATCCATGGGGGGCACACTGCGAAGATATCCGATTTCAGTTGGAACCCCAATGAGCCGTGGGTGATCTGTTCCGTGTCCGAAGACAATATCATGCAAGTCTGGCAGATGGCGGAGAATATTTATAATGATGAAGAACCCGAGCAGCAAGCTTCTGATATCGAGGCGGCAGCTAGTTAATTGTTTTTATTTTGTTCGATTGTTCCTTGTTTTATAATAGGTCGCGTGAGGTTGTACTTTCCTATAAAACATTAAAACACAACAACACTTTTCTCATTTGTTTCACAAAGGAATCAAAGGATTGAAATAGGAATCGTGTTTTTTGTCTATTCATTAATGCAAGCATGCCATCACATTGTGCTGTTGTACAATGCACAAAAAATGCAGCAAGAGACGAAGGAATACGATTTATCTGGTAAATAGTGATCTCACATAGTTTTTATTGTGGAATTTTGTCATTTCTAAAAAATTGTTCTCAAATTGTTCTATCCGTCATTAGCCACTTCTGCAATAGAAGCTAATACTGCTAAAAGAGTGAAAATGTCTTCAACACAGGATCATATTTCGTCAGCTGAAACTACAAGTATTTCTACTTGCTCCTATTGCAGAAGGAATTCCAATGAGAAATAACAAAATTCCCAAATAAAACCTATATGTTAGCAACAAGTACTTTTAGATCACAATGTACTTACCTGAAAAGTCGGATTCCTTCGTCTCTCGCTGCATTGTATGTGCATTGTACAACAACAAAATGTGAATGCAATGAATGCATGCTTGAATTAATGATTCACTATAGAAAATAACATGTCGCCCCACCTGACGGCAGCAATTTCAACACTTCTGAGCGGTTTGTTTCGATAATAAGCACAAACAAAAAACAAATGTGAACCAATGAAAACAAAGTACCTACACATGCTGCTTTGACAGCTTTGAAGAACTCAGATAGGTGGCGTACGCTTCCGACAAACACGATTCATATGCCATAATAGTTGTGAAGAACTATTTCAATCCTTTGTAAACAAATGAGAAAAGTGAGGTTGTGTTTCAATGTTTTACCTCCAGGGTCGGTCATTTGACAGATCTTGCACGCAACCCATTCAGTTTTAAGAAAGTTATAATACATTATCTGTGTACCAAGAAAGGAATATTTATTTTTTAAGCATTCATATACTTGTGAACTATTTTATAAGTGAATTAAAGTTATGTCATATCAGGTCATAAGTGATATTTTTATGAGCATTTTGAAGGCGAAGGGGTTCAAAACCAATAGACAACTTCTAGGTAACTGTTAGTAAATTATATATTCCTTTAGGCTTCACTAGGAGATTCAGATTTCCAGTTCCACCCATGCAGTTCTGTCTTTCCTAGAGTAGAGGCCTATTCTTCACTCTGGTAACTAAGTAATAAAAGTAATACCATCCAGTGAAAGTGTGTGTGAAAATTAGCAGGCCTTTTTATCTTATCTACGCCGGTATAGAGGCCGGATGATGACGGATTCATTGGGTGAAGGGGCCATAATTGAATTCAAACGTGCTGCAGGACTTCAAGGAGTACATATACGATAGAATCTTGTGAACATTGATGAACTCGGCTTACGGGCATGGTGATATTGGTAACGGAATTCGAAATTAATTGCCTGATCTGGGGAAATTGTTTCGGAAAGGACAACTCCCATAAACCCGAGAAGAAGAAGAAGAAAAACAAATAAAAAGAAGAAGAATTATGATTCCTTAAATCCTAACCTAATCAACATAAATAAAAATAAAGTGTTGAGTGGTAGATAATCTAGAATAATTAGTTATTCAGTTGTGAAAATTATTTCAAGTAATTTGGAGGAAATCAAATCATTCCAACATGGGGAAACGGCAACATCAAAAAGATAAAATGTATCTAACCTACACAGAGTGGACAACACTTTATGGAGGAAAAAAAGTTGGACAGACTTCTAAGGAAGAAGAAAACTTCAAAAGGTTGCCTTTTGATCATTGCTGCTTGTCTTTGCAACCATTCGAGGTACCCTATAGTGATTTAGATGGCAATATTTTCGACCTAGAAGCACTCATACCATTCATGAAGAAGTTCAAAATCAACCCTGTCACTGGTAAACCATTGGACTTCAGAACTTTGTTCCAGTTGAATTTTCGGCGTAACACAGAAGGAGACTTTGAATGTCCTGTTCTGTTCAAACCTCTCACAAAAAGTTCACATATTGCTGCTATAGCTACAACTGGCAATGTTTACCTCATGGAGGCAATTGAACAGTTGAATATTAAGACCCGAAACTGGAAAGATCTTATTTCAGATGAACCTTTTGACAGAAAAGATATAATAGTACTACAGGATCCAAACAATTTATCTAAATTCAGTATTTCCAAATTTCATCACATCAAAAATAATCTCAGGATAGAAACAGAAGGTATTGGATCTTTGGTTGGATTATTGAGATTCTGAAAATATGAGTATGTTTGTTTTAGAGGAAATTGCTGACAAGTCTAATCCTCAAGCTAGATTGAAATCAGTAAACCCTGAAACAAAGTACACTTTAGAAGAACTGAATAGAGATTACAAACCACCCACAATTGAAATAAATAAAAAAGAAACTACAGAAAAAGCAGATAAGTTCAATGCTGCTCACTATTCAACTGGAGCAGTTGCTGCAAGTTTCACTTCAACTGCTATGGTTCCCAAGTTGGTGCATGAAGCAGCTATTGTTCATGAAGATGAAGTCAGGTATCAAAGGGTGAAGAAAAAAGGTGATTGACAAATTCAATACTTTCCATACAGAAACAATAATATGTCTTGTAGTTTTTCAATAGTCTCTGGGATTGGTCAGCATTTCATTTTTACTATTTTTTTGACCACCCATGAGATATTTTTATTCCACTATCAATTCCTACTGTCCTAGGGTATTTATAGCTGAGAAACATCACAAGAATTACATTTTTCTGTTTATAATAGCTTCATATTCTAATTTCAGGTTATGTTAGGCTTGTTACTAACTTGGGCATGTTAAACTTAGAATTATACTGTGAATTGGTTCCTAAGGCTTGTGAAAATTTCATTAAGCACTGTGAAAATGGCTACTACAATGGTACAAAATTCCACAGGTCTATTAGAAATTTCATGGTGAGATATTTCATAAAATTCTTGAGCAAAATGTTCAGTAGGTATATAAAAATCCTCTGAAGCCTTGTTCTTAAAGGACAACAGAGAGTAAAATACTCAGTACAGGGTGATTGGTTTTATTGTAATCAATAGCTATCTCAGTTAATATTGGTCATTCAAATAGGCAAAAGAAAAGTATTTTTTATGGACATTCAGAATCTGTTACTAGAAAATGCAGAAAAGCATCATAAACCTAAAATTTTTACATTTGATGGTACTTTTTGAATGGAACACCCTGTATTTCATTGTCCCAATCAATAGAGCTCTTTCTCCAGATTTCAAATATACAGGGTGTTTCCTAACTACGGTTCCTAACTGCAGGGGGTGATTTGTTAGGTCATTTTAAGAAGAAAAGTTTCTATGAACATATGTTTGGAGTTGCTTCGTTTCTGAGATACAGGGCGTTGAAATTAGAGGAAAAAAAACGGTAATTATAAAATATCATGAATATCCTGGAACCGATTTGGTTTAAATTTGGTACTTCTATTTGTCAAATTCTCTAAAATTCAGCATATCAAGTGTCAATTATGTTTTTAGCGGAAATAATGAAAAACTCATTTCTCCAATGCAGGTGTTCATGATATGCAATACAGTGGCTTAATTTTTTTTTCTCGGGAACGAAGCTGGATATGAAGAAAATACAAGAGACCAAAAAGTTGTATTTTGAGTTGCTCAATCTAGAAAAAATAATGATTTACCAAAAAAAGTCAGTGGCGTACTTTTTTTCACGATATTGTTGGCTGTGATGCCCAATGAGACGCCACTAGCCCCAATAATTTCTATCTAAATAGGGCTGAATAAGCGCCTTATTAGTTCAAATAAAAGTACGAAATTTCAACCGAATCGCTTCCAAGATCTTCATGATATTTTGTAATTACCATTTTTTTTCTTCAATTTCATCGCCCTGTATCTCAGAAACGAAGCAACTCCGGACATATGTTCATAGGAACTTTTCTTCCTGAAATGACCTAACGAATCACCACCTGCAGTTAGGAACCGTAGTTAGGAAACACCCTGTATATTGAGGTCTCTATCAGTTTCAACTCCTGTCTTAGATCTATAACAAAAAATCTATATTTTTCAAAAAGTGACAAAAGATAACCTCAATCTCTACCTCAATAAAGAATATTTGAAATCAGAAAAAAGAACTCTATCTACTGGGAAAATAAAATCCAGGGTGTTCTTTTAATAATACCATCTTATGTAAAATTTTTAGGTTTTTAATGTTTTTTTACATTTTCTAGTAATAGATTCTGAATGCCCATAAAAATAATTTCTGTAAGACCAATATTAACTGAGATAGCTATTGAGTAAAATATGAACAGTCCTGCAAAAAACCAGCCAATGAAAAAGACTTCTCATTCATGTGCTCAAATTGAAATCTGAATGAAAGTTTCTATCACAGCTAAAAGTTACTAATAAATCAAGGTATAGTGATTAATGAATCAGATAAATATGGTTCCTGATTAAAACATTATGTTGAAATTTGGGAACAATTTTAGTGGCTTTTTTTTGCAGGGCAGTGTATAGGTGTAGGGAAATCAATGTGATATTTATTTTAATCAGATTCAAGGAGGGGATCCTACTAATACAGGAAACGGTGGTAAATCAATATGGGGCAAGCCTTTTGAGGATGAATTTCGACTTAACTTGTCCCATACTGGGCGAGGTGTATTATCAATGGCTAATTCTGGAAAACATACAAATGGTTCACAATTGTAAGTTCATTTATTATGAAAGCTGCTCTCACCCTGAGGACTTATATCATCTGAATTTCCAGTTTTATCACATACCGATCCTGTAAACATTTAAATAATAAGCACACGATTTTTGGAAAGGTTGTTGGAGGAATGGAAACTCTTTCAGAAATGGAGAAGATTGAGGTTGACAACAAAGATAGGCCAATTGAAGACATAGTAATTCTGAAGACACAAATCTTTGTTAATCCTTTTGATGAAGCTGATGAGCAAGTATGAATCATTTTGTGTTTGTGCTATGTGAAGAATTTTTTTATTCAAGATTTTATTTTAGTTGGCAAAGGAACGACAAGAAGAACTGGAAAAACAAAAAGAACAAGAAATAGAAAAAGTTAGGAAAGTTAATAGCAAAAAGGAACTCAAAGTTTTCAGAAATGGAGTTGGCAAGTATCTAGATATAAATGCTACCAAAAGTGTTGAGCTACCAACTGATCTGGAGCAGAGTAGTAAAAAGAAGCAAAAAACTTTCAACAGTTTCAATTTCAATAATTGGTGATTTTTAGCTACTAGAATAACATAAAATTATTTATCATTGAAACATTTATTGAATAAATCTTTATATTGAGTATGTAAGATATTTATAAATTGGAATTTTATTTCTTCCCATATCTCCACCACTGTCCATTTTCAGAAAAAACTTGTAGGAAACTTTTTCTTCGAAATTCAATATAGATTATTTTTGTATAGTACAATTTTGGCGCTAAAACCCCATTGTTATCAAGATATAAATTGCAAAAAATAGGCCGCCATCTTGAATATCTCATTTCCGGTCAGAATTTTGAATTGGTAACGAGCATTTTAGGATTCAACTGGGTCGAATTACCTATAAAGTTATTTGTTTTACTAGGGAAAGCAGCCAAGATACAAAGTAGGAACTAGCCTACATGACAGATACTAACTGAACTAGTATAATTGACAGATACCTAAGTGTCAACTAGCCTAATTGCCAGATACCATGTCAAGTAGCCTAATTGAAGTATAATTGACAAAGACAGGGCGCATCAAACATTGCGACTGATCCGTGCGGAGTTGAGTTCAATTGGCAAGGTGATCGACCGTTGGGGGCGCTGTTTCAAAACAAGATGGCGGCAAAGAGTGTGTAGTTTGTTTACAAAATTTCTTGAGATTTGCATACATTTTCTTCTTGATATTTCATCGTGTTATTTGTGTTTATTGTTGAACTTTTTACTGAAATCATAAAATTTTTTGTTGGATCATACTGTTTCATCGTGATGTGAGGAAAATAACTGTTACCTACTGACTGAATCGTGGACCAAATAGTCTGAGCTTTCTTCAAACCAGTGCATTTCTGTGGGACAGCTTAATGGGATATCAAAAATCACAATCATATCCACTATCATCAGAAGCTGATATATTCACTATCATACCTCCACTCTTCAAGCAAAAGGATCCTGCAGACCACAAATGGTGATACCAGGAGTGAACTTTTTCAACAGTGAACAGCCTTCTGTGAACATATTGAAAACCATCCCTAAACCAAAGCCTAAACAATGTGTTAACTTATTCGACTATTTTGTGCTAAATATTATAGCCATCAGAATCATGTGCAATTGATCCATGCAATAGAAATCAGCAGCAACCAGCTCTAATGAGTCTAAACCAAGAAATAGTTCAACACCAAAGGCATCCTGACATTACTGTGGATTCAATAGTAGATACAACTATCAATGGCCTATCTTCAACAATATTACTTCCAGGCTTTGAGGATTGTTTACAGTGCAACTCCCATGCCTCATATATTATGGTGCTCCACTGCAATAACAGCAAATTGTCATGAACCTATGTGCCATGTGTGATGTGTGTGAATTGTATCCATATAACACACTTTTCATAATGTGAATATTCGCAGGTAATATCCCGAGACCATGACAAATAGCCGACTATTATTTTCGTCATAATTCTATCGAGAGTACCTTGTATTTTGACAATTTGATGAGACCATATGAACATTAATAATCTGAATAACTACCGAGAGCTTCAGCTCGAGGGAGTTATTCTATGATTATTTATGTTCATATGGTCGAATTGAATTGTTCCAAAATACAAGTTACTCGAGATGAATTAACGGAAATAATAGTCTCCATTTGTCATGGTCGAGTGATATTCAGGAAGATTATTTCATGAACAATGCAAAAATACTGATTTATATGAGTTTCAACATTTTATTCAAGTTACAATTCTGCAGATACTATTTGAATAAAAATTCGTTCGAAGGCCGTCTGGGGTATTCTCATCATATCTACGTACAATTTTTAATCGATTCATCTAAAGTTAGAGCAAAGAAAAAATATTAACGCTATTGATAGCGTTAATATTCTTTGATTAGAGCTTCTGTACCTACTTTCCTTTCTTGTTTGACGAAAATATTGTAGGCTTCGCCTTTTTGCATTATGCGCAACCCTGGCACCTTTGAATTCGATATATTCAAATGGATTTGTCTAACGTTTATGTTCATTGAAGTTACCTTCTTGTATATGATTTTCCATATCAATTTCAACTGTGTATTCCTAATATTCCTCACAATTCTCCTCACCCAATCTTTTAGGATTTGGGCAATCACGAGAGATGGAGTAGTCGCACAAACTTCATAGTTCTTCTGCTGGCAAAAAAACATGGATTGTTCCAGACAGACTATATTTACTCTCCTTGTTATTTTCTGATATCGATTGGCTCACATAATTACGAATTTCCGTAGTGGAAGTTGACCCAAAACAAGACATTTCAATTTTTGTGTGACTGATAGGTATGTCAAAGTTTGACAACCATAGCACTATTATGCTGGCGAACAGAATAGCCGCTCATATTGTTTGTTTACCTAAATAGCCGCTGATATCGCATATCATGTGACTTCAATCATGACATTTCATAGGTCCAACCGGGTGTGAATGAAATAATCCTAATATACTTGTTGAGTTGAGGTAGGTGGCATCCTAGAATGAGTTTTCTTCTTGGAATTCATTTAATATCTTCTAAAGCTAGTTTTTTTTACCATATTGATGAAATCATTGAATAATTTGGGATTCCACCACATAAAACATTGATCAAATGACCTAGGATTTCAGTTAATGTATTTACACAGTATATTATCATAAATTTTGTGATTTGATATCATTTTGTAATCCTAAATTCATCTAATTGAAAATATCTATCTTATCAATCTGTATAGTTCATTATGTTTTGTATATTTTGGAACTGAATTAATAATAATTTTTTGAAAATGAAAGTATACATTGACATAACATGTGTTTCATTGTACTTATGCCACTCCAAAGAAGTTGAGAAAGAAGTAACTACAAATAGAAGGATCTTCCAGTATACTCCTTCCCTCAGTGCTCATGTATACTGTTTTTCCCTGAATTATTTTACAAGATACCTCCATAAAAATTTAAAATTATAAATGAATTTGAATAAATTAACAATGAGCAGAATTAAGTAGTTATCTGGTAGGTACCTATTTTAAAAGGAATCAGTAAAGATTGTAAAGTGAAACTTTGAAAATGCTACAAAAAGGAATGAGGTGTTGATTGAGGTAGTTGTGGAATTGAAATATGAATTTTGAAAACCTACAATAAAACATTACAAAGCAGAAAAAAAAGTAGAACTTTTACTTACTAATAAATACAGTTTAATAATAACTACAAGCAGTAAAATTATGAATACATTTTTCCAAGATACAATTTGAAATGTCATGGATATGTTCAAGTACCCAAATAATCAGTGATATCTCCTTAAAAACTTGAATTCAACTTCAAGGAATCTGGGTTTTGGCTCCAGTTTGTGTAACTATTTGCACTCAATTGCAAGATACCCTGAATGGCAACTCCTCCCCTGCTGAAAAATTGAAGAAATGTTAGTACCTACTATAAACAAATCATATCTATTAGCTATTACACAATCTAAATATTCAAATAGAAATAGATTGTGTCACTTCAATATATGTGCTTGTACCAGGGTTATTATTTATCTATAAAATATGCTACTGTTTTTTATCATATGAATGTAATTGGGAGCTGTATTTCAACTTAATAATTTTGAAAATACATGCAATCTGCATTGGCTATTTTACTACAAAGATGATACTACAAAATAGGAATCTATGGAGGCCTAGGCAGGATGTCATGAACAAGATTTTTACATGAGTCAAGCATTACAAATAAAACCATAAATTACCCACCTGCACATGTTCATAATGTCTTTTTTCTTGCCCAGCTTTGTGTATTGCAGTTCAAAAGTCAAAGGCATTGAATTTGCTTCTTTATTCTTCTTATAAAAATATCTGAAAAAAAAACAACCATACTTATTTTTCCAAGTCCTGGAGACATTTCCCTAAACAAAATAGGTATGAACTGTTGATCATTTCAATCATGTTCTCTCAGATAGGCACTGCAAATAAGAGTTATTCATCAGTAATAAATATATCAATGAGTCACAAATTTACCTTATTGTTATCATTATTGGACCAATGAAGTGAAGAAAGGTAGAAAGTTTTTGTTGGAGCTGCATACATCCAGTTTTCAAACTCATATTGGATTCTCAACGTTTATCCATTTTTTCCATTCAACTGAACTGATTTTTCATTATCAGAAAAGACTTCTTGAGTGCAGGAAATTCATATTAGAGGGCATTATAGGTCCTACATTTTTCCATTGGAACCTTCTACTAGTTCAACCAGCAACCAAACACAGTTGATTTCGCGTATTATCAGAGATTTGTTGATACTAATTTATAAAATAATATAGAATTGATTAGGCAATTGATATAAAGTTCATGTCTTGTACTCAAGAGAAGCAAGAAGAGAAAATTTACGTAATTTGTTGAGTGGTATTCATAAAATATGAAACCCACTAACACAATAACAAACATGACCTTGAATTACGTCCTAAACTGGTTCAAATTTGCCCACCAGGTGCCGTATCGGAATCGTCACCTTGCCAATTGGCGGACAATGCGCTTTTGCTCGCAGACTGTCATTAGTGTCATTTATTATGCTTGTCAATTGTCAGATCTAGTCACGAATGACACGATGTTTTGTTGACATTGAAATCGTGCTGTGATTTGCTGATTTGTGACAATCTTTGTTTTGTTATCTTTTGTTGCCGGCGTTGCTGCACGTCCTCGTCCTACAAATCTGACGTCCATACTTCTGGCACCTTCAGAAATCAGAAGAGAAATATTTAAAAATACTTTCTTGTTAAAGTTTCATCATGGGGTGTGCTAATTTATTGAGAAGTTATTCCCGATATATGCTGATCATTTTCAATTTGTTATTTTCGGTAAGTGTTTTTTTTGTACACTAAAGTGTTTTTTTATCAGTGATTAATCTGTTTACTCAAAATATCGTACTTTTGCGCACCTATCCTGTGGCGAATACATTTCAGATTAATCATCAAGCAAAATGGTCTATGGCCACAATACTTGTACCACTGGTGATGAAATTTTCCAGCTTTTCCTTTTACACATACCCCATACCAGTGTACCACATCTATTATTAGTATATCTATAGTTTCATTTGCAAACATTATTTACTTATCCTTGTTCAATTTATTAGCAAAGAATTTCAGGAATTTTAAGATTCTCCAGTTCTTGAATAGGCCTCTCACTTCTCAGTCTTCTTCAGAAACTTCATACTTGTGCTGACTCAAGTGGAGATCAATAGGGGAATTACCCAGGAAATTAAATACATTCAACAAAGTCCAGACAAAGAGGTTGATTTAGGCCAATACACCTATAATTTTTTCTTTACACAGGGTGTTTCATAACTAATTGGGAATAAAAATATAAAGATTTAACCCAAATCAACTAGATGAAATGTGTCTCCTCTCTGAGTTACAGGGTGTTTTATTTGAAAATTTAAAAATTATTTGTGCATGATTGTTATGTTTGGCGGGAAGCTTACAAAGTACACCCGACTAAATCATGTTAAATGAACGTTTTTGGCTACTTCCAAAGGCATACAATAGGGGCAGGTGTCTGGTTGATCCTTCCCAAATTCTACTCCACTGGCAGAATTGCCATTATATCACAATTTTTCGATTCTCCAATACTTTTCTATGTAAATTGTGTACCATTTCTCCATGTTTTGGATCATTGGATTGTATTCAATATTCAAATGAAACTTCAATCCATAATAACAAAATAAACATAATAACATAGCAGACAGGAGCTGTTACAGAGTGTTTTTTATTCATTATATTCATGGGTCAAAACATAGCTCCTTAAGGAGCTACAATCTCTCAAAGACACTCCTGGAGATGGTTTGTCATTTTTCCAAAATGTTTAAGATAATTAAATCTCGAATTAAATTAATGGAATTTATTATGTTTATTTCCTTTATCATGCTGAATCTTTCTTTGAATTCATACAACATGCCAACTAAATTTGAAATTTTTATGCAGAAGTGTATCAAACAGGGTAGGCTTAGTGTACTTTTAGCCCCTACACTTTTGTTAGCAACAGATAAATTAAAAGTTGTGACTTTTTCATAAAAAATGTACTCCCATGGTACTCCCTTTTTGATAAAATGCCGTTTTAGAGTGAATTTAGTTTCTAAAAGAAATTACATGCTATGAAACATTATTCAAAGAGTTTCCAATGGGATATCTGCTGCTGTCCTAAAAGCTCTGGATTCTGTACCCATTTCCTCTATGTGTGGTGTAATAATGACAGAACAGTTTAGTATAGTATAATAATGTTAGCAAATTTTTTACACAGTTTTGAATATTTCGTTTGGTTTTTGTGTATTCTAAGTAGTGATATTGTTTCAATTTGAACTAACTGAAATATTTCACTAGAACTGAATTGAAATTTTAATTCCATAGAATGCATGTCAACTGATTCAATTCAGCCCAAGTGAACTCTATCATTTACTTCAGAACCAAAGAATATCTCTAGTATTGATGTTTATTTTTAGGTAACAGGTATCATACTCATTGCAGTAGGAGTCAGCGCCAAGGCCTACTTCAATGAATTCAACACATTGTTGAATCAAAAGTTTTTCTATGTCTCAGATTTGCTTATTGTTATTGGTGTGATCATTTTTATCATCGCCTTTTTCGGATGTTGTGGTGCTATGAAGGAAAATGCTTGCATGACGTCAACGGTAAATTATAAAGAAACAAAATAAACCAAAATAGGTATTCATTCAATCTTGAATTTCCAGTACTCAGCCTTGTTGATCATAGTTTTCCTCCTTGAAGTAGCTGTTGGAATAAGTGGTGTTTTGTTGAATAGTAGAGCTGAAACGTTTTTGGCTGATACCATGAAGAGTACCATGGATCAATATAATACGGAAAATGCTACTGAAGTGACAGAAGTTTGGGATGGTATTCAAAGAAAGGTAGGTAAACTGACGGCTCTGTAGCAGAACAGCGTCAGTCAAAATAGCGCTTCAAAAATAGCGCTGCGACAAAATAGCGCTGGACAAAACAGCGCCGCACAAAAATAACGCAGATCAAAAAAAGCGGAGGACCTAATAGCGCTGGACAAAACAGCGCCGCACAAAAATAACTTAGAACAAAAACAGCGGCGGACAAAATAGCGCTCGACAAAATAGCGACATGACATAACAATTAGTAATTTTTCCTCGGTGCATGATCACGACAAACTGTTTATTAGGAGGATTAATTAAAAAATTAAATTCGTGAAAACTTTCCTAATGAACTATTGCCGGTGATCGAATATTGGGAAGATAATTATGTTGGTAAGAGGATTCATAATATCAACCCTCGATTCAGTATAAATTTGTGGAATCAATATGAGCGGGTGAAACACGATTTGCCAAAAACAAATAATTCCCTTGAAGCATGTCAAGCATGGCACAATTCCTTACAGAAAGGTCTAAACTGCCAGCATTCTCATGTATACAAATTGATCAATCCATTGTAAAAGGAACAAAAGTCTTCAGAAATCTTCAGATACCGTACAGGATTTAGGAAAATAAAAAGTCCTAACAAAAAATACGTCCAGCTAAAAAACAGGTTGAAAACCTTGGTTCAAACGTATGCTTTCAATAACGTTGAAGAGTATTTACAGCCTGTGGCTCATAATTTGTCCATGTAATTTTTTTTGTAATTGTTTAAAACTTTGTTTTGTTAAAATTGATTTCGAAAACTTGATTTTTCAATCACGTCCTATTCCAATAGTTGATTTTCTAAGAATATTTTACCCGGTGTTATTTAGTCGCAGTGCTATTTGAACCAACGCCATTTTGTCCGCCGCTGTTTTTGTTCTGCGTTATTTTTGTGCGGCGCTATTTTGTCCAGCGCTATTTTGACTAACGCTATTTTAACCTAGCGCTATTTCGTAGCGCTATTTTGTCCAGCGCAATTTCGACTGACGCTATTCTGCTACAGAGCCAAACTGACTGAAGAAATGACACTTCTTGATATACATATAAACTTGTAGTTCCATTGTTGTGGGGTTGTGAATGGAACTGATTGGTTGAATGAAACAAACACACATCATCAGTTGCCAATTTCTTGTTGTCCTTTGCCTAATGGAGCTGTTAACAACGTCACGTGTGACATTTCAAATTCTTATAAACAAGGATGTCTGCAAGAATTTGGTGGTTATGTAAAGGATAATATCTCCATAGTTGAAGTTGTTGCTATAGGATTGGCTGTTGTTCAGGTGAGGAAACACATCACTTCACCGTTTGATGGATAATATAAGCTGGCTCACAATTTTAATTTGACTTGTAAAATTTGCTAGTCATCAATTAGTTTTTTATTTCATATTGTTGAAGAAATAATCTTGCTGAATACCACTCATTCTTAAAATTTTATCAGTTAATAAGCAAGTGGCCTATTTTTTCCATTTTATTAATACTAATAGAATCATCATTCAATTACCTTTCAATTCCATATTTTTTATATTTTTTCGGTCGATTTTAAAGTCCTAAATTCATCAATAATGCCGCGGTAATTTTCAAACGGCTTGAAATTCACGGCAAATGACAACGAACGTCACGGCTTTGCAAGTAGGGGCAGGAAAAAGCACAGTTGCCATATGTTGAAATACGATTTGGAACTTAAGAAATATTATTCATTCAATAATTCATAGATTCTCAATTTCCTATACAGCGTCTTTCAAAAGTATCGGAACGGTCTCATATTTCAGAAACGGCTTGAGAAAGATTCACGAAATTTTCTACAGGGTGATTATTGATGATGTCCGATTCAATGGTGGCATCGGCAATGTTGCCAAGTTTACAGTTTTTCAGATATTAGGAGTAACTTTATTTTTTCAAATGGAATACCCCATTTATTTTTATGGCAATTAATCAAGCGCCTCCTAATTACTTGAGTCTCTGAATATCAGATTCGTAATTAACGTGATTTTCGAAATATGACAACATAGCATTTTCGTTGAAAAGTTCTGGAACGGTCCCATATTTGAGAAACGGCTCAGAGAAAATTTATGAAAACTTCGACAGGATGGTTGTTGATGATGCCCGATTCAATGGTGATATCGGCAATGTTGCCAAATCAACAGTTTTTCAGATATTTAGGGTAACTCAATTTTTTCAAATGGAATACCCTATTTGTTTTCATTGCAATACATTATGCGACGCCTCATTACTTATGTCTCCAAATATCAGATGTATTGCAATGAAAACAAAAAGGGTATTCCATTTGAAAAAATTGAGTTACCCTAAATATCTGAAAAACTGTTGATTTGGCAACATTGCCGATATCACCATTGAATCGGGCATCATCAACAACCATCCTGTCGAAGTTTTCATAAATTTTCTCTGAGCCGTTTCTCAAATATGGGACCGTTTCAGAACTTTTCAACGAAAATGCTATGTTGTCATATTTCGAAAATCACGTTAATTACGAATCTGATATTTTGAGACTCAAGTAATTAGGAGGCGCTTGATTAATTGCCATAAAAATAAATGGGGTATTCCATTTGAAAAAATAAAGTTACTCCTAATATCTGAAAAACTGTAAACTTGACAACATTGCCGATGCCACCATTGAATCGGATATCATCAATAATCACCCTGTAGAAAATTTCGTGAATCTTTCTCAAGCCGTTTCTGAAATATGAGACCGTTCCGATACTTTTGAAAGACACTGTATAAAAAAAACCATTGTCTTTGAATGTTCCCTCTTTACGGCTTGCGGTGATGTTTTTTTCCAAAAAATTGGAATAATGAATATACCACCTCCTCGATTAACCTACAGACAGTATTTGACTTTGCATAAACTATACGGTAAACGTGACAACACAGGATTGTGGGGTTTGTCTTGTCAGTTCTCAGCATTCAGCACAGCATTGCCAAGTCCCTAGCCAACATTTACATGTTTTGGTATGGAATATAAAAAATATTTTAACAAGCTGGTTGCTCCAAAAAGTCACAAGACTTTTTAATAACTTGATTATAATTGGTGACTTGACAACCTTGCTTCATGAGAGGGAATGGAAGATTATCTGACCAATAAAAAAACAGAATATGATATAGTAAGAGTAATTGAATGCCAATTATTCACTATCAGTCCAGTAGCCTATTTTTTATTCAACTGAGGGACTATTTATGCCTAATATACGAGTTTTCCTTTTGATAATATTTGAATGACCTTTGATAATTCTGCCAGCTTATCTTGTTAGGCTGATTCCATCATGGAGTTCCTATTGAACAAATTGAGCTTAACTTCAAGAGTTTTGAATTATTTTATTGCTCAAACAAAATGATTTTGTGTTCCTCTACAACTTTATGTAGGAATTGTAGGATGCCGCTATCAATTAAAAAGGGCAGCTGGTACATATAGAGAGATTTCTCTTTCAATTGGACATGCTGAATTTCATTTTAAAAAATCACTACAAATCCTTATTGTTCTTTATTTTTTTTAATAGGATTGAGTTCTTGGAGAATAATAATTTGATTTTTAAGAAGATATTGGATGTAGATAATTATATTTTTTGTTTTCAGTTATTGGGTATCATCTTCTCCTGTTGTCTTACAAAATTCATAAGAAGTGACTATGAGACAGTATAAAATGTATAATAACTAAAACATCTTATATTAGTTAACACTATTTGTATACATTTATAATATTCAACTTTTCATCCTAAAATCTGCATTATGAGACTGGATTTACTCAGAGGACTGTGAATTTTGAGATTGAGAAAAATATTTTGTCAGTGATTAATGTTTGCTACTTGATAGGATGAGTTTGTGACAATTTACAATGTTTTATGCATATTGTGTAGGTAGGTGATAGTTATGTAAATAAATTTCAGAAAACAATATTAACTAGCTATTCATTCAAATCTGTGTACTTTGATTCTTGTAGATGGACGTAGAAATAGGTGAGTTTTTGATTTAATAAAGGACAGTTGATATATTTAGTATTATTTCCTCTTTCTTTTCATAACCTATGAACAAAGGAGAGTCCGAATTGATTTCATTGTATCCAGGCAATTAGAATCAATTATTCAAGATTCATGGTATGAAAATCGCCTCTTCAATTTTTTTTATCGCTTGGTGCGCACGAAAGGGAACCCCTATAATGTTTGAAGAACATCGTGCGTATCTAGGGAGGATAGGGAAAGGAGGTAGGAGTTGGATTTTTTCAAACTTTTATATTATAAGTTCTTGGAAATACTTCCTCATTGTCGAACTTTTAGAGTAAGAACCTCTATGAAAATGTAATTTTCTGTGGTTCAATAAAGACTTCTATCTAAAAAAAAATTGCAATATGTATATTTCACATAGGTAAAACCTACCAAGTTTTTTAATTTAAAAATTATCATATAAAATCACAGCTTTTTGCCGTCACAAGACTTCTAGTCCATGCAAGCATTTGTTCAGAGGCTCCAATAGTTTCTATATGCGAAATCAAGTCTGAAATATCAATCTTTGAACATTTTTCTCTCACTAGAACCGAGACCAAAATCGTCCATGTGTCAGCAACATGCGGATAAGAATGCACAGCCTTCTGCGCCGCTACAAGCGCCTGTTTTTGGTCACCCACGAGCATAAACGCCAACGAAACATAACCTAACATCTTCGTAACATCCATATTCGCCTGTATGTTATTCAAAGCAACTTGAGCACACTTAGCAGCACTCAACCCCGGCTTCTCCAGTCGCAACAGTAGCAAAGCCAGATTCATCCAAATCGAGCTATTGTCAGGGTGCCTGTGTATAAGCTTCGACACTTCTTTAATAGCTCCGACTTTGTCTCCGGTCAGTAAGTACATGGAAGACAAAAGCTCGGCGTAAGGCGCCTGACACTCCTTGTCATCTTTCAGAGTATCCATTTCCTTCAGAACCAGCTGAGCCAGTTCCATGTCTTCGTGCAACAGCCCCAAGGCCATGGTGGCGTAAAGGCTCCAAGGAGACCGCGGTTTGAGGCCGATGCTCTGATACAACAGCGCCTTGGCGGCTTCTTGGCCTTGAAACATATGTAGGCCATGGATGCCAGAGCGACCAGCAGCTCCGATTGGTGCGTCTGGTCCTCGGCCAGCCAATGGAGAGCTTGTTCGTATGCGTTGTACGAGTCCTCGTACTGCTCTTTTCAATACTACTCTGTAACTAATGTCCCTGACAAGACAAAATGTACTCGGTATATTTTGTATTTCCTTTTTTTTTACATGACATGTTCTTCAGAGTGAGAACCTCTATGAACATGTAATATTCTGTGGTTCAATAAAGACTTCTAACTGAAAAAACAATAATTGCAATATGTAAAATTCACATTAGTTTTAAAATTATCATATAAAATCACAGCTACTTTGCCGTCACAAGACTTCTAGTCCACCCAAGCATTTGTTCAGAGGCTCCAATAGTTTCTATATGCGAAATCAAAGCTGAAATATAAATCTTTGAACATTTTTCTCTCGCTAGAACCGAGACCAAAATCGTCCATGTGTCAGCAACATGCGGATAAGAATGCACAGCCTTCTGCGCCGCTACAAGCGCCTGTTTTTGATCACCCACGAGCATAAACGCCAACGAAACATAACCTAACATCTTCGTAACATCCATATTCGCCTGTTTGTTATTCAAAGCAACTTGAGCGCACTTAGCTGCACTCAATCCTGGCTTCTCCAGTCGCAACAGTAGCAAAGCCAGATTCATCCAAATCGAGCTATTGTCAGGGTGCCTGTGTATAAGCTTCGACACTTCTTTAACAGCTACGACTTTGTCTCCGGTCAGTAAGTACAAGGAAGACAAAAACTCGGCGTAAGGTGCCTGACACTCCTTGTCATCTTTCAGAGTATCCATTTCCTTCAGAACCAGCTGAGCCAGTTCCATGTCTTCGTGCAACAGCCCCAAGGCCATGGTGGCGTAAAGGCTCCAAGGAGACCGCGGTTTGAGGCCGATGCTCTGATACAACAACGCCTTGGCGGCCTCTTGGCCTTGAAACATGTACGCCATGGATGCCAGAGCGACCAGCAGCTCCGATTGGTGCGTCTGGTCCTCGGCCAGCCAATGGAGCGCTTGTTCGTATGCGTTGTACGAGTCCTCGTACTGCTTGTTTTGGAAGAGAGCTAGAGCGAGGCCGCTGCCGCTGCTGAAGGTGGCTTCTTGGACGTCTTGGAAGACGTCGATGGCTGCCGGAAGGTCGCCTAGTTTGGCCAGCGTGCGGCCGTAGTTGATGCGGGCTGAATCGCGGTGTTTGGGTGAGAAGTGGTAGGCGCTTTTGTAGGCTTGCAAAGTTCCTGTAGGAAATTGAAGAAATCAGGTCTAAACTAAAACTACTGATGGTCGTGGATGAGGGAGGTATGATGTTGGTTGGTGTGGTTACCAAACAACACTTATTGCGCATGATATTGTCAAGAAGTATAAATGTCTATGAAATAACATCACTCAAACTTTCGTTCATCTCTAGATCTTTATTCATAAATTAACTTTTCCAAATTAAAACATTTAGTACAGCGTTTCGATCAGGTCAAAGCGGAGTTCACAGACTCTAGTTCCGGTAAAATTTGCATGAAACCGCTTAGCTTGCGATGCGGGCTAAGCTATACGCCCGGTAACGAGCATTGCCATTACGGAAAATTGCAATGTTAGCTTCGATTCCAAATATAAATAGATTCCGAATCGATAAGCCATTCATTACTGATTATTGATTACTCATTACTGATTACTAATTCATTACACCGTCCTCCCGACTTTGATCCTGTGAAGTACTGTTTTTCCACGTTCTATCTGAATTGTTGTTTTGTGTTGTGTTCCGTTTGGTAATTTACTATGGTTTGTCTCTGCTACTTTGCCATTTGGCATGCATTTATTCACGACTTTCCCATTGAATCAATAAATGTTAATTTTATACGAAAACTATCTTGACTTCATTTGGGGATGAATATGGTTGGGTGGTGAAATGATCAAAATCCTCTCATCAAGCCAAACGAGTAGCCAAGTTACGATGCATAGGAGGGCAACATCTGAGTTGCGACATGTGGTGGACACGCCGTTTGCCAAATAATCTACCAAAATCATCTGAGTTGCGACAATATACATTGTTAGTCATGACTAGAGTTCCTAAATGTACTTGACACTGCTGTTTTGACGTTTTATGTATATAGGTCGCGTGCACGAAGATCGACCCTGGAGGCAAAATATTGAAACACAACCTCATTCTTCTGTGAATTATTGAAACACAACCTCACTTTTTTATTTGGTTACAGAGGAATCAGAAGGTTGAAATAGTTTTTCACAATATTTTGGCATACGAATCGTGTTTCTTGCGTTATTCATTAATTCAAGCATGCCTTCGCATTGTGCTGTTGTATAATGCACAAAAAATGCAGCAAGAGACTAGGAAATATGATTTTTCAGGTAAATAGTAATCTCACATAGTTAGCATTATGAAATGTTGTCATTCCTTATTAAAATTCCTTCTGCCACTTCTGCAATACAAGCTAATGCTGCTAATAGATTGAAAATGTCTACAACACACGATCGTCAGCATGTCAGACCAGTCCTACCGATTGATTGCATGAATCCAATCTTCTTGCATTATTCTAGAAATTTCAGGTATATTTCTATTAGCAGATCCTATTGCAGAAGGAATTCCGATGAGAAATCAGAAAAATAACCAAATTTCAAAAATGAAAACTATGTGAGTGACTATAGTAGGTACTTACTTTTGAATCATAATGTACCATCCGGATTTCTTCATCTTCCGCTGCAGTTTTTGTGCATTTTACAACAGCACAATGTGATGGCATTAGCGAATTAATGAATAGCGGAAAAATACGATTCATATGCCAAAATAAATGTGGAAAACTATTTCGATCACTTGTAAACAAATATGTTTTGCCTCCAGATGCCTCCAGGGTCGGTCACCTGACAGTTCTTGCACGCGACCTATTAGAGTATGGACACTATGACAAGCACTGACAATCAGACATAACCTCAAATAAATTGACGGAAAAAGCAGGAACATACAAGCTCATTAAATGTTGAAAATCGAGTTAACAATGTATGAATGACTCCATAGTTGTAGATAAAATATCTCACCTTCTCTGAGGCCCATCCTTTCCCTGAGCATCCCGAGCATATTCCACGCACAGCCATCTTCGGTATTTCTCCTCGTGTACCACGTGAGGGCATCGCAGGCCACGGGAACAGCGTGCATATCGTCTATGGAGTACAAATGGGTATTAGGGGACACGCTGAGTATGGTCCTGCACACCCAATGGGCGTAGCCGATGCTGCCTTGCTGGTTCTGGCCCAATTGGACGCTGTGTCTGAACAGGTCCATCGCCTCGTCTCTGTCCATGGATTCGGCAATCATTGCTTGACCTAAACAATGCGGGGTAAAAGTGCACTTATCGTGCGATGGGTTTTTTTTCGAAAATTTTTTTTGGTACTTACGTATTTTCGTCTGAAAAACAAGAATTTCACAATGAAAATGTGAACAAACCGCTATTGATCGAGATATTTTACGAAAAAGTTCGTAATTTCACCTTCTTTTGCTACCCATCTTGGATATTCATTAACAACTACTTTTCCCTCTTTTTCCAACACTGGACAATTTATATACACACGTTGTACTTCAATATCAGATTTTATTTCCTAAAATCAACAAGCAGTATGGTTTATTTGGAATTTTTTCATATTTTAGTGAGGTAAACAATCACACCAGGACATCAGCTGACGGCCATTCAATTATCAAATCTAGTCATACCCACGATTACAAATACCAAATGTCAAATAAATAGTATATTATGTAACAAGTGTTATAAACGTCCTTTTAGTAACGAGTAGTTTAAGCACGAGCGGAGCAGAGCGAGTGTTTAATAAACGAGTGTCTAGAAGAGTTTATAAACGCTTTACATACTATGATTTTTCTACGAACTCCAAAAATTACATTAATTAACATACCTGCTATTCCTGCTAACCTACAAAATAATTCGAAAGGAATGGGAATTGAGAACATAATACATACAACTGCATGCAACCAGCGAGACACGTATGTGATATTGGTTGTAGATCTGTCCAGTCCATTGCTTACTAACCTTTGTTTCACGTTTATTGTCATGCTTAGCGCTGAATAAATAAATTGTTCTCAAAGATGGATGCTTCATTTTAACACTTCTTGGACGTATGTAAGTACCTGAACATTCTCTTCGATTTCACTCTCGTCTACTTTTCGCATATACTTTTAATGAAGAATTCCGATACAAACTAATATTGTTTGAATAATTCTGATACAAAATATGAAAATAACAGTTGACAGTTAATACAATTGACAGGCCAGACATGTCTCGAATTACTGAAGCTGTGTTTAATGAACTGCGTTGCCATGGTGATGTGTTTAAGAAATCGTGTTGCCATGATAACGTGTTTAATATTTTGAATAAATCACAGATCGACAATCCGTGATTAATCGATCATTTAGCGTGGTACATATCCGTACGATAAATGTCATTTTAGTTATGTGAGTAGAAAAATGACTATTGTTTACCTCATTTGCATATGAAAAAATTTCAAATAAACCTTACTTCTTGTTGATTTTAGGAAATAAAATGTGTTAATGAAGTACAACGTGAGTATATAAAGTGTCCAGTGATGGAAAAAGATGGACAAGTAGGTAGTTGTGAATGAATATCTAAGATGGGTGGCAGAAGAAGGTGAAATTTCAAACTTTTTCGTATAATATCTCAATAAATAGCGGTTTGTTCACGTTTTCATTGTGAAATTCGTGTTTTTTAGACGAAAATACGTGTGAACCAAGAAATTGAAAAGAAACCATTGCATGATAAGTGCACTTTTACCCAATGCGGAATTCAGAAATACAGTGTGAATTACTTAAGAACGAGACACTCCTTAGAACTTGGGAGCGAGGGGCTAATAACTCTGTGAAATGGTGGAACACATTGAAATGAAATACTAGTGAGGTACTTTGAAATGCTTGTGAAATACTTTTGAAATGGTAGTGAAAAACTCTTTGCAATACCTGTGAAATACCTCGAAATATTGTGAATATTGTGAAATACTTTGAAAAATACTGTGAAATATTTCAAAATGCTGTGAAATACTTTGAAATACTGTGAAATATTTCAAAATGCTGTGAAATACTTTGAAATACTGTGAAATATTTCAAAATGCTGTGAAATACTGAAATACTGTGAAATATTTCAAAATGCTGTGAAATACTTTGAAATACTGTGAAATATTTCAAAATGCTGTGAAATACTGAAAAGCTGTGAAATGGTTGTGAAATTGCTTGAAATACTTCCGAAGTATTATGGAGATTTCTTTTATTAGTATTCAAAGACAATATTGATTGAGCAGTAAACCTTTTTATCAAAATTCTGTATAGTTTCCCGTAGTTTCCTCAACAAAAAAGTTCAAAGGGAGGTCAAAATATAGTTAATAACCCTGTAAATATGTGCTACCCTCTCTTACCTATCCAACTATTAACATAATTGGGGTCTGCTCTCTGTCCTTGAGCAAATGCCTTATTGGCAAGCTTCAGCTCCCCCAAAATAAGATAAATAGTCCCTAAATTTGCCCATGCAATAGCACTGTTATGATCCACCATGACTGCTTTGATAAAGTAGTGCTGAGCCAAGGCATAATTTGGTGGGCGCCTTTGCAAAGCAATGTTGCCAAGCAAGTTCCAATGTTGCCAGTTGCTAGGGTTGTCTGCTGTGCAGTGCTCAGCAGCAGCAACACAATAAGACAGCAAAAGCTCCCTTTTCTCGTCATTTTCTGTGGTTAAAGCATGAGCCAAATAACAATTGGCTAGGTCATGCCACAGTAAAATATTGTTGTCTAGGTACCCAATTGCTTTACAATAACAACTGGTGGATAAGTTGAACAGTTCTTCTTTCTCAAACAGGCTTTTACTCTCAACCAAAGGTGGGGAGACAAAAAGACAGCAGTATTTTTCTGGCAATTTGGCTACAAATAAACATACATCTGCAATAAGCTTCCAAAGACAAGAAAAGCTGCTCCTTTGTTGTACAGCTTGAGACAAGTTATCTAGAGCACTCTGTACATGGTCTCTGGCAGTACCCAATCTTTGATTCCTATAACATTCCTGTGCTAGGTATATGAAAGTCTCAGCCAAGCCTTTTAATGCTGGTACATACTGTTTGTTTTTCAAAAGAATTTCTTGGAACTCAGTTTTTGCTTCAGAATGATACCCTAGTGTCTTTTTTATGTTGGCAATTTGTAATGAAGAATACAGACTGTTTGTTGCTAGTTCCAAGGACTTCTCATAGCATTTGAGGGCTGAAGTAAAGGATCCCCTAGCAAAGTAGGCATCAGCTAATGACTGCCAACAATGTGTATTTTCTTTTTCAATTCTCACTACACATCTCAAGTTCTCTATGGCTTGTGAATATTCTTCCTGTTCCAAATAGCTCAGTCCCAACTGTAGCCAAGCCCAAGAATTTTTCTTGTTTATTAAATCAGTTGCCAGGCTTTTCAGTAAATTTTGGCAAGCCATATAGTTTTTTTGTTTGCAGTATACTTTGCTCAATTCTATTCCCACTTCAGCAGATTTAGAATTGATTTTGAATGCTTTTTCATAGCATCTTCTTGCCTTGTCCAAGTCATCTACTTTTTCATAATAGGAACCAAGATGAAGAAAACAGATATACTGGTTTGGGTTCAGTTTTGTGGCTTTCAAAAAGGGGGCAAGACATTTTGAGTAGTATTCTAAGTTCCAGTAAAGTTGACCTATTAGTAACCAACTTTCCCATGATTCTGATCTATTTTCTTCAAGAAGGTTCAATGCATCTTGGAAACATGTTTCTTTTTGAAACAGTTTAGCTAGTAAGAGAATGGACAATTCATGATCTACCTTTTTCAATTCAGATATCAAAAGCTTTGCCTCATCAAGTTTTCCCAAATGAATTTTTGCTAAAATCACATATTTCATACTGCTTTCTTTCATTGCATGATCCCCTATATCATCATAAATTTCTATAACCTTCAACCAATCTTCTTTACTTGTAGAATATGAAAGAAGTTTCATATGAAGGACATCAAGAATCTGTTTCAGTCTTTCATTATTCACAGATTTCATAAGTTTCTCTGCAGAACTATATGCTTGAAGACCTTCTTCAAATAATTGTAAGTCAACACAAAGCCTTGTCAAATATACCCAAGCATGTATTAACCCTGGTCTGGACACACAAACTTGAACAAGTAATTCTCTAGCTTCTATCACTTTATTATCTTTAACCAAATAGATACTTTTTGTAAACAACCCAATGGCATCTTTTGGATCCTTTTCAAGGAGATGGGCACTATACTTTTCAACTAATGTGGAGTACTGCTCTGCCAAATTGGGGTCTTCCAAATGGATCTGATTATAAATCTTACAAATCCAGATAATAAAAATCGTGCTAGAATTGAATCTATTATTGATAAATTCAGCCTGTTTCATTACATCTGTATATTTTTTTTGTTTATAGAGAAAATTCAAATATGATGAACATATATGAATATCTAAATTATTTGGAGAGGACATCAGTTCTTTAAAACATGTTTCAACTATTAGAAGTACTTCATCAGATACTTCATTTGAAGTTTTTTGCAGATTTGTGTATACTTCAATCAAATTCTCATAAATTCTATAATTTTCCTCAAATTTGCAGGCACACTTATAAAGCACTTTGATGATTTCCAGTGCATCTCCATGATTCTGGGTATTCTTAAGCTTCTCACAATATTCAAGAACTTTCTTGGTATTTGATTCTGCATTCAAAATACCTATGTAAGATTGCACCAAATGCTTTTTAGACTCATCATCATCAAATTTTTCATAATAGTTAATGACTCCATTCCAAGCAAGTGGGTTACTTTCATCATGCTGGATTGCTTTTCGGAAAGCCTTTACAGCTTGTTCACTAGGCCCTACTTCTTGTAAAGAAAGCCCTAAAAATATTAAGCCCATGTAATTGTCTCTGTCCTCTTTTAGAATCAATTTGGATAGTTTGAAGGACAAGTCATAATCCTTGTTTTTGATGGCTTCCCTGCATTCTTTCAGTAAAACTTTCACATCCTTCATCTCTTAATAGAAAAATACTGTAATCAAAATTTACTATCGTGTTCATAGCAAAACAAATCAACATAACCTTATTTCATTTGTTGCATTTTGCATTTTAGCATTTGACAGTAGTGACAATGTGAAATGTGACAATCAAATACTTCACAGAATAATAGCGAAAGTCCCGTTGGCGGAATTATTACCTTCCTCAGAATTGTGCATTTTCCCACCTTTTCGCGGTAGTCAAGGTCGTTATCTGGCGTTGCGATGACATGAAAACTACGAGAAAACATTACTAAACTTTCAATCTACGCCAGGAGTAAGGAATGTGTTCCCGTAGTTTTTATGTCATCGCAACGTCATATGCTGACGCTTGCATTTTCCATTTAGATCGACAATGTCTCGACACAAACGGAAAATTCACCTATCTTGCAAGCAACCCGAAAATCTCGGGAAAATGTTCGCTTGAAAATGCTCCCGATTGGAGCAGGAGGAGCTGATATAACAGGCCTGAATGCGTACGCTGTACGCTCCATGGAACCAAGTTCGATCTCGTGATTAAATGAGCAGTCTAGCTATAGTTAGTAACTTGACGGTGGTCGTAGCCGTGGCCAGAATCAAAATCTATACACAATGAACTGTATGTTTGAAGGCGAGTATGCAACCATCAATACAACATACCAGTTTAAATGGTTGTGGTACAAAAACAAAATAGAGATCAGACGCTCTGAACATTTCCGTTTCTAAATTAAAAGCGCATGTGGCAAAAAACTACCTATGCTTGGCCACGTACCTACTCACGTAGTTTATAATTTATTTAATTTACATTATCAATATTTGTTATCATATTATCTCTGGCAGACAGATTAGTCGTCACTTATTATTTTCTTTTCATTGATTGTTTTATCTATTTGTATGCCACAGAATTGGTCGGTATACCGTATACACCTGATGATAATTATATATTCAGCACATTCAGCAGAACACCTGTAAAAGTGAATATCTATACTCATATCTAGAAGAAAGTAAAAGTACCTAGATACCTGTTTCGTTTCTACTTAATTCACGCTGCATGTGAAATAATTAACAACCAGTTTGAGTTCGAACCAAATCTATTTGATAGTTTACCAATATTCGTAACAGAATATGAATCTCAATTGTGGTGCTAAAACTATAAAGTATCTGATTTTAACATTCAACTTCCTGTTTTTGGTACGTATATAGTCTATAAATATAAAATAAAATTTAATAATAGTTATTTATACACCAAGGTACTTATTAGTAAAGAATATCATTATTACCCAGGGACCAAGATTATATCCCTTCAACCGAGGGGTATAAATAAGGTCCCGTGGAAATAATATTCTTTATGCTACCAAGGTTTATATTGATTTTTTTCCACCACTAGCAATATAACTTCAATCATTTTGAAACCGAAATATGGACCTATTGTTACTATGAAAGCACTATCTTCAATAATTGACATATATGACAATAAGTCGTTATTGATAAATAACTATACTAGATTCGAGTGCCATTCCTGCACATCTCTGATTAGAACGACAGTGCATTCGGGTTAATTACAACTATAGTGGTTCATAATATGACGAAAACTACCTTGGTAGTAAAAACACACTTTAGTCCTCGAATAAGAGTAAATAATGGTAGGTTTTATATAGTGGTGGAAAAAATATAATATATTAGAGTGCATATAGGTATTGTGCATATTTATAAAGGTGTGATATATACGTACCTATATATACAGCGTGTCTCACTTTAAACGGCCCCCCCTCTATATCTCAGTTATTAGTCATGCGATTCCAACCAAATTTGGTGTGGTATGGATAACCATCAATATAATCAATTTACAGAGATGCACATTATTTTGGACAGTGCCGTGCGTTTTTATTGAACTAAAAAGGGGTCGATTTTTCATAAAATCATATTAGGCATTTTTTTACAGGAAATCTAACCTCATTTTATTGTGCCTCATACTTTCGAACCTCCGTATGCAAAAAATCACCTAATTCCGAATTAACAGCTAGGATTGGCTTCATTTTTTCATTTTCAGTCTGGAACGTTCAATGGCTCCGGTAGATAGAAAATCATGATTTGGAAGCAAAAACGAGTTATACTTTTTTATGTTGAACTCACCGTTTCCGAGTAAATAATTATTACGTTTGCAAAAATGCTGTTTTTGATGTACCTGTTTTTCTGAAAGCCTCCATAGGCATCTTATGAAAATCCACATATGTGGGTTTGAAACCATAAAGAACAATATTATGAGGTCAATTTTCCTGTGAGAAAATGCCTAATATGATTTAATAAAAAACTGCAGACCCCTATTAATTTCAATGGAAATGCACGGCACTGTCTAAAATGATGTTTGTCTTTGAAGAACTGGTCATATTGATGATCAATAATCATTGATTATTCATACCGATACAAATTTGGTGAAGATCGCATGCACGACTGATCTAGCTGAGATATAGAGGGGAGGCCGTTTGAAATGAGACACGCTGTATATATATCTAATTTCAATAGTTCACTTTAAGGCAATTCCATTTTTATTGCAAGCTAATTAACTTTTGTAGTGTTTCCTGTGGTTTTGTGCTAGCGGTGGGCCAATAACTTTATAATGACTTTTAGTTAGAGTAATATAATTTATAAGACTATATCCACCGTCGATATCTTCTACAATAACTGAAAACTGAAATAAGACGTTCGTCAAATTACTCACGTGTTCTGTTGATTCGAATAATTTGAGGTATGGGTAGGGCCATAAATTTCAGGGTCCAATATAGTTCAAGTCATAAAATTGATCTTTTTATTTTGATCGCACGTAAAAGAATATATCAATTTTTTGTTCGTATCTGCCATTTGGAATGTATATATAGCGAATAAATAATAAGGTAGGTATTGATGGATATTTTTGAACTTTTGGATGTTATGAATTCTTGGCATTGTATATACTGAGGCGCCTCTTTTGATATTGATTCTATTACTCGACTTTGAGCAGCAAGAACTTCTATACATACAGGTTATTGCTTATCATCAGTTTATCGAATCGTTACATAGGAGCTAGTATATTAAGGAAGGATGGCATTTGGCAACATCGCATCAGTCAAAAAGAGCCAAAGAGTTCTTGATGAAACTGAATGTGATAGACATGGAAACAGTTGTCTTTTAAAATTCGTTGAACAGAGTTCTTTCGCTCACGTCCAGGGCATCTGCGATTGCTTGCTGGCTATATTCGCGATAGAAAATAAGCGTACGCCACCTATCGGAGTTCTTGAAAGCTGCCAAAGCGGCATGTTTACTTTGTTTTCATTGGTTCACATTTGTTCGTGCTTATTGGTCATATCATGAAAACAAACCGCTCAGAAGTGTTCAAGTTGCTGCCGTCAGGTGGGGCAACGTGTTATTTTCTATCGCGTATGGAAGCAGCATTTTCCGTAATAGATAATAACAGCACAGCCAATTGATTTCCTTCATTTCGAACCGGTCTATCTCTAACTGGTTTTTGTATCCAATAAGTTTTGCAGGCCCCTTTTATCTGGATGACGTCGTTCCGGATAACGATTGTGCATAAACTCAACTTGCCAAAAAAAGAGTTTTTCTTACATTCTCCTAATATTCAAATCATATCTACGAGCTCTTCTTTGTTGTACTCCATGACAAAAACCAACATTTAGTTATAAACAGCTCAAAAAATGTATGATAATGAGCTAACAATGTATTGAATTTGAACTATACTCAAGCCCAAATATGCCTCTGACACTTCATTAGACTTAAATGTCAATAATTCACTTCTCAAAGCCACCTTCGTTTTTTATTCATTCAAATGGATGTCAGAAATAGTTGATGAAACGATAGGTTTCGATGGGGTTGTAATAAGAGAAAAAGTTTATCGTGTTTTATTCACGCATCGAATGACATGAAAATATACATCGCAGGGGCTCCAATTTGAATTAGGAAAAATATTGTGCTTTGAAATTTGAAAAGGTTGCCGCTAAATTTTGTACACCCTGTGATGATTCGTGTCAATCAATCAAGAGAATTGAGGTTGAGCATTTGGGCCAAGCTCAAATTCGAGGGTTCAGTTGTTTTTTGGTGTTGTGGACCTGGGTGCCATTGAAATAAATACAAATATTTCAAACCCTAAGTAAACTCGACATATAGTATATATATATACTATAAACTATGCACTGATAAAAAATAAATGGATCGAAATAAAATTTGGGGTTAGGTCCCTTTTTCTATCCAATAAAGTTCTACTTCTATACACTGTCGCAATTCTGACGTAATCTCTGTACAAATTTCATTTCATTTTAGATCACAGGTATAATTCTTGTTGGAGTAGGAGCGTCGATAAAAGCCTACTATACTCAGTATGATCTCTTTCTGGATGCCAAATATTTCACTTTGCCGAACCTATTCATAGCCACAGGATCTTTGATATTTATCATTTCATTTTTGGGCTGCTATGGGGCCATGAAAGAAAGTTGGATTCTGCTCTTGACCGTAAGTACTTATCATTACCTATATTCGTTTGTCCAGACACGTCACACACCAATTTATGACGTCACTATGACGTACTTTCTATGACGTGATAATCACGTCATCGTTTCGACGTCGAGTGAACGTCACTTAGATGGGTAAAAGAAGACGTCAGTTTCATGACGTTGCAGGGACGTCCTGTCGATGTCCATTTTTCCAAAACCTTGTCTAATAAACCATGGATATTATATATTAACTTTGACACACTGTATATCTCGAAAACCAACAAGCTATGAATAGCCAATTTCGAATATTTTGTATAAACCCATACACTTTTCAGTATTCTTTTCTTCTGGGGATCATATTTATCTTCGAGTTTTCTGCTGGTATAGCAGGATATGTACTGCGGGACAAGACTTCAAGTTACTTAGAATCCACAATGCTGGAGAACAAAAAATTATATGGCAATAAAGATTATGAAGCGATTACGAAAATGTGGGATATTATTCAAGCAGAGGTGAGATATTTTTTCGTATACAGCTAGCAAATATTATATTTCACTTCACATAAATTTTAGATCTCTCACTCTAGGTCTTATTATAATCAAAAATCTAGCAATACCTTCCTGACAATACTTGTCTTATTCAATTCTTAATATTATGACATTTCTTATCAAAATAACACATCTACATTGATTCCACACTTCTTATGATTTATATTTTGTAAATTAAAATTTTGTGCTTCTTATTTTATTGTTGGGGTTGGAGTTGAAAAACAGAGTTTTGCTGATACTCCGCTTATTTACCATTGCAGACAGGTATACGGGTTAGGTAATAGCTATTTTATACAGGGTGTTTGGTTCATCGTGTGCCAAATTGAAATGGTCGAATGAAGGGGTCATCAGTCAACACCTTTCATGCCCTGTGGATTATTTTTAATCGTATTTTTATCTGTTTATTAAAAAAGATCCAAATTCCACATTCCATTCAAATAGCAATATCAAAAAATATTTTGGATAAATCCAAAAACATCTCATGAAATAACCAATGCTGAATGATACAATTCCATTGTTTTTAATGCATATCTTCTGTAAGACTATTTGACAAGTGAGTTCACAATTTTATTCACATAGAAAAATTCACTTTTCAGATACTCTCCTGATGATGGCCTAGAGCCGAAAACGTTTGAGTTGACTAATAAATATTGTATACTATAGCCCGAGTATTACTCATTAATATTGATTATTAAACTAAGTATACACAACCTTTTCGCTAACCGATTAATTGATTTGTATATTGTGTGAATCCATTTGTAAGTTTTGATTAGAAGTACGGTCGGAATGTGAAGAAGCGTATGATATCCTTGGAATTCAAAAAGGATACTATTGTTATTTGTTTTATGATAGTGATCAAGACACTGATTACTTGGATTGCACAGATTTTATGGGTATTATGCCAAAGGAAGTAAGCTAAAGCCAATTTATTTTAACTCTCACGGAAGGTGATGATGTTTTTCCTCCCGTGGGAGTGAATTGTCAACTTTGGTTCCTTATAAATGATGGAGCAAACAATTACTTTCAATTCAGTGAATAGATAAAATATTTTTGTTTTATATTTTGTTTCATGCGATTTTTTTCTGCTAGTGATGAATAAAGACGATTAATTATTATCATTATTATTATATTGTAGTGCCCATAGGCTGAACTTGATTAACTTTCATAAATTATTCCACTCATTTAAATAGCGAAAACTGTGATAGGCACTCACTATTATTTTGCCTCGAAGAATTTTAGAATTTTTGCGTTTGTTGATTTATAATAATTCCAAATTATTAAGTTTCATTCTTGTATTCTCTACTACTTGTGAAATTTCGAAATTGCCAACAAAACTATGATTTCCTCCTAATATCTGGTTCGCGTTGGTTGAATTTGTTTCTTTTCCAAATAACTCATATTATAATGTTCATGCATCGGGTGGTAGAACGTTCTACCTGTCTGACCAATATACTCCGCCAGTTTGTATACTCCTTAAATAAACCTTCCCAACGTGTTATTTGTTCTATTGTATAAGTTACTAACTCTCAAGTCTAGTTCATGAAAAAATTAAGTTATTTTTTTCTGATGATCCAAAATAGTTCGAAGTTCTATAATTTTGATTACTTTCTAATAATAGTGAAAACTTTTTGAATTGTTCTTTCACGGAGTTTCTTAAAATATAAAATTGTCTATCAAATCAACGTTATATTCGATCGTTGTTGACTGCGCAATTTATTTTATAATAACGATTTCTTTATTGAATTTTTTCTCTGAGAGGGGGCCATTCACTAGCCTGTGTATCATTCTATCATGACTCATGAGCTGCAATTTTATGTTGATTAGGTTAAATTGATTCATTATGCATAGTGATATCAATGTGGGAAGGTTCATATATGAAACATTGATAAATCATGTTCCATCGTTAATTTTACTTATTGCAGAGAATTATTGTCAAATCAAATAATCGATTGGGATTTCTTTCAATTTCCATGGTGAATTTCATATTTTGATGAACTTTTCTGATATTGATGAGAAATGTCTAATTGTCTATTGGTTCCTCTAAAGCATAATATATACTATTACGTCATCGCTATGTCTACCGGGTGTCAGCGTATTCATTAGAGTTCTGAAGGTGATATTCAAACTTCAAACGCAGGGATGTTCGATTCAAGAAGAGTATTTCTTTTTTTTGATAATTCATATTCTTCCATCGTATCCGGTTTTACCGGAAACAACTCTAACTCATTTTCAGAACTGGACACCCTGTTTTTATTCCATAATCTGTTTGAAATTATCATAAAGAATTCAAAAATACCAGGTATGATAAAAAAATTTCATACGATTACGAAGATACCTATATTATGCATGCGTTCGAAGTTTCCATATGCTCAATGGGTGTGACGGCGCAACATCTTTCTCTGTCACACTCATCGACAATATAGAAATTTTTAACGCGAATATCTTCGTAATCGGTTGAAAATAACCATCTATCAAACCCGGTATCATTGAATTCATTATGATAATCCCCTACCAATAATATAATAAAATACAGGGTATCCTATATAAAAATCAAAAGTTGGGTCGTTTTTGGTGAAACCGGAAGGGATAGTATGAAATATGGACACCCGGTATATTTATACAAAAATTCTTTAATCACTAAATCCCTGATGCTGAGTGAATTGTTTTAGTTTCAATGCTGTGGTGTTACCAGCTTAAGCGACTGGCAAAACGTCAACAATATGACAGATAATAAGCTGCCACTTTCATGTTGTCCCTCTAAATATGGGACTATAGCTGATTTTCATTGCTACGCAAATACAACAAGTAAGAATCTCCTATTACAAATGCACTGTCTCAATCATTCTAGGAATATACTTCACCCCATCTGCCATAACTAACAAATAGTTAATTTTTCTGTTACGGGAAAAAAGTTTGAAATTTCATCTCTGTTGACAGGTTATAAAATGGCACTTTTCGTAGATTACTTTTTCCCATGGGAAAAAAGTTAGTACTTTTTTCCCGGATATACAGGGTGTTTCAAAAAATCCTAACCCCCTTGCTAGGGTAGGTAGAACATCAACAATATTTTTTTTACACATTTTTTACGATTATGTTGAAACTACAGGCAACATTGTGATGAAATTTTGAATGGATGTTTCTTGGAATCTGACACATCGCATGCATTTGTTTTTATATCTGACGTAACTTTGAACATAACTTTTTTGAGGTTAGATTTTTCAATCCAAATTTGATGTGAATTTGAACATCATTCAATTTCACACCAAAAAGGTACTCTTGGAAAAACTTGATACTGTGTTCCGTTTTCGGAATATTTCGATTCGAAAATGATGAAGTGGTAATTGTTTCTGGTAAAAAGCTATGTATTATAGTGAGTATTATGAAAAATTATCACCTATTTATTGAAAACCAAAAACAACAATATATTTCTGATGCAAAACTCATTGATTTAACAATGAATCACAAGAATAACATTGAAACAGATTTGACTAGGAACATGGATTACACAGTTTTGTTGTATCTTGAGCAGAAAGTCTATGCTACATAGGTAAATTCACGTCAAGAGTTGTGAGACATAATTGAACATCACTTAAATGACCTAACAGCTGGTCCTCAACTGTTCAGAAGAATAATTCATTCTTAAAAAAATAATATAGAATCATGTGTTCCTCAAAAAGTAGGACATTTTGAACACTTACTCTAATTGATTCAATATTTCATGTTTCTAGTCAAATATCTCTTAATTTTCTACTTATGATTCTTTGTTCCATCAATAACTTCAGCACAAGAATAATTTTATTGGTTTTGAACCTGAATAAATAGGTAATTGAACTCAATAAAATTCATTTTATACCAGCAGCATTACTACTCCATTATTTTCAAATCGAAATATTGCGAAAACGGAACATAGTATCGAGTTTCACCAGGAGTAGGTACCTTTTTGGTGTGAAATTTAATGATGTTCAAGTTCATATCATATTTGGATTGAAAAATCGAACCTCAAAATCGTGAAAAATGTGTAAAAAAATAATTTTTTCAACACCTTGTATCATGAAAACGGATGCCGTTACGACATTTTTTCACTGAGCAAACCCAACTTATTTTGCAATGTTCTACCTACCCTAGCAAGGGGATTAGGGTTTTTTGAAACACCCTGTATATCACATATATATACATGGTTGATGGCTTTTGTTGTGCTGATCCGAAAAATAATTGCAAGTCCTTTTATCTTCCATTCGACTTCTTGGTTACGTAAATTACTAAACAACCACTAAATTCGAAATTTTTGAAAATCACAGAATTAGACTGAATTCAGTATCAAAAGCCGGGGTTATTTCCGGTTGAACCGAAAGTGATAGAACAAAATTTGTTTTGTCAAAAAATGAGCAATTTTATACTTGCTACCCACCAAATTTGAAAATCCGATCTCGAATTATTCAGGAGCCATTTTATTTTGTGCACTCTGTGTATTGTATATGTAGAATATGAAACTATCACTCATAAGTTACAAAAATGTAAAAAACTTCACAAACGATTAGATATACATAAAATAAAATTTTCAATAACACATGTTTCACTACCATGAGGTAGGTTGGTATTGTACGAGTATTCAACATCAAGGAACTATTATTACAGTATACTATAATTGTGTTAGCGAAACATGTTTTATCAGGTATTTTGTGGAATTCTTATAGTTTGTCAAGTTTTTCACATTTACTATGGATCCATCAAGTAACGGTCGATTCGATAGAAAAAAAGGAATTGCAACGATACTTATTGCTTCTACTAGGCTCTCCCACTAGTCCCACTGCTACTACTGCTACTAGTACTACTAGCGAATTGGAATCTACTACTGATGGTGAATCATCGACGATAACTACCACTAATTCTACGCCGACTACTGATTCTACGACTGCGACTAATTCTACGGCTTCTACTAATTCTACGGCTACTACTAATTCTACGAGTACTACTAATTTTACGATTACGACTAATTTTACGACTACTACTAAATCTACGACTACTACTAATCCTATGCCAGCTACTAATTCTACGACTACGAATAACTCTACGGCTAACGCTAATTCTACTGCGTCTACTACTTATTCTACTGCGCCTACTAATCGAATCGCTGCTACTACCATAACCGGATTAACTTCTGTACCAACTCCCAAGGAAATAAAGTCATTCTTCCCAGATTCGACTACTACTACTACTACTCCTCCATACGAAATTGGGTGCAAGGCAGCTTTTGGGGACTACCTGAAAGCTCACGCTGTTGATATCGGCGGAGTGGGATTCGCCTTAGCAGTTATTCAGGTGAGAAAATGCGCTGTTTTTTGAAATTTCCTGGGTCTTGTCGAATGTAAGCTCTACCTTCAACAAGAGAGAGGACAGTTCTCTCCTCTTCCATCTTTCTCTTCAATGCTACCAACCTGGCCACATTGAAATATAGAGAGGTCCGATGAATCTGTCCTTGTCTAACAGTAAACATACTGCTTTGACAGCTTTCAAGAACTCCGATAGGTGGCGTACGCTTATTTTCTATAATGATATTCTTTTCTTGTGAACTGACATATTTCGCTTAGACTGAACTGAATCAGTTAACATGCATTCTACCTAATCAAATTCGAAAGAACACAATACATAATAGGTATTTTGCATTATATTATTCATAATTCAGCATGAGCTACCATTTTTCAAGTTTATGTGTATAAGTTAAGAATCACCCCGTACGTATTAGTATATTATGTAACAAGTGTTATAAACGTCCTTTTAGTAACGAATAGTTTATGTACGAGCGGAGCAGAGCGAAGCGAGTGTTTAATAAACGAGTGTCTAGAAAAGTTCATAAACGCGTCACATATTATGCTTTTTCTACGAACCCCGAAAATTACATTGACATACCTGCTATTCCTGCTAACCTACAAAATAATTCGAAAGGAATGGGAATTGAGAACATAATACATGCAACTGCATGCAACCAGCGAGACACGTATGAGTGATATTAGTTGTAGATGTGTCGAGTCCATTGCTTACTAACCTTTGTTTCACGTTTATTGTCATGCTTAGTGCAGAATGAATAAATTGATCTCAAACAAGATATGCAAGTACTTACCAGTAGAACATTCTCTTCGATTTCACTTTCGTCTATTTTTCTCATATATTTTTAATGAAGAATTCTGATACAAACGAATATTGTTTGAATAATTCTGATACAAAATTTGAAAATAACAGTTGACAGTCAATACAATTGACAGGCCAGACATGTCTGAAATTACTGAAGCTGTGTTTAATGAACTGTGTTGCCATGGTAATGTGTTTAAGAAATGTTGTTGCCATGGCAACGTGTTTAATATCTTGAATAAATCACAGATCGACAATCCGTGATTAATCGATCATTTAGCGTGGTACATATCCGTACGCTAAATGTCATTTTAGTTATGTGAGTAGAAAAAATTAATTTTATATCTTATTCGCGATAGAAAATAAGCGGACGCCAGTGACGCCACATATCGAAGTTTTTGAAAGATGTCAAAGTGGTCTGTGTAATTTTTATCGCAAATTGCTAAAAAATGTGTCACTTGGATCCTTTTTGTTGCTTTACTATGTCCAATTATCCAGTTAATAATAATTGTTTAATTAATCTTAATTTTCAGCTGATCGGGATTGGATTTTCCAGCTATTTATCAAGACAACTGAAGAATTCGTATTACAGCACTTAAAACAGTGATCGGAATACTAAATTTTTAATTATCATAATTCATAAGTTGTTGAATCTTTTGTTTTTATATTTACTTCCTCACTTAAACCTGAAAACTAAGTCATATTCTTGTGTCATTTATATTTATATCCACTACGAAATCAAATAAAGCAAAAATGTTTTATATAATAAGTGACTTGTAAATAAAAACTGTTATAGAACTGTTTTTTCTTTATCTCTTGGGGCGCACGAAAGAAAATTTTCATGATGTTCGATCGAAAATTATGTAACATTCGAAATAAAGTCTCGACATTATTGATTTTCATTTAGAAAACGAGTAACAAATTATAATTATCATAGCCGGCTGGAGAGAATTCCGTACGTATACTCCGAAATGATAGAAAAAGTACAAAGGAAATTCCTGGGAAACCTTCAATACAGGAAACATAAAGAATCTGCTTTAATGATCTCATACAGAACTCAGCCGTTGGAATTTGAGCAAAGAACACTAGAGTCCCGAAGAGATATCAGTGATATGCTGTTTGTTTCAGACATAATCAGTGATAAATTGAATGTACCTGATCTACTTAGTCATATAAACAATCATGTACCGGAAGTAAAACTACGGAGAAGAAATAATATTATTTTCTACATTGATGTTGAATCTTGCTCACCCTTTAGAAATTGCCAAAGAGCTGTTAATGCATATAACTGTGATATAGATATTTTTACATTCAGTAGTAGCAAAATTAAAGGCTGTTCTCCATCTCCTTTATATTCTCAAAAATCCATAGTTCTAGCCCAGCGAGCACAAAAACATCTCAGAGATGTTAAAAGTACGAGATTTCGAGACATTGAACCTCCACTGCGATGTTTTGTTCACACATGAATAGAACTATTATAGAACAGCCAATGTCCGCCGCAGGCGGCAATTATCGAGATGTCCTTGATATGTCACAAAACTACCTTCTCCCTAGTTCTTTTTAAAGCCTTTTCATGGACACAACAGAACATTTTCAACGCGTCTTGCGCACATTAAATCGCTGTAAAAAAACTATTTTCGAGGTACTTTTCTGAAGCATTTTGTCAAAATGAACTTTTGCATTAGGATTCCATTTCCCTTGAATGAAAAAATGCATTAAAAATAGATTGAACATAAAAATATTTTCTTGATATGAAATTACCTTCTTGATCGGTTTCTGAGTATTGCTTACTACACACAGACATATAATTGGAAATAGATTTCCCAATTTTTGAAATGTTCTCCACAATGCATAATTTTGCAACTGCCGAGAAGCTGTGTATTGATGAATTCGTACTTTTATATATTGATTACACTGAGGCACCGAACAACACATCTTGCATCTGATAGTCATTATTATAAACTAAATAAGTCTTCTAACACAATAATAAACTTCACCAAATTCCTTTCTTTTCGTTAGCAGCGTGATGTACCTAAGCGTGACACGCTGCAAACGCGAATGCCAATTGCGAACAAGAAGAACAAAATCGAAAACAAATCAGAATTCATCGTATTGTGACGTAAGCATGAGACGTTGTGGTGGGGCAAACACAGAAAGGGCACAAAAGAACAAAAACAATACTTTCAATATCCTTCTAAGACCTCTTTGGGAAGTGCATATTACGCCCAAAAAAACATCCTCATGCCTACATTTCTAAAACATCCCAAAACATCCCAGGGATACCTCTCAGTAGGCAAACAAAGAAATGCCACAGAAGAACAAAAACAATACTTCAATATCCTTCAAAGACCTCTTTGGTCAGTGCATATTACGTCTCAAAATAACATCTCCATGCCAACATTGTCAAAACATCCCAAAACATCCCAGGGATGTTTATGCTCGCTGGGAGGGTAGTACTTATATAAATATTTAAAAAAAAGCTGTTATGAACATCTTGATTTTATATCTCAATTGTTTTCCCCAATACTTTAGTGTATTGTAATCTTTCTGTGTACTGTATTTTTTCTTTTATTTTTTTGTGTAGTGTATTTTACTGTAGGATAGAAACCGAGATAGGAACTTTCTGTCTCTAATTGGTCCATGACCTGTAGATTTGGCAGTATAAATAAAGTGAATTATATATAGTTAATATTAAATAAACGAACGTATTATTTGACTTATAAATTTAATAACTTCACTAAAGACAATAACAATTTTATAAAATAAGTTAAAAATATTTACAATTATTTAAAAAAACAATAAAGTTAATTACACACCCGACCTGACAGCATAACACAATTTTCAATAAGCATCTCAATGGAAACCTAGTAAAGTTAAAACAAACTGTGATCTTAATTTAACCATCTCACAGTTTCTGGCTTAAAAATTCAGTATCAAAGCTAATTTATCTGTTTTTATTTTCAATGGAATCATTCGAAAATAAGGAAGAAGAATAATACTATGTGGCACATGACCTTGGGCGCATGTAATACTAGTTTATTGCATGTTCTACCATGAAACTCAAAATGAACACATGGCTCTAAATTGAACGATCCACACAATTTGATCAGTACGACGAAAAAGTTTGGGGGGGATAAAGAAGCCTCTACCCACAAAAATCTATCACCCTGTAGATTTTGAGAATCTTCAAATAGCTTGAAATGATGATCTTCTAGGAAGTATTGACCACACCAAATTTCAGAATGAAATCCCAAGAAGTAAGCGAGATATTTCAATCAATAGAACAAAATTATTGAACTTTGACCCCCTGTAGCTCCCTCCGCTTCTGGACGAGATCGGATTAATGTTTATATGAACTTATCCGATTGAAATGATGAGATCTATCTCCCATTACAGTTTATGCCTCAAAACCTGAATCACCCTGTATAGAAAAACGATAATGAACCATCACAACTAAATCATGAATGTCCTGAACTATAATGGAATGCTTATTACGAGTTACTTATACGCCAGGCGATAAAGTAGTCTGCAGGCGGTAAAGTGCCACATTACGCCCGCAAAACCGGGTCGTGTATAAAAGTTAGTGGTTTGAATGAAAAATTATAAATTTGCACGAAAGATACAGACTGTAAAAATCGTGAGATTCCTTCCTGAGAAAGATATTGATATTGAAGTTTTATTTTCCATTACTAAAAAAGCGTTTCCGTGTATCTTCTATTCCCATCATTTTCAAATTTAAAAACATAGGTTGAATTTCTGGTTTTCATCAAATATCGATTTCATATATCGGGTGGTCACAAAAAAACCGGAAGTTTTTATTTTCCTCGTGGTTTCATCATTTCTCAACCGAATTCGAATTTATTTGCGTCGTTTTATAGCTGAAGGGCTATAGTATACAGTGGAATATTTGAAAATTTCATAATGAACAAAAACAAAATGGTGGATTCTACCAAAGTTTTGTCATTTACAAAAACCGCTGGAGAAAAAGAAAATCAGATTTTTTCCAACCTGTACCGATGTCATCTTACGCAATTCATTTATGAAGAGAACGAGTACTGGAACATCGAAATCGAACAAATAGTCCAGTAGATACACTCATTCCTTTGCAATTTGTTATGGAGTGAATGTGCTAATCTCGTATAACCGATTATTATTATTTTGGTTCAGGCTTCATGAAAATTCAATCGAATTTGGATCTGTTAGAGGTATTTCAAAGATAAATAACTGTAGTACATAATGGAACATTTGAAAATCCAATAATTGAAAGAAACAAAATGGTGGAGAATCCAGATGTTTTGTGATTTTCAAAAATCTCTGGCGAATAAAAAAATTTTTATTCTTCCATTCAGGACCGATACAATTTCAGATCATTGATTTCTGAAAAGAATGAGCACTCGAACATCTGAATCGAACAATTAGTCCAGGAGAAACACTTTCTTTTTGGCAAAGTGTTATGGAGTGATATCCAAATTCGATCGAATTCTGATAAAGCCAGAAGCAAACTAATAGTAATTCATATCACGGGATTGGCACATTCACTCCATACCACTTTGCCAAAAAGAACCAGTTCCTCCTGGACTAATTGTTCGATTCAGATGTTCGAGTGCTCATTCTTTTTAGAAATCAATGATCTAAAATTGTATCGGTCCTGATTGAAAAAATAAACATTTTTTTATTCGCCAGAGATTTTTGAAAATCACAAAAACTCTGGATTCTCCACCATTTTGTTTCTTTCATTCATTGGATTTTCAAATGTTCCATTGTATACTACAGTTCTTTATATTTGAAATAACTCTAAGAAATCCAAATTCGATTGAATTTTCATGAAGCTTGGAGCAAAATAATAATAATCGGTTATACGGGATTAGCACATTCACTCCATAACAAATTGCAAAGAAATGAGTGTATCTACTGGACTATTTATTTGTTCGATTTTGATGTTCGAGTACTCATTCTCTTCAGAAATGAATAGCCTAAGATGACATCGGTACAGGTTGGAAAAAATTTGATTTTTTTTTTCTCCAGCGGTTTTTGTAAATGACAATACTTTGGTAGAATCCGCCAATTTGTTTTTGTTCATTATGGAATTTTCAAATATTCCACTGTATACTATAGCCCTTTAGCTATAAAAAGACGCCAAGAAATTCGAATTCGATTGAGAAATCATGAAACCACGAGGAAAATAAAAACTTCCTGTTTTTTTGTGACCACCCGATAGATAGTTCTGATTACTTCATACCCTATTATATTTGAATAAGGAATGCTTTTTGTTATAACTATTCACATAATATTATGTGCCACGGTGAGTTTTCGTTTCCATGAAAATATTACCCTCATTACCTAGTCCAAATATCGTCCATAGCCCCGTCGAATAGATATTTCTCTGGTAAAGCTCTGAGTGTTTTCATAGTTTCCAGATAAAAAATGATCTCGGTGGTAACAACCCCGTGTTGAGGCCCCCCGTTATTCTGGATGTTCATTTTGGCCAGTTGTTCTCTTAATCTGGTCTTGAAGTTCTTGTGGATCACCTCGTAGATATCGTTCACCTAGCAAAACAAACAATCATTCAATTTTTATTCTTCTAATATATTATTATGGTTGGCGAATGTTCTATTCGTTTTCTTGTTAAAAAAAATCCATCTTATGTTCATGACTGCGCTGATTAAACGTACGACCTCTCTGACATATACAGCGTGATTCACGGTGGATGGCACATTAGACGTTTCTCGAGAATGCAACTCAGGATTATTCTGAAAAGTTGGTGCCTTGGATAATTAGTTGTGTTCTATCGACCCAGAATATTCTCAGCGTTGCGACGTTGCTGCTTATATTGAAGAGTAGCAACAACTTCGATTTTTTCAGGGGAACACCCTGTATATCATTCCATTTTAAGATTCTCCCTGAATAGCTGATTCACAGCCGTCTTCAACTATCAAGCCATGAAGAAGAAACTTGGCAACATTGTCCGAACGACCGAACGTTGCAATCTATAGTGCACCTGGCGGCCATTCAAAGTGTATTGTGTAGGAAGTAAACAAGGAGTTCATGGAAGGTTTTGTTAAAGATTTCAATTATCAATTGGTGTAATATTGAGATCAAATAATTTTAAAAGTATTAGCAATAATCTAGGAATCGATTCGAGACTGAAAGTGTATGGCAGGTGCATTCAAAATTGTGTTAAATTGGAGGTTATAGTGAAGTGTACTAGTGCTGGTGTATTTGCAAGGGAATTTGTGTTGTTTTTTCAATTTACTCCTGGAAATAAGTAAGTAATTCATTATTCCCTATAAAATATGCCTTCTCATTGTTGTGTGCCAGGATGTAAGTCAAATTACAGATCTGAAAAAAGCAGGGAAAGGATCATGTCTCAGTTTTTTTATTCCCAAAAGGGGAAGAATTGCGAAGTAAGTGGGTAACAGCAATACCTCGAGAAAACTGGACACCATCTCAACGTTCTGCAGTATGTGCAATTGATTTTATTGAAAAAGATATCATCAGGTATGATACATTCCCTCTGCCAGATAAATCATTTGGAAAAAATTTGTTACGAGCACCAAAGTTAGTCAAAACAGCAGTTCCTTCAATTTTTCCAAATTTACCAAAATATTTTTCAAAACCAGCCAAACCATCAAGAACTGATCCAAATGAAAGGCGTCAGAAATATTTAGATATTCAAAGTAAGTGAAAAATCAGACCTCATCCACACCAATGAACAGTTAGTTAGGGAATATGTTGAAAAAGTTAAAAATGATACTTGGAAAATCCATAAGACTGATGATGAATTGTATTTTTATGAATTAGATTTGCAAGCAATGTTTTTTATCCCAATGATGTAAATACTTTACAAATCGTTTCTCAAGTCATAATATCCAATGAGATGGAGGTATAAGTTTTTCTTGGTGATAATAAACTTGGATTCAATGAATTGAAATGGATTCTTACTCATGATATGAAATTGAATAGAAGGTCACAGCTTGAAAATATTCTATCTAGATTCAAAAACATCTCAGATCAAAGTGACAAACACTCAGATAACACAATTGATAATTTAATAGATAAAAGCCTTGTATGCCTGGAAAAAGCTCTCACAATATCCTGTGAAACAAGCTCACCATTTTCGAAAAATCTTGAAATTTTAATAGATCAATTAAAACAAGTGCACATGAAAAAACATAGATATTCTTCTTCAACAATTATTATGTTCAAAATTACGGCTTCAGTTCATGACCAAGGGAATTCACTCTCGTGTATTTTTTACCTATTCGACAAAATAATCCGAGAAAATTACGTTAAACCAAACATTCAAAGCTCGCGCTCATATAAAAACCATTGTATTGCTAGGCGCGAATGGGACCGACGGTTTCCGTTCGTGCGACGTTGCCATTATCTCAGCACGGCTTGATAGTTGAAGACGGCTGTGCTGTGGCTGATTCCATCGATCTATCAAATTTGGGGTCTAGCGGGAATGATAACGAAGATATAGGGTATGAAAAATCGAAATTTTTCAACATTAAGAATTGTTTGTGTCGAAACTATTCATAATTGATCAAAAGGGTTTTCAGGTCCCTATCTGAACTTTCCATGTACTATCAATTGATATTTAATTGAAATAGATACAGGGTGGTCAAAAATCTTAATTCTAAATCACCATTCCATACCATTCGATCTAAATACTTGCTCAACTGATGAAAGCAAAATAAAATAATAAATTATAAATTACCCACAAACTCACCGATGAAAGGAAATACCTTTATTTTATTTATTTATTTATTTATTTATTTATTTATTTATTTATTTATTGAACAAATAACTTCCAGACAGAATAGGCTCTGGTATAAGGAAGTACATAATTATATACCTATAGGTAAACATAGCATCATTCAAAATATATCAACAACTGTAAATTGGCAAACAAAGAATAATATTTGTAAAAAAAAAAAAATGGCATGATTAATTTTGTCCAGTCCGCTCAGAAATAATCAGTTTTTTTACTTCATTTTTGAATATACCTATATTTCTGCAATTTTTTATATTATCAGGTAGTTTATTGAATTCAGTTAAGGCTCAATGAGTGAATCTTTTTTGTCCGATTAGGGAGCTAGCGGCATCAAGATGAAACAAGTTATATTGTCTAGTTTCATGATTATGAATTTCAGAATTCCGTATCAAAATAATATTCGACTTCAATTTTTTATTTATTATATTATATGATATTTTAAGAGTTTCAATTCTATATATTTCATCTAAAGAATACGTATTTGTGATTTCATACAATTGATTGGTTGGTGTATCAAATGGGAGACGATACAATACTTTTAACGATTTTCTATATAATGTTGATATTTTATTGAAATTATTTTTTGAACAAGATCCCCAAACATTTATTAAATAGTTGATACGACTCAGTATATGAGAGTAGAGAATCATGTTTGCAATTTTAATATCAAGTTTGGGACATCTTCTCAATGCACCAATAATTGGAGATATTTTTTTTGTCAGAACATCAATATGTTTGTCCCACTTCAACCTGTCATCAAACCAAATACCAAGATATTTCATCTGGTCAGTTTGTTTCAAGAGTTCATTTTTTATTTTAAGGTTGAGGTAATTTTTTTGTTTATTTTTCTGGTGAAAAATCATATATTCTGTTTTGTTAGTATTTATCGATAAAAGGTTAGATTGGAGCCATTTTTCAAATATTTTCAAGTCTTCATTTATCATATTTTCTAAATCTGAAGGATTCTTGCCTTCATATAAAAGTACTTTAGTATTTTTAATTCTTACAGCAAAGAACAACTGACTTTATATTACCTTGGATTGGCGAAAGTTTGTTATAAAGTGGCCCTAATAAGTCGATGGTTGACTCTCACCTGTTCCTCGGGCAGAGCCGAGCTGACGGCCTCGTGCAGCTTGGTCAGGTGTCTGGACACGTTCCTGAACTGCTTCGACGGCGAAGGCGGTCGCGCGTCCCACTCGGTCAGTTGCTCGCCGAGCAGCGCGTCCATGATCGACACCACTTTGGTCTCCAGCTGCTGCACGTGGTGGCCGATGTCCTTCTCCACCGTGTCGAAAACTAGAAAGCGATGGAAACGATCGATAGTACCGATAGTTCGGGGTGCTGCGTCGATCACGGAATAGTTGACTTTTCGCGCCAGCTTCAGAACATTTCACTTTCATTTAAGAAAGCTGAATATACCGTGTGACACAGGAGACATGTAGCAGCCTGTAGTTTTTTTATTTGAAGGGATAAAATTTTGAAATTCACAGGGGGTATATAATAAATGGAAGCGCACTTTACGAACTTCACGACAATTTTTTTTCAACCACCTGTTTGACCGGAAGTGACCTCAACTTTCTTTTTCAAATGTCACCCTGTACATTTCTTCAGTCTATCTTTTTCGCCTTGAAATTCTCTATCCAACCATGTATCACAAAGTGACATTTATTTCTCAATTCGCTGTTGAATTGCTTTTTATTCAAAAAGAATAAGTTGGCTGTGACATGAATTCCAAGGTATATCGACCCTTGGTAGGCTTTGAAATTTAAATATCATTAGTAAACCGATATTATTCAAAATGTTTCGATATTCTGATCAATGTCTGCAGATTGTCAATAGCTTGTTTGAGTCAAGATGAAAACCTTCGAAAATAACTCATGATATTGAGGAATCTAAGATAGGAACATATTTTTTCGAATTCAGCTACTCGCACAGAAACTAATTCTTCTATTTTCGCCATGTAGCTTTCACATGATCTTCCCATTTGGAATAATAAAACTAAAATTGTTCCTCTTATACGATGATCCACAGGGCTATCAGTCAATTTTTTCAAAATTATTTCACTCAGTAGGCGGTGTACCAACACAAAATGTTTTATGTGTTTGACAGTTAATCGATTGCATCAATAACTTTTCTTCTTCATTTGTGTGTTGATTGAAATTGCATATCAACAACATATCGACTTTTTCGTTTCTTGAATACATTTATTTAGGTTGGTTTACTAGATCTGGTAACATATCTTAGGTTAGGTTACTAGATCTAGTAACATATCTTAGGTTAGGTTACTAGATCTGGTAACATATCTTAGGTTGGGTTACTAGATCTGGTAACATATCTTAGGTTGGGTTACTAGATCTGGTAACATATCTTAGGTTGGGTTACTAGATCTGGTAACATATCTTAGGTTGGGTTACTAGATCTGGTAACATATCTTAGGTTGGCTTACTAGATCTGGTAACATATCTTAGGTTGGGTTACTAGATCTGATAACATATCCTTGGTTAGGTTACTAGATCTGGTAACATATCCTAGGTTAGGTTACTAGATCTGGTAACATATCTTAGGTTAGGTTACTAGATCTAGTAACATATCTTAGGTTAGGTTACTAGATCTGGTAACATATCTTAGGTTGGGTTACTAGATCTGGTAACATATCTTTGGTTTGGGTTACTAGATCTGGTAACATATCCTAGGTTAGGTTACTAGATCTGGTAACATATCTTAGGTTAGGTTACTAGATCTGGTAACATATCTTTGGTTAGGTTACTAGATCTGGTAACATATCGACTTTTTCGTTTCTTGAATACATTTTCCGTCTCTATTGATAATATGCAATTTCAATCAACACACAAATGAAGAAGAAAAATTATTGATGCAATCGATTATCTGTCAAACATAAAACATTTTGTGTAGGTACACTGCCTACTAAGTGAAATGATAATGAAAAAATAGACTGATAGCCCTGTGGATCATCGTATGAGAGGAACAATTTTAGTTTTATTATTCCAGATGGGAAGATCATGTGATAGGTACATGGCGAAAATAAAAGACATAGTTTCTGTACGAGTAGCTGAATTCGAAAAAATATATTCCTATCTTAGATTCCTCAATATCTTGAGTTATTTTCGAAGGTTTTCACCTTGACTCAAACAAGCTATTGACAACCTGCAGACATTGATCAGAATATCGAAACATTTTGAATAATATCGGTTTACTAATGATATTCAAATTTCAAAGCCTACCAAGTGTCGATATATCATGGAATTCATGTCACAGCCAACTCATTCTTTTTGAATAAAAAGCAATTCAACAGCGAATCAAGAAATAAATGCCACTTTGTGATACATGGTTGGATAGAGAATTTCAAGGCGAAAAAGATAGACTGAAGAAATGTACAGGGTGACATTTAAAAATAAAAAGTTGGGGTCACTTCCGGACAAACAGGTGGTTGAAAAAGATTGTTGTTAAGTTTCTAAAGTGCGCTACCATTTATTATATACCCCCTGTGAATTTCAAAATTTTATCTTTTCAAATAAAAAAACTACAGGCTGCTACATGTCTCCTGTGTCACCCGGTATAATGCTCAGAGAAATGTTTGACAGAAATCAAATTAGAAATAAAAGTTTTTCTCCAATCAATCTGAATCTGATAACTTCAGTAAATCATTAATTCTTAGTTACATGTGATATCAAAAAATGACGATTCTGCCTTGTGAATAAATATGTTATCGTATGGAGAAAACCAAGGACCCCGCACGAAAACACGGGAAATTGGCTCTTGGTCGAATTGGCTGAAATTTGACTATGTTGTTGTGGGATGGCTCATTAAAAATATATGTGAGTTTAAAACGTTTTGTATGTTTAGTTTCTGAGATATAAGCCGACAAAGTTCGTAAAAACGTCTTATCGGGGTAGGATTGACAAAGAAAACAACTGTTTTTTTAATATAAATGAAACAAAATAAGCTAAAAAATGTATTGATCGAAACTCATAACATGTCTAGTTATAATCACATGAATTATAGTAAATCAGGGGTATACGAGGCACGGTCAAAAAATTCATTTTTCGAAAAAAAAAAGCACTATTCCAAAACCAACAAGTTATATTTTGGTGGGATATTATAGTTTCAGTCTATTGTAGGCTTCGAAAACGTATTTTGATTCTTAATAACTATCTCTGTTCGAAATATGAATTTTTAGAATTTTATGTTATACCCCTTCTTGAAAACAATTGAAAGCTTGTTTTTGATCACAAAGAAAGGAATTGATTGATACTGTTGATTGAATGAAAGCTGAGAAAACTTACTAGCGAATTCAGTTGTTCAATATTGCCTTTCATTTAAATACAGGGTGTGTTAGATTTTGTTGAAGATTATTCAACATGTTTCAATTGTATATCTCGAATTCATTTGGATCTCATTTTACACACACTATTTTGAATATGTTGACTATTCTATGCAAAAAGTTTTTCAATTTTTTTATGTTTCGTTTCTGAGAAATGCATTTTTGAGTTTACAGTAGTACAAGTATTATAGGGTTATTACCTCGAATATTACTCAAAAATTGAGGTTGGGTTACCAGATCTGGTAACATATCTTAGGTTGGGTTACTAGATCTGGTAACATATCTTAGGTTGGGTTACTAGATCTAGTAACATATCTTAGGTTAGGTTACTAGATCTGGTAACATATCTTAGGTTAGGTTACTAGATCTGGTAACATATCTTTGGTTAGGTTACTAGATCTGGTAACATATCTTTGGTTAGGTTACTAGATCTGGTAACATATCTTTGGTTAGGTTACTAGATCTGGTAACATATCTTTGGTTAGGTTACTAGATCTAGTAACATATCTTAGGTTAGGTTACTAGATCTGGTAACATATCTTTGGTTAGGTTACTAGATCTAGTAACATATCTTAGGTTAGGTTACTAGATCTAGTAACATATCTTAGGTTAGGTTACTAGATCTGGTAACATATCTTTGGTTAGGTTACTAGATCTGGTAACATATCTTAGGTTAGGTTACTAGATCTAGTAACATATCTTAGGTTAGGTTATTCATAAAGTCGGCATCATATGGGAAAAACTTTTATTAATGTCTTATTTTGGAATTCGAGTTGTACGTTGAGTTTTGCTTCAAAAAAGATGAAAGATGACCTACTCAATCGGGGTCACGTGATTTTCGCAACATGTCAAAAGTGACATTTTCTCAAATTAATCGCTGAGTAGGCTTATTTGTTCGAATATCGAAAAAGTTTACTTGAAAAAGTTGTTTCTATTTCAATTTTACACATGCTTCTCGAATTCGATTTTTCTATTGCAACTTTCAGATTTTTCATTTTTTTTAACTTTCAAAATTTCTGTAATATTTGAAGAATTGTTTATTTCACGAAACTACTTCATGCCAGTAGCTTTTTCATGCTACTCACTTTCAATTACTTATTATCACTGATTATGGACAAAAATATGATTTTCTTCAGAAAATGATAATACCCGCTTCCAAATTCTGTTATGTTTGGTGCAAAGTTGATATATCGTCAAGCATTTAGAAACGAAATTCATTCAAACTGATCTTTTCAGTACTGAAAAAATAAATTCAAATGAATTTCGTTTCTGAATGCTTGACTCAAACATAACAGCATTTTGATGTTATGTTTGCATCAAACATAACAGAATTTTGAAGCGGAGATTATCATTTTCTGAAATATTTGTCGATAATTAGTGATAATTAGTGATTGTCACATATGTAAAATTGAAATAGAAACAACTTTTTCAAGTAAACTTTTTCGATATTCGAACAAATAAGCCTACTTTCAGCGATTAATTTGAAAAAATGTCACTTTTGACATGTAGCGAAAGTCACGTGACCACGATTGAGTACGCCATTTTTCATCTTCATTTCAAAATAAGTCATTAATAAAAGTGTTTCCCATATGATGCTTACTTAATGAATGACACTGTATACCTTAGACAAGAGTCCGGACACAGCTATATTTCTGTCCTTTTCTTTTTCCAAAAATTCATTGCTTGAAAGGAATAAAATATATATATCAAGCTCTGTCCTTTCAATTCCCCTAGTATCAATGATTGTCAGAAACAATTTTGAGGGTTAGATTATTTGTCAATCCGTTCATAGCTGTAGGTAGAAGTGAGAAATAGGGCTATTTTAACTAGAATAACTATTAGATTTTCAAATAATGAACAACAGGGTGTTCAACTTTCGAATCGATAATTTTCATAATCAATTCCTGATATTTCTTCACTTCATTAGATATAAGAAAGATAATGTAAGTGTTCTACGTGGTATCACATATAGCCAAAAAAATATAGCTGATCAGAAAAAGATTTCCCCAGTTCTGGCAGCATTGGAAATGTTCGATTGTTCCACATTACACCCTGTGTAAGTTTTGTTCTGCGGACTTTTTCAGAGTGTTCTAGCTCTCTTTGAAGCCGATGAAATATCACATCCGATATCGAAAACCGCATGAAGATCGGTAAATTTTTATAAAAAAAAGCACAGGTCTTCGAAATAGAGTGGTCCATTTAGTGTGTTGAGAACTAATGCACCGAACATCAACTAAAGATAAGAAGGCTCACTTAGCTAAAACAGTTTGAAATAGCAAAAACAAAGGCGGCCCGACACCCTTCTTCGGTGCCTCAGTTGAGCGGCGAGTCGCTTTGTGTATACGAGGACTGTTTATTTTGCGGCGTTCATGTTCAGCTGGTAGCGTTTATACAGGGTGGGCCACCAGTAACGCCTCGGTCTCTAGAAGGCTAACCACTTATCTTCTTGGAATTCTTCCTCTCTAGGAAGTTGCATGTCAACATAGGCTACCATTTAAAATTATTTCGAAACATACAGGGTGTCCCCAAAAACCATAAAACACTGAAGTTAAACTTTTTTCTAACGAACACCCTATATATTATTTCATTTTGAGATTCTCCCTGATGAGCTGATTTCAACGACCCATCATACTTGGGGTCTAGCAGTTATAATTACTGAAATATAGGGTGTGAAAAATCGAGATTTTCCAAGTTCAAGACTTTTTTGTGTCGAAACTATTCATAATTGGTCAAAACGGCTTACATGTCCCTATCTCAACTTTTGATTAACTATCTAAGTACTGATATTTAATCGGGACATATACCGGGTGATCAAGATTCTGAATTCTGCACCACCCTGTGGAGAATCAGGGAGAATCTCAAAATGAAATAATGTATGGGGTGTTCGATAGAAAAAAGTTTAACTTCAGTGTTGTATGGTTTTTGGGGACACCCTGCATGTTTAGAAATAATTTTAAATGGTAGCCTATGTTGACATGCAACTTCCTAGAGAGGAAGAATTCCAAGAAGATAAGTGGTTAGCCTTCTAGAGACCGAGGCGTTACTGGTGGCCCACCCTGTATAGGGATTGTTCAAAAAAGTAGGTAATCAGATAAATCATTACTTTATTCAACTCAATTATTATCACGGAACTGAATGAGCAAAAGGAAAAAAAACGTGTTGACTAGAAAGACAATGTTAAAATAAAAACGACTTCGACACTAAATAAATTAACTGACAAAATAACAAAGGAAACAGGTGAACATTAAATATCCTATGGGTTGAAACCGATAGTTTTGGTGAATAAAGAGATGAATCATTATAGGTTCTGCAATATAGATAACTTTATATTTGGCTTTTCAATTTTTTTGTCTTTAATTTCGCGATTCATAGATTTAATCGTAAAATAAATACGAACTCTAGTGTAGAGAGATACAAAATACTCGAATAGAAAATGTTCACACGGATGTGTGAATTTTATATTTTCAAACAAACCTTTGAGGGTTGCACCAACATTTTGTAGGTTAGCTATTTCATTGAAATTTCGAATGAAGATGTTCTCTAATCGTGTGACATATTCTAGTAACGAGTAGTTTAAGCACGAGCGAAGCAGAGCGGAGCGAGTGTTTAATAAACGAGTGTCTAGAAGAGTTTATAAACGCGTTACATACTATGATTTTTCTACGAACTCCAAAAATTACATTAATTAACATACCTGCTATTCCTGCTAACCTACAAAATAATTCGAAAGGAATGGGAATTGAAAACATTATACATACAACTGCATGCAACCAGCGAGACACGTAAGTGATATTGGTTGTAGATCTGTCCAATCCATTGCTTACTAACCTTTGTTTCACGTTTATTGTCATGCTTAGCGCTGAATAAATAAATTGTTCTCAAAGATGGATGCTTCATTTTTACACTTCTTGGAAGTATGTAAGTACCTGAACATTCTCTTCGATTTCACTCTCGTCTACTTTTCGCATATATTTTTAATGAAGAATTCCGATACAAACGAATATTGTTTGAATAATTCTGATACAAAACATGAAAATAACAGTTGACAGTTAATACAATAATTGACAGGCCAGACATGTCTCGAATTACTGAAGCTGTGTTTAATGAACTGCGTTGCCATGGTGATGTGTTTAAGAAATCGTGTTGCCATGGTAACGTGTTTAATATTTTGAATAAATCACAGATCGACAATCCGTGATTAATCGATCATTTAGCGTGGTACATATCCGTACGATAAATGCCATTTTAGTTATGTGAGTAGAAAAAATTATTTAAATGGCAGGAATTTGATAAATCGAATAAATCATTCATTATTTTTATGAATTTTGCAGTAACTTTTGCTTCTGGTGGTAAAACTTCAAAATCTACGTAGGTATGAGAGCAGCAGCCACAGAATGACTGAAGACTTGCGAGGCATATTTCACCTTGATTTTTTGAAAATAACTGGGATTCAAATGTTCATTAGTTAATTTAGGACAAAGCTTGTATTGTTTTAGCTAGTCAGGATTAGAACAATGCGTCGGCATTATGAAAATTTGCACTCTAAAAGTTGAAACGAACTTCCGAAATCAATTCTTGAACTGATTCCCAATAGCTCACCAACAAGACACTCGGTATATCACGTCTACAACGACTCTCGCGCGCTCTCGCCGGTCAATCGGTATATGCGTTGGTATCCGATCTTCCAGAATCGGAGGGAGGGAAAGGGGGGAGGTATTCGCGACAGAACGGAGAGTGACTCTTCTTATCTTTAGTTGATGTTCGGTGACTAATGTTACAAGAAAGAACACAACACTCTCGTGAAACGATCATACATTGCGTCTTCCCTCACCTCTATCAAACCCGCTCGTCGATTCCACCGCCATCCCCCCGAACCTCACCCTCAAATGCGGTATCATCCAGCCGATCAGCTGCAGCGACCGCGACGCCAGCGCCAAATTCGTCGACGTGATCGTCTTGAGGCCGGCCGTGCGCAGCGCGCCTGCGCCCAACACCAGCTGGCACGAGCGCGAGTTGAAGGTGCGCAACAGCTCCGCCAGGTGGCGCGCCACGGCCGCCGCCAGAGGGCGCAGGTCGTCGGCGCAAGCGAGGTACTCGCCGACGAGGCGGACGAGGATGAGGGCGGTGCCGACGGTGCGATAGCGCTGCTGGCCGGCGATGAGGTAAGGTTGGGAGGGGGGGTCGACGTCGTCGGTGGGGGAGGAGGGCAGAGATTTTATGGATTCGCCTGGAACAAAATAAAAAGTGATGGAGACCATCCATTGGTCCAGTACGTTTGAAAAGGAGAAAAAAACGAACTCAAAGTCGGTTATTGTTTATTGAAAAACTAGCTAGGAAGTTTCTGGAATCAGTATGTTTGATAATGAAGCATAAATCCTCTTTCGCCAGGCATGTATCTTCTTATATTACCCGTCGACCCATCTGCAACTTAGATCTTCCAATTCCAAATAGATCGCTAGTTAAGGATTCGATAATTTTTAATGGAATCACAATGTTCAATCACTTGCCGATACATATAGGTTGCTTGTTGAAAAGACCTATTATTCTATACAAGATTTTTTTGACGATAAGCTCGAGGGATAATTAACTCCAGCTGATATTTTTAAAATTATGTTATATATGTTATGTTCTGTTATAAAGTATGTCGATTTATGCTGTACGTCCATATCTACAAACTTTTGTATTCACCGGTTCTTGTACAGAGATATATTTCAATATGAGTGCATGTGGATCCAGTCAATAATCCACGGTGGATGACCGATTAGAAGTATCTGGAGAACGAAAAGACAGAACATTCTGAAAATTTGGTTGCTTTGATAATGGGAGAGACCACTGATTTTTTAAAATGACATTATCGTGAACTCTATACTGAAAAACTACCAGCGAATTAATTTTGAATTTTGTCATTCATGCTAAGACTATGGAAAAAATAAATTAGAATATGTCCATTTCAAAACACACAATTCCTGCGCCATTTGAAATGTTGTCAATTCATTGGTGTGACTGGTGCGACGTCTTATTCCCAACACGCCTATTGTCCTTGAACTGACCAATCACGCTGCAACACTGCAGAATGATGATGTATCAGAGAGAGATAGCTACAGTTCGGGACTAATACGTCACGACTCCATCATCATATTTGGCTGTTTGAAATATCAAATGAAATATGCTGATTTCAAAACGATATAGATTCGATTCCCTTCAACTTTAACTCATAATATTGATTGTACATCAAACGTAAATCATGATTCTTCGATAGAAAGAGGTTTGCACGGATTTCTTCTCTCAGTGGTCTTCCCCATTGAATATTCTCTATCCGTCTAAAATAATTTCATCGATATAGTGTTGCCACTTCTATCAGAAACAACTAGCAACTTTGTTATTTTAAATGGAACACGCCGTATTTCATTGCATTTTTAGATTCTTCCTGAAGAGCTGATTTCATCAATGCTTGGGGTGAATCAATCAATCAATTAAAAATATACTTTATTGTCAAAGAAACACATTCTTGTTGACAAAGCATGATAAATAAATAAATACAATAAATGAAGTGAAATGAAAAATTTCACAGTCAGGGTTGAGGTTGAACTCGTTGGAATACAGATACATAGACAATTCAAATGATCAATAATTGAAATAAATAAATAAGTAAAGTGTATAGATAATAGACAAACAAAACATTTTATCTAATTTCTGATTGTCATTTTGATCAAAATATGAAATGAATTTTCTAAACTGAATACTTTCTGCAGATAACAGAAAACAACACACAACGGAAGAATCAGATTATCTGTAATTATCTTTGAATATTTGCAGTATTTGTTAAACTTGACTAGATGAAAGGATTTGAAGATGAAGGTGACAGACGATATTGACGTTAGAAAGTTAGGTTGACTTCTTTTTCTCTTCTTCTATTTCTGTGAACTTTAGGCATTTCGATGTTGCCAGATTCTCAAAATAATTTGGTACTGAAACATCTTGCAAGATCAATAAGTATTCAATAAGTGATTATTAGAGACCAGGTGGAACCATTGTCTTCAGTGAATATAAAGACTGTTGTCATTAATCATATTGAATCTCATAAGGTAATTACTAGTTATAAATTTGGCAGCGTCGGAATATGTGGTTATACTCGCATTGGTGTTGAGAAATAAAGAGGAATATTTCAACAAATATCACTATTGCCACGTGAGAAGGTATATGAAGTCATCGTGAGCTGGCGATTTCCGAAGGTGCCGATATCAATTATTGAAAAAAAAAATATTTTCGATGATTTTGAATAACGAATGATGCATCTAATACCGAGTCTAATTCTATTTATACACGGAATGATCGATATAAAATAGGTATGTGGCGTAGACTCGAATAGTTGGTACAACCCCATTGTCATTTTAAAGTGCTATACCAAACATTCCACTAGGGAGAGACATCATCTCATCTACTCATGACAATGAATTGTAGGGAATTTGTCTAAACAACCTGAACTTCTGGAACCATGTTGAAGTACTGATTAAAAAGGCGTCCTCAGTGTGGTAAAAGTCAAAATTTCGACATAAGAATCAAAATTTCGAGGTAAAAGTCAGATTTGTACGGACACAATAAAAACAAAAAAACCTTGGCACTTCAACGCTTCCGTATTTTTCAGTTGAATTTTCAACAAAAGATCTGTTTTAATGACACTTGAACTAAAAATAACATATTATGTATGTACTTACCAGAGGCAAATTTATTGACTAGAACCTGGATTTCTGCTGGCACTTCCGCTGCTTTCCAACTTTCAGCGTCCAGAAGCATCTGCAACTTATTTCTACGCTGGCCATGGAATTTGTGCACATACCCTCCCGCCTGGATCTTGAATGCCGCTTTCAAGGCGGCACTAGGTCTACCACAAGCTTTCTCGCATCTGGAACATATTTTTGAATACATACCACGCCGTCCAATTATTCCATCAATATAGATGGAAAGAGAGTATGTTCCGCAGTTATCCCCACCATTCACGAATTTCTTCATTCTTCCTTGTTTGACGTTCAGGATTGTTGACGCATACTTTTTGATTATTTATGAATGAATCGCGGTGCCAATCTATTGTTATTTAGTCTGAGGTCTAGATAATAGTTTATATGTCAGTGGATGATAACAAGGAGAATCGGTAACCATTACGGCTATTTGTATAATGAATGTAGTTCCTAATAAGACATATAGTATTCCAAATCTTACACACTTCGAATACATTAATGATGATTGAGAAATGATTAATGAACTTATACAAATTACGAGATTTCAACACCATTAAACACACTGCTTTGGCCACTATCATTGCACAGTCAAGTCATATACGCGAACAACGATTGGCTAAAAATGTATGAGGCAATCTGTTTGATACACTGATATAAACTACTATTTAGATCGCTGGTGGTAATTTTCCAGCAAACTGAGAATCTGGGGTAAATTGTTCGTCTGTAAACGCTTCCGCTCAATGCGCAGGAACTGTCAAACTGTCATTCATGACCTCGAACTGTAATGGCAAAAAATAGGAAACCAATTCATCATTACCATTAAAACAACCTTGTGATTTCCACAATGTAAAATGAACCTCACCTGTGTTGATTTATGAGTTATTAAAATGTTGACGCTCAAAAAAAGTGCTCGTAACTAGGACATATTTAAAATGAACCTCACCTGTGTTGATTTATGAGTTATTAAAATGTTGACGCTCAAAAAAAGTGCTCGTAACTATTTATTAGATATATCTTAAAAAGAATATAAATCCTCTGGCTATGATTCCGCAGTGCTATCCCCATCATTCGCGATTTCATTCATTCATTTATCCGTTTCGGCGTTTAGGATTGTTGGTGAATACATTTTAATGATTCAGGAAAGAATCGCGGCATAGAATATAATATATTCCATCCATGGTATACAAAGTTATGGACACGTTAACATGTATGAGATTTTCGTAGACAATTAGTGAGTATAAGGTTCAATGCTTCGTACAGCCGCTTTTTGTAGTGTAAACACTCTTTGTTGGTCTGTGAAGCTCAAATCATCCCAGCACAGCAACCCATAGCTCATCACTGAATGAAACATTGCATAGTATGCTGTTAAGACAACTTCTTGGCTCACAGTTGAAGCTATCTGCCTAATGGCATTAACTGATCTTGCTAATTTACTACAGTTGTTATCAATATGTTTTTGTTCAATTCAGAAGTAGTTCATTATTGTTTGCATGAGCAGTAACGTCTGCTGAAATATCTTCAATATCTGTGCTTATAATATGATTCAGGTGGAGAGACTTTATTTATTTTCAAGATATTCAAAGAAAACACAAAACAAAATTAAAACTCAACACCCCGTGTGCTGTTGTACAATGCACAAAAACTGCAGCAGACGACTAAGGAATCCTGTTGGTACATTATATTTTTCTCATCGGAATTCCTTCTGTAATAGAAGCTAATAGAAATACACATGAAATTTTTATGATAATGCAAGAAGATTGGATTCATGCAATCAAACGGGAGGACTGGTCTGACATGCTGACGAAATTTTCGATCTATTTTAGCAGTATTAGCTTGTATTGCAGAAGTGACAGAAGGAATTTCAATAAGGAATGACAACATTTCATAATGATAACTATGTGAGATTACTATTTACCTGAAAAATCATATTCCTTCGTCTCTCGCTGCATTTTTTGTGCATTGTACAACAGCACAATGCGAAGGCATGCTTGAATTAATGAATAGCACAAAAAACACGATCAGTATGCCAAAATATTGTGGAAAACCTATTTCGATCCTTTGATTCCTCTGTAACCAACAAAAAAGTGAGGTTGTGTTTCAATAATTCACAGAAGAGTGAGGTTGTGTTTCAATATTTTGCCTCCAGGGTTCGTCATCGTGCACGCGACCTATACAAAAAACGTCAAAACAGCAGTGTCAAGTATAATTAGGAACTACCCGTGGCGGCTCGTGACTGTCATGACAGAGGAGGCTGAATGATATGAAATTTATTGTGAAAAACAACTCTCTACGACTCACCCAAATCGATAGCTTTAATGACATTCTGTTTACCAGTTAACCTGAATTTGATACTTGAAGAGATGTGTTCCTGTGATTTGCAGTGTCCATCCAATCCGCGAGTCAAAATTTTCAAATCATTATATCCTAATCGCTCCCTACATGATGACTTATCGATTGAAAATAATACGCAGCACCAACAAAATAGCTTATTCCTTACCTCAGATCCCGTCAACCAGATATATTTTTTATAATTATCAGAATTGAATTTTGTTTGTTACCTGTTACAATCAGATTTTTTAATTCCGGTGTTGGACGTTTGTTTTTCACAATCAATTCATCTTCATAAGACAAAGCACTCGATGGGTTCACCAAAAAGTAATCCACTAAATCGCAATCGTTTAAAACACTCATTTTTCAGAAATTTATAGAGCCCCTAACCATTAACCTAACATAAACATGAACAATGCACTCGCGCTGGATAGTCCGCAATTCGCGACGCGGCAAAAACACGTGCTATTCGGGCGTATTCGGGCATTTGCATTGCGCGCGTGGGTTGCGATTTGTGAAGGAGTCTAGCCTCCTATAGATGTTGCCAAGTTAAATATTTTTAAAATGGCATTTAGCGTACGGATATGAACCACGCTAAATGATCGATTAATCACGGATTGACGATCTGTGATTTGCCGCTCTGCTCCGCTCGTGCTTAAAATACTCGTTACTAAAAGGACGTTCACAACATTTGTTACATAATATACTACTAGGCGTGATTTGCAGACTTCAACGTGTGATGAGTGGGCAAGCACTGTTGCCAATTCAAAAATATTTACCTAAAAACAGGTAATAAAATCAAAATCCATGTATTTTGGTGTTCTTTTAATGAGAAAGTATAGATAATATCAGTTTGAGGAGAATCTCTGAGGAGGCTCAGCCTCCGTTTACTCCTCTGAGGAGCCGCCACTGGGAACTACTGTCGAGTGTTTACCTGTCAGTGAAAGTCTCCACGATGCCGGCCAATTCGGCCACCTGCGCAGCGACCACCGACCGCCCGTCCGACTGCGTGCTGACCAGGGCGGCTAGCCGTTCGTTGCAGTAGTCGCAGACGGCGGCGAGCGTCTCGTCGAGCTTCGCCGCGACGCGCTCCAGGTCGCGGGGCTCGAGGAAGCGTTCGGCGGGTGAGGGCAGGTCGCGGTGGGCGGGGGGCAGATCGCGATGGGCGGGAGGCAGGCCGGCCGAGGCCGAGGCCGTGGCCCGGATGGCGTCGTGGACGGCGCGCACTCGCTCGATCAGCTGGCCTGGAGGCAGATCGAGCCAATATCATTAGGTGCGAATTGACGACCAATAAAACGATGTGAATCATTTTGAGAGTTTTGTGACATTCTGCTGATCATTTTTTGGGTATATAATGATAATATAATTTCGGGATCTTGCTGTTCATCCCTATATAATTATAATTTATAATAGATGATGTTGTTCCCGCTATCTTGTTATCCTCCTTTGCATCGCGGTATTACAAGGCAAAATACATTGATATTTATCGATGAAGTTGACCCCATAATACTTGAAAGGATTTTATACTTGTTTGAGTCTTTATCAAGATTTATCAAAATTCAGAAGTCATTTCAGGAGTCCAGTAGTGTTTGAAAGTATTCTGGGTAGATTTGCGAACAATTCCAAAATATTTACTGAGGCGAGTTCACTTTTAGCCAATTTTTAAGTCTGATTTTGAGGTTAGAGTTTCTGAAATACCGCCATTTCGTACACTCCCTCCACAATCTTCCTCCTGCCATTCCGTATGGGAAGACGGAATGAAAAGTTGGAACCAGTTTCAGAATTTCGTTCAATAAAACGACAAGAGTTGTCATTCCGGTGAAAGAATCTTGTCAATAAAACACACCTACAGTTATGGAAAATTTGTTGCTATGGTGACCGTTGTCATGATTACGAGTAAACAGAAAACAAAATCCCGTGGTGAGGAAATGCGTGGTTTCCAAGTTGTATCGGGTTTAGTATAGCTGAAATCAGTTGTGGAAAAAATAATGCCATGGCAATCGTTGTCATGGTAACAGGTAAACAAAAATCCAGATCTTATGGTGAGGAAATGCGTGGTTGCCAAGTTGTATCGTGTTTAGTTTAGCTGAAATCCGCTATGGAAAAACTGTTGCTATGGCAATGATCGTCATGGTAGCGAGTAAACAAAAACCAAATTCCTGTGATGAGTAAATGCGTTGTTGCCAAGTTTTCTATTTTTTATTTCATTTCAAAAATTCACAACACTTGGGGAACCAGAAAGACAGTCATGAATTTTCTTCCGAGTCAAGGTTTGGTGCCAGCAAGTCCTCATTGCAAGCCGAAATCCAAGGAACAAAAGAATCCGGTTGAGCCATTTTCACTATGAAAGCACTTCTTTTCAATTACAATTAAAATCTAGTAGCCATGACCATGACAGCAAATGTCAAATAATTAATTCAGCTCAATTATAACAGAGATGGCTTTGTATTTTTTGGCTAGTAGTTAATAAAATGACGAAAACTACCTTGGTAGAAAACACACACTTCACGCCTTGAACATCAACTTCAATATTGCTTGTAGTGTTGAAATATCTGACAAATGAAACACTGACATTCATTTCAACGACATTTACTGACATTTCAGTGACATTTAATGATACATGTCAATATGAAAATATCAATATCTTGTATTTATTTTCAATTTCAACAAATTTTTTCCAAGTCAACTTGTCATACATCACTGTTGCTGATGTTACAGTTGAAATTTGAAAATTGTATGATCAGAACCTACTGATGTTATATCTGATGAGTCATTTCATTACCTTTTTTGTTTTCTGGCTATAATCAGATATACTACACATGAGCTGAATAAATACATAAATACATAAATGACAATATTTATGACTCACTGAGTGCCTCGCTGGCAGTTCTCAATACTTTCAACCAATGGGCAGCATCCATACTAGGAGCAATTTCACCAGAACCAGTAATTTCATTAAGTTCGTCTTCTGCATCGGCCAACTGCTCGATCATTAATTGCTTCAATAATGCTTGAGCTGCAGTAACAACTTCCTAAAAAAAATTCTGTAACTAAAAAACGCTAGTTGAATTCAGATTGACATTTATAAGTACTAAATCATTGATGTTTTGATGGTAACTACCTGTTTATAGGTTTCTAAAAACTGTAAATGGTTTTGCCTCAGGAGTCCTGCCACTAAACTGACGAGTCTCTCGGGTTCTAGAACACTTCCGTTAGAGTCAAGAGGTCGTAGCAAGTCTGCCGCAGCATAACGTTCGAATTCAGTACTAAGCATTTTGTCTATTAGTTTTTGCATTTCCTTGAGCTGAGAAGGTAAATGTCTCAAACTTGTTACCTGTAATAAAAGTAATAGTGATAGCTAATTATACATCAAGAGAGCAAAGGACTCAATTTTCTCCCGCGTGTGAAGTTTGATGTCCGACGCGTAGAGGGCATTAAACACACATGGAAGGAAATTAACCTTTATACAGTATGATGCAAATGTATGGAATAAATTCATTATTTCAGAAACTTGCAGTTGAACCAAAAGAGACATGAACTTTGTTTTTTAAAATAAAATTTAATATAATTTAATTTGTTATACATGGGTATGAACAGGTATTGATACTTTTAGTCATGATGACTGATATTTTGTTTCCTTATTATCATGGCCTACCACATGTGAAAATGTTTTTACTGATTTTTGCATGGTTTCATGTGAAAATTGAACAAATTGAACAAATAACATCCCAACAGAATAGGCTCTGTTATAAGGAAGTACATAATTATATACCTATATGTAAATATATCATCATTCAAAATATATCAACAACCTGTAAAATGGCAAACAAAGAATTTCATATCAGAAAATAACAAAACATATCTAACTCAAATAAAAACCAATCAAAATGAAACAGAGAAATACTTTCAAGATTTAATTCCTAACCAAATATTATCTGAATAATGAAAAAATAACTTTGTTAATCAGTAAAATATTTCTTCTGGTGATCAGAGATATAGATGTTGCATGACATACATGTTTACAAATAGAAAAAGAAAATAGATAATCATATTAAGAGAGAAATACTATATGAATTAGCATTAACAATCAAACTGAGAACAACCAATACTCATCATGAGATAATTATTCAGAAATTGAATAAGTTTGAATACTCAAAACTACTATTGCATTAGAAATTTGAAATAATGAATACTTTGTGATAATAAACACTAACTATTTATCACTATTTCTATTAATGTTGGAATTTAGTGCACAATGGTATATGATATACTGCATGTGCACTAGTGCATTCATGTTTCAGTGACTGAGAAGAAGGAAAAAAAACTGAAAACTTCAATTCAATGGAACACCCTGTATATTTTTGCATTTTTAGATTTTCCCTGAAGAGCTGATTTCATCACTTGGGGTCTAGTGGGAATGATTACAGAGATACAGGGTGTTCAAAATAAGGATTTTTCAACTTTGGGATTTGTTGTGTGTGAAAACTATTGATTATCTGAGCCCTATCTCAACTTTTGATTAACTATCTACTGATATTTAATTGGAACAGATACAGGGTGCTCAGAATTCTGAAAAATAAATCGTCAATCTGTATACCTTACCCCTGCTAGTTCTTTGGAAAGTACCTCCTGTGTCCCAGAAATCAATTCCAGGGCTCCCACATAGTCTGAGGAACTTAATAAAAGCTGTAGAGTAGGCTGAGTCTGCAAAACAGTTGACATCAGTTTAAGCTTATCCAACAGCTGTCCCTGATTTGCCTTGGACCTTGCCAACCCTATCAACTTCAAAGAGTCTTTGGCAAGACACTTATCTACATTTTGTACTTTAACACGTAGTGCCCGTACTTCACTACATGCAGTGCCCATCTGTTCCATTATGGTATCATGAGATGTCATGGCATGGAAGAAAGCACCAGATTTCTGAGAAACTTGTTGGGCAATCTGCTCCTCCACAATATCTAAATAATGACTTAGTTCTTCTTGAAGCTCATGTTCATTTCTACTCTGAAACACTTTGCTGAACACTTTAGGGTCATTCAGGTTGAAGTTTAGTCTTAAATATATCTCTGGAATGCTATTTGTATTAATGTCACTATTCTTTGGCTTCTGGTGATCCTCCTCAAACTTTGTTTGGGACAATCTTATGTGCCTTTTGAATCTTTTGCCATATTTTCGTAAGTATGTATCAAAATGAGCCCAGGTGATCTCTGGCAAAAAAGGGCTTTTCTCTATGACCGTTTTCTCTACGAATGCGTCTCCCCATGTTTTTGTGAAGAAATTAGATTGCTTACCCCTGTTGGGGTCTGTTAATACTGCTGGTAAGTGCTGGGAAGCGGAATATAGAGACCACTGTTCAACATCACCGTTCATATTCGAAGGGAATACCTATTTAACTATCTGACTGTAAATATTCTTACTAGCGGTGTAGCGGAGACAAAGAATATTAACGCTATTTTGGCGGAGACATGTCGAAAACTATGCGAAATCATCTGAATCTGATGAATATAATTATTCAGAAAATATAATAAAAAACATTGAAAATATATTGGTGACACATTTGACAACTTGTTGACAACTCAACTCATGAAGTTTGTGAACTTACTTATTCTTCTTCTCTTTCAATTCCAAAGATCTAATAGTATATTGCTGAGCCGAGATGAAGCCAACAAAAGCTTTAGTTTCTTTACAGGTTCGTAGGCAGCGCTAGTGGAAATGCGTAAAAGGGTAAAATTACAGTGACCAATTACAGATTTCTGCACAGGATGATATTCGATTGCACACTGAAATTAGTTCATCAACCTGGCAAAAGATATCCGCCACTTCCTTAACGAAAATGTTGGCTTTATCGTTTCATATGCATGGTTATTCTGATGATATAATGTTGCAAGATGTTTATTTTTGTATCTCTTTGTATATTATCTTATATTATGATAATGACCATCGTGATTATGACTTATGAGGCTAGCCTATTATAGGGTTCTGTAATCAATGAATTATTGAGTTCAACATTTTCTCGCTAGATAGCAGTATATGCATGAAATTTGTGAAATTTACTCTTTTATTTTCGCATGCTTCCAATCAGTTTCCTCTTTGTTTCTTGTTTCAGAACAGTAATGCACTAAATGAGTATGACGAGGATAGGGTAAATATAGTGCAGAGTGTGAAGATCTGATCAAGAGCTGCAGATATAGATAATTTTCCTCTACGTCGATTCTCCATTTCTGTTTCATTCACGATTCATTCAATGTAGTAATGTAGTATCTCTCTTCTCGCGGTGGGATAAGACAAAATAGGAAATTCTCCACTGGAATTATATTTTCTGGTAGTACAGATATATCCGCGGGTGGCACGTAGTGTTTCTGTCAAAAAACTTCTTCATTCCGGTTCGGCGGGTCCGGCCCTTAGGTATAATGATCATCATCAGTATTTCCTGAAGAATGCTGCTTAAAAACCGCTGATAATTCTAGAATTGGCTATTGAAGGTATTCTCTGTCATGACATTCAACGAAATTACGAAATAATATAGGTGAGTGCAATACAGGTGTATGTTCGTGATAAAACGTATCTATCGGATTTGGCGAGATATAGGTAGGTACCTTTACCCAAGGGAAATTGATTTCATTCATAACATCGTCGAGAACCTGATGATTGCATGTATTGATCTTCGAATAAGATAATTACCTAGGTAGGTATTTATTGTTTTACGTTAGATTCGCAGGATTCATAGAAATGATTGGTAATTTTTACCGACAAAAATAACTGTAAAAGGTTGCAGCAATTGTTTTGACAAGGCCATGCACCTTCTAAGCTAAGCAGACTTGATTGAAGCGAATGACACATTTTGTTCCGTCCTTATTCTCGACCGCCTAAGTGAGATTATTTAATGCTCTAATGCATGTTTGTTGGGCAACACATTCATTTATTCTAATGGGGACTTCATCTTATAGGTAGCATATGTTTATGTATATAGCACAGTATCATCTCTCAATATTTATGAATGTTTTGATTTGATTTATTCCGCCTCCTCAGTCTTACAGCCTCCAGATTTTCATTTAGCAGTTCCAAAACGAGTTCGTTTCAGAGACTTTGCGCACCTATTGGTACATTTGATTTTTCTTTCAACTGTGACTTTACACTCTCAGAAAGTAGCGCAAATTGGGCATGTCTGTGTCACTCTGTGAGGACTATGGAATAAATCGTTTCCTTTTTCGGTATTGATTTCGCGCGCGTTCCTTTTCTATTAGGGGTGTTCCTGTTTCGCAGACCCCACGTGGTTTTCGATAGCGATCGCGTCGCATTTATTATATCATAAAGGTAGATACCTATATATGTACCATCTTATACCTAACAAAGGTTGATGATCTTATGCTAAGACTGAGATTCGGTCATTACGATCAAATGTCATTATTTCAAATACAATATTGGGCATAGCCTACTAGTTCAAAATAATTTCGTTGTGCAAAAAATGCATGAAAAGTGTTTTTATTTTTTTTACGCGAAAACTGTTCGTCGTAGGTAAAATTGTTGCAAAAAAATAAGGATTTCAAAAATGATTGTTATCCTCGGAAAAATCAAGGGCGTACAATATTTTTTTTCAAAAATCTTCAGGATGCATCTCTTACGTACGCCACTGGTAGAGGTATTGAAAAATCTTCTGCATCGAAAAATGCCTATTGGTGTTTAGTAGGTGCATTTCAAATTTCTTGAAAATATCTAGAACGGTATTGAAGTTATGATAAAGAAACGATTTTTTTCTTAAAATTTTAACGCATACCAATGTAACGAACTTTTCTTCCCAAAATGAGCTAATGACCATATCCTTACATTTACTTCCATCAATTAAACTACACCCTGTATAAATTACCTACCTATCATGATCATGCATCATGCAGAAAATTTTCATTGACATTTTTCCTGACTGAAATAACGAAGTCGTACTGATTGTACCACGTTGCACTCCTGATTTTCAGTTGATCACTTCAATCTCCTAATTCGCTAACTAACCAACGGCTTTCATGAAGCAGCCTGTAAATGAATTATTTCACTTTTCTCTCGGTTCATTACATGGAATTAAATTATGTTGCAAATTTTATAATACATGGAAATAAATAAGATCAAGCTTTGTGTACCCATTCATTAATTTATTGTAGTTTAATGCTGTTTAATTGGATGTATAAATGTGGTAATTCTGCCAATTTAGAGGATCCCATGAATGATTAAAATTATTTGATAGTCATATTTTTTCAGTGTTTTTGCGTAAGTTGGTTATTATAGGTACCTGGTGGCACAAGAAACCGAGTTTATGAGGTATGTGACCCATTTCAATTCCGTGAACTTTTCAAAATTTTAGTACTTGATTCGCTCAGTAACAATCTCAATTTCCGGTTTACATCTTCAATAATAATGTATACCTATGTCTCAGCTATTTGTCGTGCGATTTTCAGCAAAAATGACTAGTATGAATATTCATCAATGTGATCAGTTCAATTTTGGACAGGGCCGTGTGTTTTAATAATACTATCACAGTTTAGGGAATATATATTCCAAACTATGATACTATACCTTTATAATGTATAGTGATATGTATCGAAAGATAGACCGCCTAGAGCACAATTATTTCAATGATGCTTCAAAAAATTGCGTTCGATGATAAAATCGTTCCATTTCAAGAATAAAACTTCATAAGTTGAACATATACAGAGATTCCGAGAGATTCTTTTTTGTCCACCTGTATAGCTTTTCCTAATGGCAAAATTTATTCTGCTATGTGACTGAAATGTTGCAAAAATTTCAAAATGTTACATACTGTGGTTTTCGAGTAATAGCTGTCCTGAATGGAGTACTCAAGCTTAGCAATCAAAATTTGAAGTTTGTTCTCGTTTTTTCGTTTTTTCTCGAAAACCGAGCGTCCTATCGGGTGTCAACAAGAGAACCTTTTTTGTACAAAATTGAATGACTTTTTATAGCATTTTATTGAATTTGTAAATGTTCCTTCGTTGCTCACTTTCAAATATAATATAATCAATCATATCCTTCTAACGGCGCCACTGGTAGAGAAAAGGAAAATTTGTATTTTGTATACATCAAAAAATGCACCTTGATGCATAGAAGATATGTATCAAATTTCATAAAGATGACTACAATATTATTCCAGTTATTATCAAAAAACTGTTTTTTTTTTCAAAACTTAATCACACTGTATCTCAAAAGTTTAGCCTTTTAGGAAATACGTTAGTGGGAAGTTTTTTTCTTGAAATGCGTTGAAGAATCACCCCCTTGAATATCAGCAAGGCTGTTACTTTCAAATCAAAATCGCGAATATACATATATCCAGCGTCAGTTCGAAAAATCACACAGGTTGTGAGGTTAGGGTTAGTTCTTACTCAACTCAAAAGTCGCGACAAAAAACCTCTTCCATTGTCCCCTCCAGACGGTTGAGGCTCCCATGGCGGTGACGCGTATGCAGATGATGGGAAATTCCAGCAGGTACGTTAAAAACGAGAGCTCGGACAGGGAAATGGCAGCACTGCACTCGAATATGGAATAATCCCACGGTCTAACCAGGCTCAGTCCAACGGACAACAATACTTGTTGGGTTGGCAAGGGGCACGAACCGTAGGGGCGACTGGGGCAGGTGGAATAGTGGAAATTGCCAGGCGAGAGCATCAGAAGTTGTTTCAAAATTTCTGCTGAATTCGATACATGTGGATTTGTGCACTCTGCTTTTTAATTAACTAATCAATTAATTGATCTGTAATTTAAGATCATTATAGTTTTCACCAAGGTGATAAAACATGGTATTTGTCTGTGTAAAAAGGAAGTGAAACAAAAACTTTCAATGGCGGTCATAGCCATCTGCTATGAGAACGATTCAAGTAATTTATTTACAGTTTGACAATTATTCCGATCCAACAAATGGATACAATGAATAGTAAATGCAAAACTCATATGATACCACGGACTGAGAGGTACCCCTGGGATGTTTTGGGATGTTTTAGAAATGTAGGCATGAGGATGTTTTTTTGAGGCGTAATATGCACTTCCCAAAGAGGTCTTAGAAGGATATTGAAAGTATTGTTTTTGTTCTTTTGTGCCCTTTCTTTGTTTGCCCCACCACAACGTCTCATATGCTTACGTCACAATACGATGAATTCTGATTTGTTTTCGATTTTGTTCTTCTTGTTCGCAATTGGCATTCGCGTTTGCAGCGTGTCACGTTTACATCACGCTGCTAACGAACAGAAAGGAATTTGGTGAAGTTTATTGTGTTAGAAGACTTATTTAGTTTGTAATAATGACCATCAGATGCAAGATGTGTTGTTTGGTGCCTCAGTGTAATCAATATATAAAAGTACGAATTCATCAATACACAGCTTCTCCGCAGTTGCAAAATTATGCATTGTGGAGAACATTTAAAAAATTGGGAAACCTATTTCCAATTATATGTCTGTGTGTAGTAATAAGCACTACTCAGAAACCGATTAAGAAGGTAATTTCATATCAAGAAAATATTTTTATGTTCAATCTATTTTTAATGCATTTTTTCATTCAAGGGAAATGGAATCCTAATGCAAAAGTTC